TTGCAGAAAGTAATATCTATTAGAATAATCAAATATTAAACTAGAAAATTACGTTAGTGAGGAAGCCACCTCTAAAAAGCATTGAAAAGCTAAAAATGTAAAACCTAGAGGACCCACCCAACTCCCACTTTCTATCAAGCTCACTTGTCAGAAGGCTTCAATGTCAGTTTAGGGTCCAAAGATCTTCAGAGCCGACCCTCTCTTGTTTTTTGTGACTTTTTATCAAGGGAAAACCGCGACCACAAATGCCTTGAAATTGGATGCCATGTCACGAGCACGTGGCACTGGGCGGCTGACCACAATGCAGCTGGGGAGCTGCAGGGCTGCGAGGCTACAGAGCCGACTAGTCATTGGCCGTGTCCAAGATCGAGTCCCATGGCGGAGGCCTGGACATTTCTCAGCTGTCACTGCGTCACTGCGGCGAGGCGTTGGGATTTATTGAAGTGTTATAATTAAGTTAGAAATCGCTTTCTGATTGCAAATCCCGCTTTCTGCTCCTCCTTTCTCCTCGCCAGTTTTCACCTGGGGCAAGCGCATGAGTCGCAAACTGGATCTGCTGAAGCGCAGCGACTCGCCCGCCGCCGCCCACAAGTCGCACTCGGACCTCAGGAGTCTCTTCCACTCGCCAACGCACCACAAGAGTGCGTCCAGTGGATCCACGGCCAAGTCCTCGGCCTCGCCCTCACCCACTGGCGGCGGCGGCGGCCATCATCAGAGCAACACGCTCAAGAAGTGCAAGTCGGGCCCCATTGAGACCATCAAGCAGCGTCACCAGCAGCAGGGCCAACAACAACAACAGTCGGTCCAGGATGTGGCCCAGAGTCAGAGCCAGAGTGCCCAGTCGACGCCAACGCATCAGTTCCAGGCGGCCGCCCGCCCACAGAAGGCGCTGAAGAACTTTTTCCATCGGATCGGATCCACCGGCATGCTGAACCATCGCTCCCACAACCTGCTCAAGGCCTCGGAGGCGGCACAGCAGGCTGCGCCGGCTGCCACCACGCTGTACAGGAGCAGCTCCACCAGCCAGCTGTCTAGCTGCTCCTACGTCAAGTGCGATGATCCCACCGAGGGTCTGAATCTCCAGCGAGAGCAACGGGAGCAGCGTCTGCCGAGGATGGCCAGCCTGAAGTCCAGTAGCTGCGATGACATTGCCAAGGTGAGCAGCTGCCTGACGGCTAGCACGAGTAGTGGCAGTGCTGCCACGACGAGTCTGGGATCCCCGCCCAGCGGAGCAGCAGGAGGAGGAGGATCTGCAGGGGGCTCTACATCCCAGCATGATCCCTCGCGCCGCGGGGCCTTTCCCTATGCCTTCCTTCGCTCGCGGCTGTCCGTGCTGCCCGAGGAGAACCATGGTCAGGGACAGGGTCACCTCAAGCAGCAGAGGGAGCAGCAGCAGCAGCAGCAGCAGCATCAGCGAGATCTTCTCCAGCAGCAGCAGGAGCAGATGCAGGCCGCATCGCCGCTACCCCAGCGCCGCTCCCCCGAACAGTCGATGCTGGGCAATGTCTCCCGCAACGACAGCATCACCTCCAAGGACTGGGAACCACTTTACCAAAGATTAAGTAGTTGTCTGAGTTCGAACGAGTCCGGCTACGACAGCGACGGCGGTGCCACGGGAGGAGCCCGGATGGGCAATAATCTGAGCATCTCCGGCGGAGATACCGAATCTATTGCCTCGGGCACGCTCAAGCGCAACTCGCTCATCTCCCTCAGCTCCTCAGAGGGCGTGGGCATGGGCATGGGCCTGGGCCTGGGCCTGGGACTAGGACCCTCCTCTTCGGCGAGGAACAGCAGCATCTGCAGTGCGCCCGTCTCGCTGGGCGGTTACAACTACGACTACGAGACGGAGACAATCCGGCGTAGGTTTAGGCAACTGAAGCTGGAGCGCAAGTGCCAGGAGGACTACATCGGAATCGTGCTCTCGCCCAAGACGGTGATGACCAACAGCAATGAGCAGCAGTTCCGGTATCTCATAGTGGAACTGGAGCCCTATGGCATGGCACAAAAGTGGGTATCCCTTTGAGTAAAGAGAATATTAATCTTTAATCTCAATATCCTTCTCATCCTTTCAGGGACGGGCGCCTGCGGCTGGGCGATGAGATTGTCAACGTGAATGGCAAGCACTTGCGTGGCATCCAGTCGTTTGCCGAGGTCCAGCGCCTACTCAGCAGCTTTGTGGACAACTGCATCGACCTGGTGATAGCCCACGACGAGGTCACCACGGTAACAGACTTTTACACCAAAATCCGTATCGACGGGATGAGCGGACAACGACATAGGTTGAGCTATGTGCAGCGCACCCAAAGCACCGACAGTCTGACCAGCATGCAGAGCCTTCAGATGCGCAGCCAGGCGGATCAGGAGCAAGAACAGAGCGAGGATCAGTGCGATGCCCGATCTATGGCCAGTGTCAGCACCCTGCCCACACCCATGCCGCTAATGCAGCATCGTCGCAGCTCCACGCCCCGCCACTCGCTGGACGTGAGTGCGCCCGAGCACGAGCTCCTGCGCCGGCGGGCGCGCAGCTCATCAGGTCAGCGCAGCAGCTTGGCTCTAACACCGACCCCGCTCTTTGCCAGCAGCAGCAGCAGCAGCTGCTCCTCCTCCCCTAACCACCAGCAACACCAAAGGTTTTTGGATAACGACAGTGACCCCTCTAACAACGACTCCTATACGCCGGTCTATACCAATCGGGCGGCGAGCGTGTGCGTGGCCTCCTCGCTGGCGGATGACGAGAAATGGCAGCTGCTGGCCCGGAAACGATGCTCCGAAGGCGCCGCTCTTGCCGGATCACCCAATTCCCAGCAATTTGGCCAGCGCACCCACTACGCCAGGAACTCCATTAACCTGACAAACTCGCACTATCGCTCGCTCCGGTTTGCCCACTCGCGTCTGAGCTCGTCGCGGCTCAGCCTGTTCATGCAGGCGCCGCCTAACAGTCTAACCGCGGGCGAGGCTGCTCCTAACACCCCATCCTCTCCAGTTACCGTCGCCGCCAACACAACTGATCTCACTAACAGCCAGCAGCCGCAGCCGCAGCAGCAGCAGCAGCCAGCGACACCACAACACACATCACTCTACATCAAGCACTCGCCAAAGAGCGTCTCATTGTTCTCGCCTAATCCCTATGTTAATGCCTCCTCATCCTCACCAGCATCAGCATCCACATCAGCGGGCGCTTCTTCGCTGGCGCCTCCAGCCGCTGCCCTCATGCATCATCGTCCTTCGTTGCCGGTAGCGAAGCTAACCATACGCGACGAGGAAATGGCGGAGGTCATACGAGCCTCCATGAGCGAGGGTGAGAATCAATTAACCCCATAAATAATGCTATAAATCTAGAGATTCCTAATGAATTAATGCCTATTTATATCAGTTATTATTTAACTGATTTAGATATTACAAATCATACATAAACCATGAAAAATTTCCCCAAAATAACCCTTGAACTGATTTACTAATTAATATTATTTATTACAGGCAGTGGTCGGTGCACGCCCAAGACCATCACCTTCTTCAAGGGACCCGGTCTGAAATCCCTGGGCTTTAGCATTGTGGGTGGACGGGATTCGCCCAAGGGTAACATGGGCATCTTTGTGAAGACCGTGTTTCCCACAGGCCAGGCTGCCGACGATGGCACTCTACAAGCGGGTAAGCGAAGCTCTAAGCTTGGAAGCGCATGTGCCATCCCTACTCTAATCCAGAATTAAATAATCTAATTAACAAAATAATACCCCTATCAGGCGACGAGATTGTGGAGATCAATGGCAACTCGGTACAGGGCATGAGCCATGCCGAAACCATAGGACTCTTTAAGAACGTGCGAGAAGGGACTATTGTGCTCAAGATTTTGAGAAGAAAGTGAGTTAATATATACCCTAAGCTCTATTAACTTTAATTTAATCGCAAATCTTTACTTGCAGATTGCAAAAAGCCAAATCGATGGGCACATAACTAACGTATCCAACTCGGAGCCGATTGATAAGCACCTGAATATGGACACACCTGCGTCGTTTAATGTTTGGCTTCCCTAGGAGAAGTCTATTGTTTAGTTATAATCGTACAAATTCCCCTGAATAATATCTATATATAGAACTAAATCTAGAATCCCAAATAGACACGTAAGCGATTGTATGAAGTTACAATTTTAAATTATTTACCCCAATATAGAGACCAGGCTAAGCTCCGAAACAAGTTGTACAAGTTCTATATTAAAAATAAATATTAACCTTAATAAAAACAATTTAAACTATGATTATTTAGTGCAGTCTTGTGTCTATGTGCTGCTATTTCTGATCTCTTGGTATTTCATTTAAATGAAGATATCAAATTTGAATGAAAAATTCACCATAGAGTCGGTTTCAAGTACCAGACAAACATAACAGGTGAACTTGACCAATATTGACAAGCAATAAGCCCAGTATTTAAATTAGCCAAGTACTGAACCTCGCGAAGTTCGGTCCTACCAAAATGTTTTATATTAAGTATGAATTAGTACAAAAAACTTTACAACGGACAATTTACGAACTATCTCCAGCATTTTTTGATTGTCTGGTATTTAACTTTTATCGATATATCGATACCCCTCTTTACAGGGGGTTTCGTGTACCAAGCGAAAAGAAATACTAGATAGTGGCGGCTTGAACCATATATAAAAAACTGGGTTTATAACTTTACTAAGTTAGTCAAGCTATAAACCCAGTATTTTAATTATCCAAGTACTAAACCTCGATAACTTAGTTGATCATTTGGTATTTTTAATTATCGATACGTGGAATTTTAAAATATCGAATATAGATAATCGATTATGAAGGTGAGAAACAAAAGTGGTGAGTAAGCAGAGTTCAAATTTCGCTTCACTGACACGGACAAATCAGACAAGTTTTGTAAACACGGCAGTGCAAATTTGGGTATTTAGGAGTTTTTAAAATGAGTTAGTTACAAACATAAAAAACCAAAAAAAACAAATAGAAAAAAGGTAGGTTATAATAAAATCGGCTTACCGAAGTTCGGTTTATTTCTTGTGTAATTTTCCAAGTCACGCCGTTTCCTGGTCATCTTCCTTGACAATCAGTCGTTGCTTCTTGACAAAGTGTTCTATGCGGTTCTCCAAGCTCTCTGTAGGAATGCATATATTAAAAACAATGAAAATCTTCCTAAGCAAAACCCCCTAGATCTTACCGCAACGTTTACGTTCGAGCAGAGGCTGATATTGACGCGGCTTCACTGAATCCTGTAGGAGAATTACTTGTTCCTGAACCTTCTCTTTCGCCTTGAAGTTTTCCTCCAAGAGATTCTCTAGCTGCAGGAGTACATTCCGTATCATGGTGCTCTTCACACTGAACTGCGTCCACTCGCACTGTGTGTTCTCAATGAGCTTCTGCAGATTTTCCTCGCTGTAAATCCAGTCGGTGAGATCGCTTGCCTCGTTGGAGGGTTCCTTCTCTATGACAGATGTGTCCATGGCTTCGTCTGCTGCCTCTGCTTCGACAGTAGCTGCTGGATGGTTCGCACTCCTTGTAGTTGTAGGCCGAAAATCGCATCGGAAGAGATTCAGAGGTAACCCAATGGCTGGCGTGTACTGGGGCTTGCAGGGATTGGTGGTCACATCGAGCAGTTCACTGATCACGCTTGGCTTTTCCTTTCGCTGCCCAACTAGTAGCAGGACAGCCATGATGCAACGTATCTGGTGCCAGAGGAAGGCATTGGCTTGGATCTCCAGGTAGTACATGTCATAGCCTGTATTGGACAGGTGCTCCTCGGAGGCAGCAGCTGCCACCCTGGCCGATTGCAGGTTCCGCATGTAGTTCGTGACACCGTTATGAACATCCATCTTGCAGAAATTCCTGAAATCCGCATGGCGCACAAGGAGATCGCAGGCCGCCTGCATAGCCGCCAAGTCCAGGTCTCCCCTGGGAAAGTAGTAACGATAGCAGCGGGAAACGCAGTCAAACCGAGCGCTGTAAACCGGACTACGCAGTGGCATCCACGACACACACTGGATATTCTTGGGCAGCACGCGATTCAGTAGTCCACAATAGTCGATTTCGGTTGCGAGTGCTGTGGCATCCAGTTGTTTTTCCGGTGTGTGCTTGCTCCTGAGGTCAATGGAGATGACCTGGCAGAAGGCGCTCACCTCCTTGTCGGTGCGTCCACAGCGGTGGTAGTTAGCACTGCTTCTCGACTCTATGAGACATGTGCGTGTCAGAGCGCGAAACAAGTGAGATTCTGTGGTAATGAGGGTGAAAGATAAGCTAACGTTATGGTAGAAATAACCAAAAACCCACCTATAGTGTCGTTAGAGTCCTCCTGACAGGCAAACCCTTGATAATCCCAGCCAAAGTAGGTGATCTTGAGCAAAACATGTCGCCGATGGGTACTGAAAAATACAGTTGTAACAGGTGGTTCAGCCCTGTTAGCCAGCAAGCCGTCTGTCCTACTCACCTGCTCCAGTCAAACTTACGTTGTTTCTGCAACTTGCCAGACCCCTTGGCCTCTTTGGAGACCGCTTCTGTGTCAGCATCCTTTCCAAATAACACCGCATACTCTTCTTCATTTCTGTCCTGATCCGTTAGTTTCTTTTGCAACAGATTTCGCAGCTGAAAGTTGTACGCCTCCAGCTGCACAATTTTGTCAATTAGCTCGGTTTGGCTTAGCTTTTCCAGGGCCTCGCGGGGCAGGCCCTTTAGGCGCTTGTTTATCACAACTTTTTTTTCGGTTGTTGCACTCATTTTTAATTATTTTTGCCGGATAAAACTATAGTAAAAACAAATCAGCACGTGAGTTAGAGATGCCATTGATATAGCTGTAATATTTATCAAGCAAACTCCCTTCACTAACGATAAGTGGTATTTTATTTTGGTATTTTTTCCTCTTCGGTAATATCGATATATCGTCATCGACAGACTTGCAGCTCTAAAAACGTAGGGTTAATGTTTTTAATTTATTTTGGTTTCCACGAAAATTCGCCATAAATCGCTGGGAGCTAGCTGCCCAGACTCTGTTCCAGTGCAGGGCTACCTCCGAACCGGGACAGAAACCACTGCCGACCCATAGGCTGCTCTCAGCTCTGTGCAGCATTTGAAGGTGAAGGACACCTCCTCCGAACGTAGGGAGGAACCTCAAGGACTTGACCATGGACGCGTGCAGCAGCAGTCACAAGGTCGACAGCGAGAACGACAACACGGTGGCCTTGGAACACACTGTGCATTTGAACGCGCTGCCCGATGAGATCCTGGAGTTCATCTTCACCTTCCTGCCGCCTTACGGGGACTTGGAGCACTGCAGCCTGGTTTGCAAGCGCTGGCAAGGCATTGTCAAGAGTGAGTGGTGGCTTGTATAGCGCCGAATCCTTTTAATTAAGGCTCCTCCGTTTTTCACAGATCTCGTTCGTCGCTCCAAGCTGAATCTGGAGAAGGGACTCACCGACTTCCGGCTGCGCTGGGAGGTGTTTTCACAGCAAACGTCCAATGGTTTGGTGGGGACACCACCGCTCTCCTTTATCGCCGGACGCTTTGCGCACTCGGCCGTGCGTCAGGATAACTCCATGTACGTGTTCGGCGGTGGCTCCTCCTCGGACACCACGTTCAACGATCTCTGGCGATTTGATTTAACACACATGCGCTGGGCTCGACCCGTGGCAACAGGCACCTATCCATCACCTAAGGGCAGTGCCTCAATGGTGGCTTGGCGTGACCAGCTGGTGCTCTTCGGTGGCTGGCGCTATCCCTCGCTGCATCCGCCATATCAGCCGTGGTGCCTGTTCGACGAACTGCACTACTACGATCTCGGCAAGAATCGCTGGCTGCTGCGCAACACTTTAAGCTGTCCGCCGCCCATGGCCGGGCACTCGGCCACCGTCCACGGCGATCGCATGGTCATCTTCGGCGGTTACCAGATCAAAGACGACGTCAACGTCAACTCAAATGACACCTGGGTCCTAGATCTGCCCGAGCAGCGCTGGTGGCAGCCACTATTCATGGGAAACACACGGCCCAGCCCGCGGTACGGCCAGATCCAGGTGGAGCTGGATCAGAATCACCTTCTGGTTGTCGGCGGATGTGGCGGAGCCAATCGCGTTTACACCGACGCTTGGCTGCTGGACATGACGCGGGATGTGTGGTGTTGGAAGGCGCTGAATGTGCGCAACAAGCGCTTCGGTGCCGTCCACATGTGGTGCAATCCCGGCTGCAAGGTCAACAACTATCTGGTGGTTGTCGGGCCCTCGCCCAACATGCCACAGGACTTCCAGTTGATGAAGCAGAGTCGAGTGCCAGTCGTAGGTGGCCGGGGACCGCCGCCCCCGAATCCCTTGCAGAATTTGCCGCAACGCGGACACCGAATACCGATGCCGGAACGCCGCCTGGGCGGTGGCATAGGCGGAGGGTTCAATCGTGGCGGCAACGTGCGCCCGGGAGCTGCAGGCGGAGCGGCTGTCTTAGGTCCCCAGGAGCAGTATTTGGCCAACAGGCGCGCCATTCTTAACCAGCACATGCAGCAGGCCCAGCAGTTCCTTCACAACAGCAATGTCAACAACAATAACAACAGCTACCAGCCACGCTCGGGAAGACTCAGCGATCTGCACGCCCCGCCAGCTCCAGCTCCTGCCCCTGCTCCAGCACCATCTGTTCCTGCGCCCCCAGTGCGTCCGAATGGTCCCCCTCGCCAGCGGACGGTGATGTGGACGCTGCCCAGCGCCTGCAACGAAATCTGGCCCTTCGATGTAGGGACAATGAGCCCCGGCTTCCAAAACGCTTCGATGAGCTGTATGAGGTAAGTCGTTCACGAAAGTACTCCCCAGAAACAGCTTAACCTCTTAATTCCTCTTACAGGATCCCTTTCGCATGGCCGCCTTCAATGTGCCCACGCGCTCGAGGAGCGCTTCACGGGATCACAACGAGCGTATCCGGCGCATGGAAGAGAAGATGAACGCCATACGGAATTCGCGACGCAGTGCACCCGCCGCCGCTGCTGCCCAAGCGGAACCCCCGCAACAACAGCCGCTGCGTGCTCCCTCGCCCAAGCGGCTCCGCTGCAATGTACAGTCCCTCTTCGTCTGCGACATCTCAGCCATATTGGGGAGCAGCGACCCCGCCCTCGACTGGGTGGAGTACAAAAACTTTGGCGTGCTCAAGGGGGCACCGGATCGCTTGATACTCTCAAGCCTGATTGCCGGCAACGGAGAGCTCATCCTCTTCGGGGGCGTGCACAAGGAGACGCTGACGGACATCACACACCATGTGTCCAATTCCATACACTTTCTGAGTGTGCCACGTGATATTATCTAAGTTATTCCCCTCCTTCCCCCGCAAATCCTTCAGAGAAATGCGACCGCCGTTCATTTAGAGAGTAAATTGAGTGTCCTGAATTTGTGTTGTATGATTATAAACGATTCTATTCGATCTCCAATCCGCTCTGTCTCTCTTTCAAAAGCTTGATCAAGTCGTATGCGATTTGGAAGCGCATATCACATTGGTCGTTTTGGCATTTAACACACTGCTCCAGGAGCAGCTGCATTGTGTCGTTGGGACGGAGAAAATCTCTAAGGAGGAGGCACGCCTGGTACACATTTGCATCCATCTGCTGGCCCGTGCAAAACGAGGATACATCAAAGGTGAAGCCCTCGCCGGGCAAAGGTTCATACCTCAGGGCATGTCCCTCAGTGCTTGTAGAATCCACCAGCACCAGGGAGTCCACATCAACGATGGTAACCTTCCCGCTGGCTTCGTCGTAGGCTAGATTATCGGCTGTCAAGTCGGTGAGGTAAAGACGAAAGTCCGCAAAGCCAAAGGTAAACTTCAGCGATAATTCAAGTACCTGGCGGGCCAGCTTCATTCGAATAGCCTCTTCTTTTTCAGCATAATGTGTCAGTGTACGTCCTGCGTCCTCCTGGAAGTGGATGAGACCGCAGGTGCCATAAGGGCGAGGCACTGGAAAGCCCAGAGAGTGCAGTTCCCTTAGTAACAGTGGACTGACGTCGTATGTTAGGTAGAACCATATGCTCGGGGAGCTATGCCCACGATGCTCCAGATAAGTCACAAATCGGGAAGTGTTAGTCCCCGTGCGGCAGAGGTGGAAGCCTCCTGGTCGCTCCCTTAGATGCAGAAAATCCTCTTCCAAGTTATTTACTTGAACGGTTTTTCGATTAAGAGCTTTCCTTTTGGCCACCAGTCGCGTCCTGCTACCTTCCGTCTCCTTTAGCTCTAACCAATATATTTGCCTTTGGTCGAATAGCAGAGATATCGTTTTCAACAGTCTACTCCAGTCCGAGGGCTCTGTAATGGTCTCGAAGAACGCCTCGCACTGCTCCCGCTGGTCTGCAAAGCAGACGGGACACAGCAGCAGATCCTTCTCGAACTGATCCCGGAGTATATCCCTTTGGGGCTTCACCTGCAGCTCCTGCAGCAGGGCCAGAATGAGAACGACTCTTAGGTGTCCCGGCGACAGGTGCATCACAGGGGGCTGTAAAGGGAAAGGGGGAAACGTAGGCATCGATGAGTTGAAGACACGTAAAGAAGGGGCTTGCCCACACGTGTGTGCTTCAATATGTGAGTATTGGTAGCTTTTTATATATGTGGGATGTGCGTGAGGGTCCAGCCTCCAGACCACTGGCCGCTTGACCACCATTACCTGTTTTCCAGCCACACACGCCAAAGCCCAAGAAGCATAACTCCGAGCCAAAGCACCAGCAGCTGCATGACAGTTTTTAATCAAGCCGAAGTCATAATTCTCTTTCTCTAAATTTATACCCTTGCAGGGGATTATAATTTTATTTAGAAGTTGTAACGTTTGTGACAGTCATTTCCGACCCTATAAAGCATATATATTCTTGATCAGCATCGTCAGGCAAGTGGATCTAGCCATCTTCAGCGGAAAACAAAATTTTAAAATGTTTTCAAAATTTTATAAGGTGTTACATCGTTAAAATTGTCAAAAATTGACAAAAATTTCAATTTTTTTCTTGTTTCATAGTATTCAAAAGTTCCACATATAAATTGTTTTCGATTTGTCATAGAAATATGGATATAAGCTCACGTACGGAAGGTTCCCATTAAATTGGCATTTTAATTCTAATGTCCTATGCTTAGATATGATTAGATTACACTCAATTCTTATCGCAAAAATCCTTTTTTTCGGATAGTATAGAGATATACATACCCTGAGGTTGCAGAGTATTGGAGGCGACAGAAATAACTTTGGTGCTTTGGCGCGCTGCTTGGCTTCCCAAGCTGAACTGAAGAAGAGGCAACTTGACGAAGGGTTCAAGGTTGGCCAAGCAGACGTTTAATTTGTAATCTTTGGCGAGGTGGGAGAGCAGCCATTATGATGGAGATACCAGTCGCGGCATCCTCCGGGACCCAGATCCCTTTTTTTAGCGACGACTCTTGCCTCGCAATTAATTGTACCTGAAGGGGAATCTGCAAGAAGACTTTTGGAAAGGGGCAGCAGGATCTCTTGGTGAAGTGTTTGACACTTTTATCACTGAAGTCTTTTCTTGGCAGGAAACTATGTTTTAATCTTAGCAGCTGGACTCCACTCAGTCCCTTCTTAAGTTTCCTAATGGAGCGGCGAGTAAGCCCTTGGGTCTTAGGTCATTTTGGATACTTGGGTGATGAGCGGAATCGAGCTCCAAGAGCACTTGAGTTCTTTTCAGGACAAGCACTGGGGGTATCATCAATTCTGCTCAGAAAGAATGCTGAGAGCGTGGCGAGAATCAGCGAGAGACCCGAACCGATTGGACGATCGACGACCGGTTGGTTAGAGAACGTTGTTCCCCCAAGTAAGATCAGTTGAATGTGGCGCGTCGCGCTCGACGGTCGACGTTATTCTGGTTCCCGCATGAGTTCCCTCGACATCCCCAGACATCGGTTCGTTACAACAGCTGGGTGTCGTGATATCGGTCAAGTTCAGGCGTCGACGAGGCCATCACTCAATTAGCCGAGCCAAGGAGGAGCGCCGCGTAAAATTCACTTTTCCCCGTGAAACCCATTTAATACGATTCTTTCGTGTGTTCTTATTCGCAATTGGAATTTGTCACGGTGCCAAAAGGTGTGTGTTCTATTCTGTTGGAAGTGTCCACTAGGTTTTTTGTTTTTCAGATTTTCCAATGTTCTAAAATCTCATAAATTAGGTGCCAAGTAAGGTCGGTCGCGTACCTTGATCAGGTACTTTGGAAGGCTTTATGCAACCGGCAACTACGCCGCTTTTCAACAATTTGAATAAACAATTTGCGCAGCAGAGATCGCCAGATATAATTGATTGAATATGTGCTTAGTTCGGGACGAGCCCCGATGTTTGCACGCTAGCTGTGATGAAGTCTGGGTTTGGCCAGCCTGTATCCATATTGCTCGTATATTATTACCTAGCCACCCTTAGCAATAAATATTATATGGAAGTCATTGCAGGGGCAAATGAACACTTGATAAGTCCCCATATAAGTCGCCTAGCTAGAGTAAAATCTGTAAAAACAGGTTATATATACACATATTTACCCCCGAGCCGGCAATAGACTGGGCAAACAGACGCGTCACAGTATTATTTTGGCTTATTGGTAAACAAAACACTGCTGGGCTGGCGTGTGTGCGAGTGTCCATATACTCGGATATATTTGCGTGTGGCGGAGAGCGTGTTCTTGGCCGTGACTAAGAAAATCTAAAGCTCTCAGGTAATTGATATTATTCAATTCAAGTTATGTCCGCGAACGCCCTTCACTCGAAATATCGTGATTTTGTTTCTTATCGCTCATGCAGATTATGGCACACGCCCTTCTGCTAATTTTAAACACCATAAAATGTCAAATATAGCCGAGCGTGTGATGAGTTGATTAGATTTGGTTTAGTATTCGAAAATATAGTTTGTTTGTGGTGGGTTTAAGTTGAAGTATTCCCTGGCGGAGTTTTATTTTTGAAGTGAGTACAACTTTTATGTGGAAAGAAAGCATAAATGTCAAATTCAAGGGAAAGTCTCAAATAAAGTCTGGGGAATTCTGAAAAGTGTAAGATCCATTCTGCTTACAATTGTTCCTTGAGGAAGTCACATATATTCAGTGAATTTTAAGTCAATTTCTGCTGTTTCAAAAGTTGAAGAACCTTCTAAGACTCGCTGAAGAATCTCGTGTTTGCGGCCAAACAAAAAGTGTGCGAAAACTCGTTTCGGTTTCTTTCTTTCTTTCCTCCCTTTTTCAAATATTAAGTCTCAACTTCTTGGGGGCTCTTCTCGCTTTCTAGTTTGTAGTTGTCATTATCTTGCGTCAATGATTGATGAGGGCCACCTAAATGACGCGGCCAAATTGGAAACTGGTTCCTAAATTCTGAACTCATTAACATATATCTACCACCTTTCTCTGTGGCCCTCAGATATGAACATCTCAGCAATGGACCGTAAGGAGCTGCAAGCTGGCAGTGTGGGCAGCAGTTTTCTGGGCAGACGCTATGGACAGTTGCTGCGCAGTGGCAAGCACACAGACTGCGTATTCCACGTGTGCGAGGAGCAGGTGAAGGGTCACAAGCTGATTCTGGCTGCCGCCAGTCCTGTGTTCGAGGCCATGTTCTTTGGGCCGTTACAGGACAACGATCCGGAGCCGGAGATCGAGATCCATGACATCAGTGCGGCCATTTTTAAGGAGATGGTAGAGTACATCTACACGGGGGCCGTGGATTACAACGGACTGGAGCTAGTCGCCTGTATCGAGCTATACTATGCGGCGGAGAAGTATCTGCTGGAAGAGCTGATTGCCGACTCCTTGCTGGCCGTCACGCGGAAGCTGCGCTTCGCCAACATCCTTCCCGCTTTGGAGCTCAGCGTCTGCATGGGCCTCGATGCCCTCCTCGACGTCTGCATGACCTTCTTCATGCGCTGCTGTGCCAACAATGGTCAGTACATGAGCCACCTTAAAGAGCACTATGTGCACGTGTCCAAGGAGTGCGTGAAGGCCATTATTGCCGCTTGCAAAGAGCCTCACAAGCTGCTCATTTGGTACGTTTACGAGTGGACGCGCCAGGAGTGCGAGCAGTTAGGACTCGGACCCAGCGATGCCGACCTGGTGGTCCACGGCCTGGGCGGTGAGTCCACCGGCCATTGGTCATCTGTGACATCAGCTGAGGCAGAGCCATCTTCCGTCCCAGGACCTGTGTTATCTGTGGAACGTTGCTACTACAAGGCCTGCCGTCCGTTTACGGTAGATGCAGAGACCCCGGTGTTCCGCCTGCGACTTAAGTGCTCCCGTTTTATCTCTCTGATGGGCCTGGTCCTCAACAGCCGGCTGACGCCCAATCGTTTGGGTCACGTGCCGCAACCAGAATACCGGGAATGCCTGCGCCTGCATCTCTGCGAGCTGCCCGCCGAGGGTGAGGGCAGTCCGCCGCCCACGGAACCCGTGTGGAGCCATGTCGTCCAAAACCAGAGCACCAAGTACAATTGTGATCTGCATCTTGCCTGGCGACGGGAGGAGGCCTGCGTTCTCAATCCGGAGCTCTCCTACGAGCTGCAGATCCACTGGGACAGCAACGCCTACGGAGCGGAGTATCCGTGCAGCCTGCAATCCTGCCAGGCAGACGGGATCCGTTTCACCGACGGCGACAGCTTCAGCGGGAGTCTTGTGAAGGGTCTGCGCTACGCCAATCTGGTGTAGAACTCGCGGACTCCCCCCAATTAGTTTAGTTCGTAAGAAATGTGTATTTATTGCCCTAAGTTAATGTACGCTGCTGCTAAAGTTCAATAAACTGTGAGCGCCTGAAGCCGGTTTGCCTTTTTACGCTTTGATTGGAGCTTAATCGATCGGACTGCGACGCGGGAGGAAAATGTTACTCACATGTTACTGGGGTCGCCGCAGCAAATCACCTGCCTTGAAATGACGACACAAATCAACAGGTAATTAAATAACTTAACTTATTTCCGATGTAAACAATGCGAACGCGAAGACAAGAGTGACCCGAAAACTACTCTCTGTATGGATTTTGCAGATAGCAGCGGCTGGTCACACGACACTTAGATAATTTAAAATCATTCACGGTTTCAACGGATTTTTCTGCCAAATTAAAGATTTTTAGAAATATTATAATTCGCAAATAAGTTAACAGCTTAATAGTCCGGAATCCGGATAAAACAACCTGTACAAATGAAAGTGAATTTATGTATATCGATATATCGTTCTATCGATATCCGTATGTATTAAGATTCTGGTATCACTGGAGAAAACCATAATAAGCGGCTTTGGTTTTGTTTACGCTGCGAAAATGACGATTTTATACAAAGTCGAGGGAAAGGATTTTAGCAAGGACAGTGTCTTCCCGCAGAAAGTGGTTCTTTGCTCCGTGTCCGCCCGTAACATAGTGGCGTTTAGCGCCTTGCAGAGCGCAATCGTACCTTCGTCGCACGGCGTTGGAGATGCCGGCGACGCATCTGGGCCAGGATCAAGCCTCGATGTGGGCGCTAGCAACAGTCATGTTTACGTATGCGACATCGTGACGCCGTGGGAGTACTACAAGGTGTGCTCCTCCAAGTCTCTAATCAGCGTGCTCCAGTGGAGTCCCAACGGCGAGCAGCTGCTTCTAGGCTACATCGGCGGGAGAGTGGAGATCTGGCAGCCGTGCAACCAATCGATCAACCTCTGGCTGCTTCAGTTCCACGCCAGCGTCCCCTGCGAGGACATTGTGCTGGCACAGTTCTTCCACAACGGCAAGGGCGTCTCTTTTAACCCGCAGAAGAAGGAACACACCTACTATGCGGAGAAGTTCGAACGCCTGGACGAACGGCCGACACTTTGCGGTTTTGGAGGAGTAGCCAGCGAAGGCTGCATACTGCTGACATCCTCTGGTCTGCTCGCCGCCTTCTGTCTGCCCGTGCTGCAGAAAACATCCGGAGGTGCAGAGGGTCTCGCCCACGAAGTCCTCGAGCTTACGCCCACACTACACAGCATTGGCGTTTCGCGGAGCTTTATCGAGCACTGCAGTCTGACGCCGTGCCCTAAGGGAGCGCTCAGCGTGGCCTTCAGCTGCGGCTGGCAGCAGCAACTAGTGCAGTGCTACATGGTCTCACTGTCGCTAGAGGGAGAACTGGGCCTGGAGCAGCACTTGGCCATCAAATCGGAATCGCAGACCAGCATTTTTCTGGGTCCGCTGGACGGCCGGAGGATCAGCCACTTAAAATGGACGCGGGTGGCAAACGAGGATGTGATCTTCATAGCCTACGCGTGTCCGGATGGTGCCGGCAGCCAGTTGGAGCAATGGACACTGACGCGTCGCCACCAGACCGTCCACGCGTTGCTGCAGGGCGGAAGCGGTGGTGGAGGATCCAACACCAAGACCAACGAGTTCGTGCAATCAGAAAGTTGGGAGCAAGTTGGCAAGGCTCACCTAAACGCCGTCCTCGCAGATATCTGTGTGACGCGATTGAACGTTTCATCGGCGGACTGCAGCCAGGTGTACGCCATTCTGCAGGATAACAGCGTCCAGGTGCTAGAACCCAATACGCTAAAGCAACTAACGCACACGCAGTTCGAGAGGGTTTCCGACGCCAGTGGCGGCGTGCGGTTTGTTAGCGGCGATCTAACACCCACCGGCCAGATGCTGCTGATCTTCGACAGCTATGCCCAGCTACATGCAATGCAGGCGCCGCTGCTGAAGCAGGCCTCGGGATCCGGATCGGGACTGCTGCTTCTGCTGTTGGAGTACTGCATCGTCACGGGCTGTGATGCCAGCGACGTGCTGCTTCTGAACTTGGGCAGTCTGGAGGCGCTGGTGGAGAAACTAACGGATAACTTTACGCGGCAGCCATCGTATGTGAGACACTATTACTACGCCAACTTCTTGGCCCTAAAGTCCAATCTATGCCGCGTGCAGCAGCAGGAGTTTGACAACCTGATCATTTTGCACGCCATATCCACCACGTTCAAGAGCCTTCTGCGCCCCTCTGATCTCGGGTGCCAGGACAAAGGACCCGCGGATAATCTAGCCATAAAGCTAGCCGAATCCATACCTGATGTTGACACCGTAATGCTGAATCTAGACGCCAAGGACTTCACAGTAGAGCCCGTAATGCTGCAGAGCCTCCAACAGCTGATACAATGGGTGACCGACCTGGCGCTCAACATGCTGCATCGCCTGCCCGAGGAGGTGATGAAGAGCAAACTATCGGGGAAGCGTCCAAGCTACGACATCAGCCGGGACATCGTGGCCATCGGCAGTATGCGCGAGCTGCTGGTCATGATTCGCATCTGGGGCCTGCTGAACACCCAATGCCTGCCCGTGTACACCAAGACGATGGACAACATCGATGTACTTGTCATTCTGTTTCGCCTGCTCACCCGCTTGGCCCAAAACCCCGCCGAGCCGGACGAGGTTCTACTGGACGAGTGCAGCCTACTGTCCAAACAGTTGCTAATACCGCAGCCCACCAGGTTCAGTCCCACCACCCTGCTCAGTGCTCAAGGCTTCGCGGCCGTGAAATCGGGACAGCTGCAGTTCACCTCGCTGGTGGAGCCTTCCTGCCTGCAGGACATGGAGATGGAGGACGTAGTTTTCGCTAGGTCGGTGAAGGACGGCGTTAGTAATTTGCAGCTGGGCGCCCGACCTAGCACCATCCGAAGATGCGCCCGCTGTGGCTTTGTGTTCGTCAACAATGCCAGCAAGGTGGCTAAGACGTCGGCATTGAAGGCATGGTTCAGCAAATGGCAGCACTGTCACTGCGGCGGCTTCTGGAAGCAAATTCACTAAGCTAAGCTAGCTATTAAGCAATGCCCCGTAGTACTTCAGATTATTTTAAGCTAACAATAAAAGTAGAGACAAAAATTTGATTGTTTTTGGTGTAATTTTTTGATCTAGATGCTTTCTTGCGTTCGTTTTGGGAAATATGTTCTAACTACCTTAAATTATTATACCATGCATCAACTTTAGTGTAAAAAAGTGGGTTAACAGGCTTGGAATGTTTTTTTACCTGTTATACAAACAAATTTATATACATTAAGAAATGACTACCATGGTATTATTATACGAATTAAACAATAATTTAATTTAAACCCCAATACAAATTAAGTTTATACGTATGTGTTTGGTATATTTTAGATAATGACACTCTGTAAGCCGTTTGGTATATTTTAACGGCCAGCTTACGGTCTTATTGCGACTGGGACTAAAAAATACAAACATTTTTGGCACTGAGGAATTAAAACTGATAAACTTGAAGTTCAGAGTATTTGCATTTGCAATTGGCGACAAAACACTAAAAAGCTCTGACAATGAACATAAATTTGCCAAATTTCAACGTAAAGAACCTGGTGAAGGAGGCGGGCAGCACGATATCGCGAGTGGTGCAGGTGAGTGGACAAATCAATGATTTTGGGTGGGGATGTGGGTTGGCAAATGGGGATGTGTACCCATGCCCGCACCAAGCGCACTCAATAACTTAAGAACTTTTTGTCTTTTCTCATTCTTGCACGTGCCAGCTCACGGAGGAGAAGCTGGGCACCACGGAGCGCACAGAATACGACTTGCACTTCCAGAATCTCGCCGAGCGGGCGGATGTGACCAAGACCTGGACGGAGAAGCTGGTGCGTGACACCGAATCGGTGCTGATACCCAATCCACAGAATCGGGTCGAGGACTTTATCTTTGAGAAGATCGAGAAGTCAAAGCCGAAGCGCCTGAGCAACCTAGAGCATTTGGCCCTGGATATGATCGCGGCGGGTGGTGACTTCGGACAGGACTTGCCGTACGGCCAGGCGCTAATCAAGGCCGGTCAGGCGGAGCAGAAGTTGGGCCAGTGCGAGCATGACTTCATCGCCACCTCGGGCATCTGTTTTACACAGCCGCTGCGAAAGTTCCTGGACGGCGAGATGAAAACGATTGGCAAGGAGCGCGGCATTCTCGAGTCCAAGCGCCTGGACCTTGATGCCTGCAAGAACCGTGTGAAAAAGGCGCGCAGCATGCTGGGCCAGCAGTCGGTGAGTGTGGGGTGTTTGTGGCGGGGAAATTGTAGTTAGGATTAGGTAATTTTTCGTTATGGATTTCTCACTTTTACTGTGCATTTCTCTCCCCTCTGCTGCTTGGGACCTTGCAGAAAGATGGCATCTCGCCAGAGGCCGTCTTAGAACAGGTATCGCGCAACGCCTTGACCTAGCTTAAGATTTATTGTCAATCAATTGGTTCCATCGATTGCTAATTCTCAGTTTTCTTTTCTGCCAGGCGGAGCGTGACTTACGGGTGGCCCAGGCCGAGTTTGACAGGCAGTCGGAGATCACCAAACTGTTGCTGGACGGGATTAGCACGTCGCAGGCATCGCATCTGCGCCATCTGCATGCCTTCATCCAGACGCAGGTCCGCTACTACAAACAGTGCGGCGATGTTATGGAGCAGCTGCAGCGCGAGCTGGCCAAGTGAGTGTGGATAGTTGACGTTTCGACCTTTGACCCTCGAGTAGGCACCAAAAGACCCCCCACCCCCGCACATGCACATGCACCCCGTCCCGGCTCTCGGTTATGTGTTATCTATGTGTTTGTGGTCTTACAGGATGCAGCATCCGAAGCCACGCCTGCGCATCAATAGCGAAGACGTTGATTGTGGGCCTCCCAGCTCTGTGTCGCTGCACTCCTGTGATTCCGATTCTGTAGTGGGCCCAGCCCCAGATAGCGATGCAGATCCCGATCCCTTAGACAACCTGCTGGATAACTTTCACATAGAATTCGACACAAGTGCCGTCTCCACAGTTTAGGCGGGAATCCGAATCCGTATCGCTCATTCAGTTAACATTTAAAGCTATGTTCATATATAATAGATAGGTTGTTTACGAAGTCAGGTTTCCGTCATCATTCCGTCATCCCTCCACAATACACAATTGCCACCTTAGAGCCGATATCAAAAACTCATTAAACTCTGCCATCATCTTCCATCAGCTTGGGAGGCCCCACACCATACATTCCGCTCGATCTGAACGATGCAAGTGCCAGCAGGTCCAGCACCTCGGGCGGCGGCGGCCCTACCGGCCGTGGGTCCGGCCACAATAACTCCTCCAATGCGGCCTCATCAGGCCACAAGCCCAGCCAGCCCTTGCACGTGAGCACGGACCAGATGCAGCGGGCTCGCGTCCTTTGCTCGTATGATGCCAAGGATCACACGGAGCTCAATTTGAGTGCGAATGAGGTGAGCAGGCCAAAATAGATCATAGTTTTTTTTTTCAATTAATGCATTTAACCTAAATCTCTTGAGTTTCAATTTACTTCTATATTAGCTAATGTTAACAAAATAACCAACATAAAAATAACTACTTCTAAGCACAGTTTCGAACTCATTTCATAAGATAAATTACATAAAGTTTTCCACACCTTGACAGGTTATTTTTGTAGCTGAATGCTCGCCGGTTAACGAGGATTATATGTATGGAAAACAGGGCCTGATGAAGGGCCTGGTGCCGCGGGCCTTCGTCGAAATGCTGGACGAGGAGCACGATGTCACCCTCTAAGTGCAATAATCATAAAGCAATCAATCAGTAATCTCAACCAAAAACCGCATGAACAAGAGAAATGCTCCAAAAGAAATGCCACGGAAATACTCATACGTTAAGGAAGAGGAGGGACGGAAGAGAAGGGAAGGCAATTGGACAATTACATGATAGCAAGAGAGTACAATAATTTATCAGAATATATTATATACAAGGCATATACACACATACGTGCATACATACATGTTATTATATAGAGAGCATCGTAGTTTAGGCCCCGAACCTCAATCCAGTTGCACAGATCACATAGCTATAATCGAATATACTGCAGTTGCCGCTGCCTCCAAGTATATACATATATAAATTTAATGATATTCTAAAGGTTAATCTTTTATTGTTACTACGTCTCGCATATCCAGGGACTCCACACTCCATACTCAACAAAGTATTATATATTTGTGTTACGTCTTTGTCTGTATCTTGGTTAACAAAATGACGACTTTATCTGTGCTTTACTATATCCTATATCTCCCTATATTTAGAGATTGTTAATCCTCAGCTATGGCATTCCTGTTTAAGCTAATTAGTATCTAGTACACTTACTCATTACTGCTGCTATTTATTATGTAAAAAATCACTTTATGTGCAATTTGGAAAGTCAATTAAAAAATTGTTGCTGTTTGTTAAGCGTAAGACAAAAAATCCTGAAGAAAACACCAAGCCGATTAGCCAATTAGCGCTTAATGTGACGCAAATCATTTGCAAAAAGCTAAGAAAAACGTACAATACAGCAATTAAAAAAGCAAACAACGATGTTTTTAGGTTTTCAAATAAGAGAAATGTTGTAGAGGTGAATTTTAACAATACATCAACTGAAATAAATATATGCAAAAAATATTATAAAGGCTAAGAAGCCCTTCTGGGCTGGATTTATTTTTTGGTAATAAATTCAGCATGTAATAAATTATTTTTTATTATTTTTAGCTTAGGAAATATAAGGAATTTTAAGAGTTTATTGTACACTTCAGAAATATTTCGTATGCCCTTGCAGGGTTTTTTTTAATTTTAATTTTAATCGGAAACTCGTAACGTGTGATGCAGTCACTTCCGACCCTATAAATCATATATATTCTTGATCAGCATCATCAGCTTAGACGATTAAGCCATCTCCGGACAAAATCTATTTATTTAAAATTTTTTTTAATTTTATATGGTGTTAAAATTGTCAAAAATTGGAAAAATTTTAAATTTTAAATTAACTACTTAGCTTCATAACCCTTATAAAAACAAACATAGGAACGCTTTCCGAATTGAAATCAATGAATTTTTGACTTAGATATGATAATTTTAAACTGGGATTTGTTTAAAAAATTATCATATAAAAATAAATATTAAAAAAATGTAAAAATCAAAGGTCTTAGAAGCTTGTGTTTTCCAAAACATAATTAAAATAATTGATTCTGGTCGTACGAAGGCCAGAGACTAAAATACTAGACTGGAACAATCTCAGTATTTTGTCAATACACATTTTCACACCATTTTCGCTCATCTGTTCGCAGTTTTGAGAATTTGTTAGCTCACAGAAGCGGTCCTACTAGCCACTACAAATTTTGCGCAAAATGTTTTCGTACAAGTTCCCTTTCGGGGATTTCCAAACCGTGACAACCATGACTGAATCAAATATTATTTTCGATTCGCCGGTGTACGAACAGCGCTACTGCGCCGCTATCCAGATCTTAGAGGACCCACGCTGGACGCAACAAATCAAAAAAGTTGTGGAGTTTGGCTGTGCCGAGATGCGCTTTTTCCATTTAATGCGCCGCATCGAGACGATAGAGAACATTGTTCTGGTGAGCTTGGATCTGAGTTATATTTAAAAGTAAAGAAAAGTACTTAAGTTAATTGTTAAGGAAATACATTTCTAATTTATTGATTTCCACTTGTTTATACACACGATATCCTAAGCTTAGACTTGTATCAATGTTTAAGAAATAACCATTATCTAGTTATATTAAATACTTGTTGAGGAGAGTATGTACCTTCATCTCTTCGCATGAAATGATGGCTGAAACGGGCTTACATCTGTGGGAAGTGATAATAACCTAAGAAAATTAACATACAATTTGCAAAAAAGTAAAAATCAAAATTAAAACTCAAGGATTTGCTATATCAAGGCCAATTGTAACCTATTAGGTGAGCACTTCTCCGCCGACACACCCCTTTAAAACACTCACAAACAGGGGGCGGGGGACTACAGGCTATATTGGATATATATATTTCAACAATCATATTCATCTTTATCCCTAGGGTGCTTAGCGAGCGTTGCAAATCAAAATGCTTAAGAAATCTTAACTTGTTATTTTATATAAAAACCGAAAACTACCCATCATGACGTAGTTCTCACTCATGTGGATCGTGTCCACGAATCTCCTGCCCAACATATCCGGAAGTATACATGCGTATAAGTAGGTTCCGTTCTTGTAACTTAATTATCACTAAAAATACTTGAAAACGAATTTAGGTTGCTTCTGTTCAGCTTTTCTGTTCTGTTCTGTTGTCCTTCGTCTGTCTCTTCTTCTGCTTCGATCGTCACTAGTTCCTATTCCTAACTGTCATCTTCTTCTGGCCATCACTTGCGACAATGCCTGGACGAGTGGACATTGCGCCCCTTACCATATTTATTTTCATCAACATATTCGCCGTACAGGTTCTGCACTTCCAGCAGGCTCGCATTGTTCTCCACATCGTGCCCGCCGCCGAGATGCGATTCAGTCTTATATAGACAGCGGCGCGTAGTCTGCCGCTTCTTACGTTGTTGTTGTTGCTCTAAATTCTCCGTCGACCGACTCGACTTCAGTTTCCGCTCTCCCTCGCCGGTGGCGGAGGCACGGACGGTGCCGTTCTCCTTGCGTGTGGCGCAGCCACGTTTGTTACTGGCCACGGCTGACAGCGGTGCTGAACGGTTCTTGCTCACAGCAGCCCCGGTGGTGGCTAATCTCACGGCATTTGAATTCTTGGGTGGCCTCCCAACGCGATTGTTTTTTACAGGCGGCTGATATTGCGTTTGGTTTTGCTTACGGGCCTTGCCCTTGGGGCGGCCACGCTTAGCTTTCTCGAAATGGTTAGAGCCGTCACTCTCTGACACTCTCGCACCATCGGTTTCGTCCTGTTCGCAAAGAAATATAATGCAGTGGTTATAAAATATGGGAGAATCAATTGTCGCAAGCAACTCACCTCATTATCTACGCTAACTGTAGCCTCCTCTTCTTCTTCTTCCTCTTCCTCTTTCTCATCCTCCTCCTCTTCTTCCTCTTGGTCATCACCATGTGTCTCCTGATTTTCCTCCTCTTCCTCATCTTCATCATCCTCGTCTTCATCCTCGTCTCCATTTTGATGATGCTCCTGAACGACCAAACCTTTGTCCCGGCGACTCTGCTCCACGGCCAGTATGGCGTAGGTTGGCTTGCCCTCATAACGTCTAGGAAGTCGCGATTGCAAGGGACAGATGGACTCCTCCCGCTCAAACTCTTTGACGGCCCGTTCCCGCGCGATTTGATCTGGGTCCTGGGATAGCACCTCCGCCCAGGAGAACTTCTTTTTAACAGCTTTCTTGTTGGACTTGGAACGCAGGTTCTTAGGCGAGACGCGATTTGTGAGCGAGTGCTCCTGGAACGGAGTGCTCAGCGCTGAGTTGCGCATCACATTCATGGGTAATTTGTTGTTCAGTTCGAAGATGTCGCACTTGTTGCCATCCACCTCGTCCTTGATAGAGACACAAGTGCGCTGGATCTCCTCGCTGCTCAGACGCAATTGGCTTGGATCAAATCCGAGGCGCTGGAACTCGCGCACGAATATCTTGCGGTATCGATCATAGTTGGGTCGCTCCTGATAGGCAAGCTGACCGATCTGCTGAAGGAACTCGCCCAGATACTTAGGAACTTGCTTGCCGTAGAACTGGCGCAGCATCTCCGGCACGTCCGTCATGAACAGCTCTTTGGCCCGGTGTACCTTCTCCTGCTGCTGCTGCAGGGCCACATCCTTCCAAGGCAGGTAGCCTTCCGACCAATACACCAGGTTGTAGCCTAGGCACTCTAAATCGCTGCGTCGCGAATGGGCTCCCAGGTGAGCATCACGCGACGTAAATTCCAGCGTGCCATCGTGCGCCCGTCGCTGATCCATTATAAAGGGGCGATGGACACCTCTATCTTGGTACTTTGACGCCAGCCCAAAGTCGATGAGGAATACATGCTCCTCCTCGACTGGCATGAACTGGTATTCTGTGGGGTTGCTTACCCGGCTGCCGCGTGTTTTGTGGTCGCCGCTGGACTCCTTCTTTTGCTTCTCCTGATGCCGGGTGGACCGCGTTGACACCGAAAACTTTTTGGGACTCGAAGCCTGAGCGCCTCTGCCTTTCTTGACGGTTGAACGACGAGCTTGTATCAATGAGGGCGGAAGGAACTCTTCCGACTCATTGTCAGACGACTCCCGCGATTCATCATCACTGTTTTGCTCACTTGGCTTTATGGGATAACCCTCCTCGTTAAACTCCTCGCGGTAGCTGATGCGCTTGGTGGGCCGCAGGTAGTGCGACTTGACCATCTCTTCGTACATGGAGTTCCGCTTGTCGCGACGGCAAGAGCGCACTGGATTCGAGCCACTGAACTCGACCGGATTGCGTCCGCGTCGCTTCTTGTTCACCGGCGTGTGGTAGTTATCTAGGCTATTGCTGTTGTTGCTGTTCGATGTGGCACCGTCATCGAAGTCCTCGTCCTCGTCATCGTCCTGATCAATATCTGCTATCCTCTTCAAGGCAAACTTCTCGCTCTTCAGAAAGTACTCGTCGTCATTGGTCTCCTGCTCCGAGCTGTTGCCACTGTCTGTGGTCTGCTGCTTCTCCTCGTAGTGCTGATCGTAGCCGTTACCCTTGCTCTTTGCAGCACCCAGGTGAATCGCCTGTCTCTTGAGGTACTTGCACTTGGAAATCATCAGATTCTGGGCCTTGATATCGTTGTGGCAGTAGCCCTTATCGTGCAGATTCTCCAGAACATTGAGGATGTGTATGGCAAGCACTAACAGAGACTTTTGGTGCACCCTCGAGTTCTTGGTCAGCGAGTGCAGATCGCGATCGAAGCGGGGCAGCACCAGAAAGCGATAGCGGGCATCTCCAAAGAAGTGAGTACCCGATGCAATGTAGCTGGGTATCCCGGAAGGCGGACCCTGGCTAAGGCCATGATTCTGTTGAGCCGGTAGGTTGGCGACAGCTTCCTCCGCGCCGTCGGATATTTCTAAATTTAAAACATGGTTAGCACATATGCAATCCAATGGAGCAAACACAGAGCTTACCCTTCGTTCGGGAGGTGTTGATCAAACAGTGAATCTCTACGAAAAGCGGTCCATTGGAGTGCGGCTCGATTTTGACTACATACTTGGCGCTATCCGAACTAGCCGGGCAGACTGTGTCGTCTGAGGCCAAGAAGATTTCGCCAAAGTTGCCTTTGCCTAGGGAAGGAGAAAACACGTGGGATTACCGATGATTTCAAGAGTCTTCTGGGAGATAATTACCTATGGGTCGTCCCAAGCGCCAGGCCTTTGAGAGCAAATCCCGCATGATGGTGCCATTGACCACTGAAGGCCGAAGCGTGTAAACTGGACGTGGTGACTCCGTCGCGCTCGAGTTGTTCTGGTCGCTAGCAAAACTGGCGCCGGTAAGAAGCAGACTGCGTGCCTGTGGTGTGTGCAGCAGGGTAGGGGTGACAACCACATCCATGCTGGTGGTACCGTTACCGCAACCTACAGAGCCCGACGAGGATGAGGACTCCTCGTCATCATTCTCGTGAAAGTCGAAGCCGTTGGCGCTGTTCGAGCCACCGCTTAGACGCTGGCACTTTTCAGCGGCCTTTATAGCCGACCGCTTGCGCTTGCGAGCACTGCGGTCCGTGGGCGGGCGTTCCAGTTGAAGGCGCTTGCCCATCTCACCTGGCGAGGATGTGGATCTGGGAATGCCTTACGGGGAGCTGGTAGACTCCTCCTCAGACTCTCTGTCACTCAGTCTCTCAAGTTTTCGAAGCGCGTAGGCAGGAACGTCTCTACGTTATTTGCGAATGTTCAGCCAAGTGGGGTTTGTTTTTGTCCGATTCCGCTTTGTATGTCGATTCTCTTTCACCTGATGTTTGTAGTTCGTTTTGAAAGAGGTCGAAATAGAAATTAGTAACTGGCTATTTATAAAAACTGAGTTCATGCACCAGGTATTGTTTTTATAAAGATCTGTCAGTCCTATTGTGCTAAAAGATTATTCGGCTTTTTTAACTCACAATTTGTAATTGTTTTGTTTTGTTTTGTTTTACGAACCGGTACAAAGGGAAATGGAACATTGTACTAGAGACGGTACTCGGGATATCGATAAGTTTTAATTATTAATTAATTAATGCCAATTGTAAGTTTTATATTTATAAGTTGATAAACAGAGTGGTTAAAGATTCGGTTTGTTGCTTAAACACCATTTGCAACGTGTATTATATTTTACATTCACTTGACAAATCAGTTTTATTAACGTATAAATTTTAAAATGGTTCATGTTCCAAGCACCACTTATCGATATCTTGATTAAACGAAAGGAAACGGAACACACCGAAAGGCACCGTTTGTTCACTTGTATTGGTGTACAACAATTTTGTACACACAACAAAACAAATCATTTAATTAAACAATTTTGGGAAAATGCAATATGCTTTAGTCACTTGGTTAAGACTCGCTTTTCGCCAGATGAATTTTATCGGGGAAACGAGAATGTTCGCTGCGCCCGTATCACAAACCCAAATACAAACACAAACAAACGCGGACGCACCACCATGTCTGGAGCAAACAGACGGACATACATACAGACTTCGGGAAAAAAAATCGATTTTGCTGGCCGGCTTTAGGACACAAAGGGGCAAAATGATAAAACATTTATTTGGTTGCTGCCAGGACTTCCCCAGATCACACATTTAACGTGCCACTCGGGTGCTGGGGCACAAAGGCAAATTGATTTTTCAGTATGTGTATTTTTCTCACGTATTACTTGTCTCTTCTTCTTATTTTCGTCGTTTTCTTTCTCAGTCCCAAGTGCACCACAGATTTTCACTGGCTCGCGCAGCTCCCCGGCTGAAGGAGCAATGCTTACACTTTTCACTTGGTGCAATGGTGCACAGCTGCACTTTCACAAAACGTTTTACACTATATTTCCGCTTCCATTTGACTCTTCTTTTCGTAATAATTACACATTCTTCCTGCAAGCCAAGCAGCAGGGTTGTATCGGTTGGACGTGCGATAGTTGCCATCGATATCGTTGAAGGGCTGTATCGATTCTCGATGGATTTCGATTGTTTCACTAAAAGTAAATTAGTTAAATCTTAAATTTTTTTTACGAATTTACAATATCTTATCATACAAATATAAATAAATTAATGGGGATAAAAAATCGATTAAAATTCAATGTTCCGTTTCCATTTTGTTCCGTTGTTTGAGCTGGCGGTTATTTTCAAATGTTCTGAATCCGCAGGTTGATATTGACGAGCAATTGCTAAAAAGAACCTGCACTGGAATTAATCCTTTGGTCGCTGACTATATAAGACATCGTGCAGGTCCTTTGCACGCTAAGATCCTGAAGGGAAGCGTTGCGGATTCTTCGGAGGAACTGCGAGACACAGATGCAGTTATTGCCCTGGAACTGTGAGTATTGTATTATTTTAATTTTACCTTTGATTTTTATTATTATTAACTTTCAGCATAGAACACGTTTACGACGATGTGTTGTCCAAAATTCCACCAAATGTTTTTGGGTTTATGCAGCCAAAGGTGGTCGTTTTCAGTACTCCCAACTCGGACTTTAACGTGATTTTTACCCGTTTCAAACCTCTGCTACCAAATGGATTTCGGCACGAGGATCACAAATTCGAGTGGACGCGGAAGGAGTTTAAGGCTTGGTGCATGGGTATCGTAGAGAAATACCCAAACTATGTTTTCTCTCTGTTGGGAGTGGGCAATCCTCCCAAGGATATGGAATCCGTGGGTCATGTATCGCAGATAGCGGTATTCGTGCGTAAAGATATTCTAGAAATTCAATTAGTGAATCCATTGGTTGTGCCATCGAAACCTGATACAGAGGACTTAACTCCTTATAAGCTCATCCATGCCGTCGATTATCCTTTTTATGTGGATCCGAGGACCGAAAAGGAGAAGATCTGGGATGAAATCCAGTTCGAACTGCAGCGTTTTAAAAGGATTGCAAATAATCCTGAAAATGAAGATCCATATACAGACAAAATTAAAATGCCAATTGTAGTCCTATTGGAACGATTACAGAATGTAGGAGCCACTGAAAAATACTTAAGGTTGTACTCCAGGAGAAATCATTAAAAATAGAGGAGGACTGCGTTATAATAGAGGACTCAGAGGAGTCAAGCGAGTCGGAACCCTACGGTTTGTCCGATTGCCACTCCCAGGAGGCTGTCTTATCTGACCAAGATAAAGAGGAGTGCTGGGACTTGCTTTAATAATAAATAAAAATATAATCTTTGTTATGTTAAGCCATTTTCAATTAAATCAATCAATTAAAATGAAATATTTAACTGCCTTTAATTCGTATCATTAGGCACACAGTGACTTTTCGAATAAACCAACCACTGCTGATGTTTAGTTTACTGACAATCTGTTGACATTTGAATGGGTGGATTTTTCTAGGCATTATCCGCTGGCTGGCTATTTCATTCCTCCCCCAACTGACCATATTCATTGCAAAAATCGTTGCAGAAATTGGGGTTGCCGCCAAGATGATGACGGTGACGCCGCGTCGTCTGTCTCGCTGTGGCACCCTCACGGAAATTGCTTTTGTTTGCAACAAACCGGGGATGCAGGAAGCAGAGGGCAGACGGCAGAAGGGAGGACCTTTTGCATGCAGACACTTGGCGCAATCGCAGCGCGCACCGAATAGTAGCTATTAATACCCCTCCGGCTCAAACTCCGCCTGTGGTTGCCAGTTAATGGAGCTGGCGTCAGAACGGAGCCGGAACTGAGTACCATCGTCAGTCAGTCGCAAGTCAACCTCGCTCCGGACGACAGCCTGGCAGGCGAATTGAAACCGAAACAAATTGCCATAGCAGCCAATCCTATCGTGACAATAGCGCAAAAAGGAGAACGAGACTTCATAAACATTCACCTGCCAGCGGTAGGCATTCCATATAGCCTATACCTTGCCTTGACTTGTGTGTCACATGTAAATAGGAATTTAACTCAATTTTGATTACATTAGCTCCGACTCCGACTCTAGCTAATATTTCGTTCAGTTGTGTCGGTGAATCGAAGATATGGCAGATGAGGCAGAAGGAGGCAAGGAGGGCGAGAAGAAAATCGTACACGTTTATCCACTGGTGAAGGTTGGTTGGGCCACTGCTACTATGCATACACTTTCTTTAATCCTGGATTATTTAATCCTTGCTTTTTCTCCTTTTAGCACTCGGACATGAACGAGGAGATGCGAATAGAGGCCATTGAACTGTCCATCACTGCCTGTGAGAAATACGCATCGAATTATGAGGTAAAATTTACAAGTATACTGCCATTAGGTCTTATTATCCTTAAGATATTAGGATTTGCTTTTTAAAAGTTAGTTTAAAGATTAATTATACATACATATACATCATATATACATTTCCCATAGAAGATTCTATGTTACATATTATGTTGGAAACCACAGACCCATTAACTATAGACACTTCACTGATCTCAGAACTTGTAAATTCGTTACAGCACGCTGCCAAAATCATCAAGGAAACCATGGACAAGAAGTTCGGCATCTATTGGCATGTGGTTGTGGGCGAAGGATTTGGTTTCGAGGTTTCATACGAGACGGAGAACATTCTCTACTTGTTCTTCGCCGGCAACTTGGCCATTGTGCTGTGGAAGTGCTCATGAAAAGCGGGTCAAAGCAGGAATCAATCGAACGTACCTAGAAACCGGAACAAAACCCCAACCCGAACCAAACAGAATTATTTAGCATTAATTTTAGTTATACATACAGAAATGTAAGCATACATACTTACGTTAATGTTATGAATAGTAAGTCCCGCACTGGTGGATGAGAAATGAATTCCCATGGCAACGATGGTGGCTTAATGTGTGTGGAAAAAGATTGGTTTTTATTACAAAACGTACCTAGGCTCTAGCACTTTGAAGACACGCGCTTATAAAATTGTTTGTATGCACTAAACGAGAAAACGAAGAAGTAGAAAAAGAAGCTAACACACTACGCATACACATCCTCCCGATCCGCGCCGGCGCCGTCGCCGCCATCTTCGAGGTTCGAGAATAGCAGGAAATGCGAAGTGCGATGGAGTTCGTGATAGAACTCCTTGGGATTGGCCAGCTGCAGCTCGTACTTCATGTTCGGGTCGTGGCGCACGCCCATAAAGTTGTAGTTCCAACTGCTCTGCGCCGGCACCATGAAGAAGCCGAGGAATTTGTTCGAGAGCAACATCTGGACGCGCTCATAGTGGGATGGCAGGTAGCCCTTGGGATTATTGCCCTTGTCCGTGTTCTTGGAGCCCCACTCGAAGCCCGAGGGGGTCAGCTTGTAGGCAGTCAGCGAGCAGGATCCGGGCGTAAAGGAGCATGTGATCACGATAGTCTTCTCGCCATCCCAATTCGAATTCTCCTGCATGATCTTGGCGTGCGTCGTAATGTCTTGCGGCGACAGCTGCGGCAGTTCGTTGGGCTGCGTGTGGATCCAGCCCAGGGGCTCCATGTCCTTGAGGTACTGATGCGTTGGCAGGGCATTGGGCAGGTTTATCGTCTGATGGGTGCCCCATTGCGGTGGCATTACGATGCAGCGGATCTCCTTCACCTGGGGGTTGTCCGGCGGACTAACGCCGTAAAGATAGCCCGCAATCTGCGCTCTCAGATCGGAAATCGTTACGAACTTCTTGAGTATGTTCTTGGGCAGGATGTAGGTGTAGCCTGTCTCTTTGATGTCATCGGAGCTCACATAGATGTGGTTTGTTCGCAGATGCAGATTGGTGGCAGAGATTGCTCTCACTCGCCACTCCGTCTTCGAACTGAAGGTCTGCGTCTCGTAGTTGGACGTCGTGGAGGTGATGATCTCGTCTCCATGCTTGTTCGTTGTTCGAGTCGTGGTGGCGGTAAGTTGGTTCTGTTCCTTGGTCTGCTTCTCGATCTCAGCAATCTGTTGGCGTTGCGCCGAGGGAGCGCTGATCTCCATGCCCAGAATGATATCACGAATCTCCGACTGAGTCAGCGAGGCCACATTCACGTTGTTCTTCTTGCCGTAGTCTGCCAGAATAAGGTCCTTCAGTTGCACCTCCACCTTGATCCATTCCTCATCCGTCAGAGTTGGCCAAATATGGTGCGCCTCCGTGATGGTAGTCTTATCCGGCTTCAGGATGATCTTTGTCCGCTCAGTGTTGACGTGGAGGGCGCGCAGGATTAGGATGAGACGGCTGAAGGCCGTGTACGAGGAGATCGTCTTAAGCCAGTCGTCGTACAAATTAAACAGCACCATCTGTGGCTCGGTGGCCTTGAGGATCAGGTCGCCAAACTTCTCCACCTTGAGACAGGCCTGGAAGGGCAACTGCAACTCCGAGCCCTTGATCACAATGTTGGGGAAATCGAGCAAGTGCACCTCCAGCGGATCCAACATTCCTTTGCGTGTTACAATAATCTGCTTGGGCTGTTCCTCCACAGGCAACGATCGAATCAGAGCTGCCACCTCCTCGGCTGTCTTCCACTTGGCCAACTGGCCCAAACGCTTCTGGCCAGCCCACACCGATGTGTGAATGATCTTAAGGAAGAGCTGACCCGTTCGAGGATTGAAAATAAAGATGGCTCCATTGATGGGCTTTGTTGTCAGATTTCCTTCGAATGTTTTGTGAATGGTGACGCGATACACATTGGTGTCGTCCACAAACCAGATTATCTGGTTGGAGAAAAGCTCACCGTAGTTTTGGGAACTCAGGTAAGGCTCCGTAGGTTCCGAAGAGTACAGCTGCAGTGCCTTGCGGATGCGCTCACGGAGCACATAGAGCGCGGGATTCGCCTTCATGATCTTGGCCATGGCCTGCTGGATGAGAGTCTTGCAGCCAGGGAACCAATTACCATAGGCAGAATGCAGATTGTACGCCAGATCAATGGCAATCAGCACGCCCGTGGGAGAGGGATAAATGGACATGTTATCCGTGGTATAATCGAGGAACTTCGCTCTCGCATAGCGCTCCACATCGTGAGAATCGTAGTCGCCCCAACGGAGCTGGATGTCCAGCCAGTACTTCTGGGTGGTGGTGTTGTCCATGGTATCCTTGGTATCGGCCAGCAATGAGGGGCGCGACACGTTCCATTTGTAGGCGGGGAATAGCAGGATGTCTGCGCATGATGAATTCATCTTATAGGACTTTCGCGGATGGATCGTCTCCTTCTGCACTGTTTCAATCTCCAAAGCGTCCAGCTCCTGATCGAATACCTGGCACAAATCCATCACAATCGACTCGTGGATTTTCTGCCACAAATGGGCACGGAAAATCTGGATCAGCGAGATCTTGAGCGTGGGAATTTTGCCGTGCATGAAAATACCAGTCAAATCCAGTTGCACCTGGAAACCGACGTAGACATTGGCACGATTGATGGTCGGCGACCACCACAGGGTGAAGCGACGGTTCGGAATCTGGTTAAGACCGGATCGCTGAGCATTTGTCAGCTTCTTGTACTTCATGGACTCCTCAAATCCAGAGGCCTTCTCCCAAAACAGACCCTCCCAGGTGGGGAAATAGGTGCCCTTAAAGAGTGTGTGCTCCAAAATGCCCTCCACTCCGCCCAACGCCTGAATCATGTCCGTTCGGTAGTTGTTCAGGTTCCAGAGCTTACCATCGTGCCGCTGATGCGTCCACCAGAAGGGGTTTTGCTTTAGAACTTGGTACTGCTTGAACTCGGTCCGAATGCGCCAGCCCTTGTCATAGGCCAGGGTGTGTCGGTCCTTTTGGAAGAGTGTATTGATCCGGGGAATACCACGGTCCCAGCTGTCTTCTAGATCCTCCAGTGTCAGCCGACGGTTTTGAGCATTCGCCTCCTGACGTTTTAACGCATACTCGGCCCACACACGCTGGGAGTCGATGAACTCGCTTTCCCATGGCTGAATGTAACGATACAAGTTAGGTATAAGCTGATCCTCATCGTGGGACATGCCTGTAAAAAAGTATATTCATAAGAAACCCAACTTACAACGTTCATTTGACTTAAACCAACCTGATCGGAAATGGGTGATGCCCACATCGGTCTGTTTGGACCAGCGTAGATCCGATTGCGGAATTAGGACGTGACCCATGCTCAACATGCCGAGACCGCCCAACTCCTTGGGTGTGTAGAATACAACTGGCGGAAATCGCGAGGGCATCTTCGAGTTCAGGCCAATCTTGATACGCGTCTGAATCTTATTCTCGCACTTAACTAACAGATCCAGCAGCTCCTGGGTGTTGACCACAGCCTCACGGAAATAGGTCATCAGACCAATAAGTGCGGTATTCCATTTGTTTACAATCTGCGAAAGAGCGAATTATTATAAATACGCAACATTCTACGATTGCATTTCAGATTATATTCACCTTTGTAAAGGTTGTGGAACCGGAGGCCATCAGAATCTGTCGAACTCGATTGTGGAAGCGTCCCAGGGACTCGTCATCCACACGCAGGAAGCACTGAGCCGTGCGCTCCTTGGTTATCTCATTCTGCAAGTTCCACACACCGTCTCGATGCGTAAACTCCTCGTTTTGAGTGCGACACTGTAGGGGTAAAGCAAATTTAATTACAAACTGATCTTTAAAGGGCAGTTGGTTTAAAGAACCTTTGGCAAAATGCGACACTCAAAACCGCTCATGTTGAAGAGCAGATTGGGATTATCCTTGGAATACACAGACACAAAGGTGCTCTCCCAACCAATGGTGGTGACAGAACGCGGCAGGCGGTTCTTAATATCCCAGAAGACAGCGCGACCTCTGTAAAATTTAAGAAATTGTTAGAGACTATAAGTTAGTTTTAAGTGAAACACCTACAGATTGACATCGTGTTTCATCAAACGCATGCGAGCATCTCGTGGCCAGCACTTCTTATTGTTGTAGCCCACAATGTTCTCGTTGTTCGGATCCGGATGCTCGGTGAGGTAGCGCTGAATAAGATCGCGCGCCTCCTCGGCCGAAAATCGGAAGAACAAGTGAATGCGGTCGACGTAGCGACAGTAAAGTCGAATAGGATGCGCAGTTTCGGTGACCGCATCCTGGAAAGTGAGAAAATCGTTGGGCATTTGTGGCGGTCCCGCCATCTCGCTGGATCGGTGCAAGCCCAAAACGAGGAGATCCAACACCAGACCGTAGTACTGCGTAATGAACGAGGAGAACTGTAGGCCGCGAATGATGCCGTAGCTGTTGGTATGGTTCATGTCCTTGTAGTTGATCACCACGTTGTTCTTGGCCGTCATATAATCGGCGATATTGTGATCGACAATTAGACGTAGAAGACGGTTGAGCAGAGTCAAATCAATCTTCTCGTACAGCTTTTCAAATCGCGACTCAAGCAACACATTACACTCGCCCTCACCCACATCCCACACCTCCTGCAAGTTGTTGATGCCTATTCAAAGAAGAAATCCAGATTAGATTCAGAACCCAAAGGGTTGCTTTCCCACTTCACTTCCTTGATGCACATCGGATTCCATCTTTGGCGTGAGGTTTGCAACAAGGGGATGATCAAATACATATCACTTTGCCACAAATCACACACCCAAAATGCCCTGCTTCCCTTATAGTCAAATATGCCAAGTAATCAGTTCAGATCTCATTTTTACCTTGACACCACTTGTAGGCTAGCAATGGTGGTGGCTCTGTGTCGCTGGGCTTAATCCATGGGGGAAACAGTCGTCGCTTGTCGGCCTCATACCACAGATACTGATCAAGATATGCGTCCGTGATCTTCTCCAGCGGCTCCACCTCATAGACGGGAATCAGATGACTGTACAAGTCCATAAACTCTATGCCAACCTAGAATTAAAGATAAAGTCCGTAAATTTTAATCGAAATAAGAATGACTGTAGGGGAGGCAAACCTCTTTAAATGCCCGCTGCGTGAGCAGGTGACGCTTGATGCGGGACAAGGCCTCGTGCGGATTGTCGTACGCCTGCTCGATGAGACCCAGCTCCTCGCGCTGGCTTTGATTTAATCGGGACTTGACGCTGTAGGCCTCCTTCAAGCGCTCCAGGGCAAGGATTAGCAGCTTAGTGTCGTGCTTGTAAGAGAGCGGCGGGAAGGGAATAGGCGCAAAACGACGCGACTCCAGCCAATGAACTGTGGTGGTATAAATGGCCACAGCTTCTTCCGGAGAAATGTAAGGGCCATCTTTAAGGTAATTATGCTGTCTCTCTTGCTCCGCCTTTAGGTACAGTCGCGTCAATCGCCCCAGATTCTTCTTGCACACCGTCTTGTCCACGGTGGCTCCACGTCTAATACGCTCGCGATTATAGTGAGCCGTGTTTGTCCACCAATCAGCTTTCATCTTAACGTAACGCAGGATCATATTCTCAATGGGTATTGGTAGACCCGGCACCTTCCACGGTATGTTCGCCTTCCAGCAGCGCCAGGCCTCTGACAGATGCTGGAGTATGGTACGCGCCTTGTTTTGTTTAATGCCCTCGGGCATCATGTCAACGATATCGTGCATTACAGAGGCACGCAGCTCCAAGTCAAAGTGGGACTCAACGCGCTGCTTGGTCACCGTCTTCGCCACACCCTTCGAATGTCGTCCCTCAAATTGACGTGATAGCAGATTGCCCAGCCAGCGTTCTAGCAGTGGTGTGATTCCTCGCATGAAGAAAAGCCACACTCGCCAACCGGGAGCCCAGAAACCACAGCCAGGACCCTTGCCAACAGGTCCGGTGTTGAAGCGATAATAGATCAGATGCTTCAGATCCTTGCACATCCGGATCTGCCTCATCAGCTTGTACTTGTAGCGATACATGCCCGTCAGCTGTCCCACATGGGCGAAAATGTACTGCAATCCATCGGCCAACTGGAAGGCGTCCACATTGTTTAGCCGATATTGGACATGCGAATCAATGATTAGCTTGGTCAAACGCAGAATCTCACGGCACAAGTGGAACGCTAGAATGTTCAAGACGATGCTATATTTATTGATAAAATGCAAAAAGAGCAACTTACCATTTCCGAAACGTGATTTTTTACGCTCCTTGGTGGTTAAGGTCTTCACGGGCTTCAAATTGAAGTTGTAATCCAAGTGCAAATAGTTCAGATTCTTTCGGTGAATCAAAAGGTTAAGCATGTTATATCCCTGACGGCAGACCTGCAGTCCAGCTTCCACCCAATCCAGGGTGGTTGTCTGGAAGAACTTGGTGGCCTTGAACGAACGGAAGAGGTAGCTAAGAAAGGAAAACAATCAGCAAATTCAATAAAATATTCAATAAGGTTATATTCTCACCGTTTCTTTTGTGGCTTTGGTTTGCGATGCTTCAGAGCATTGAGAACATAGTACTTAAGAAGCTTCTGATAGCTCACGCGCACCTTGACCGGATGACCAGGCGGACAGTGCTCCTTGTACCAGCATTTAACCAGCGGCACATCAATGGCTCGGCGGGAGCGACCCGATCGCATGTTGAAGGGACGAGGAGCCCAGAGCAGGGAAATGCCGTTGGCGGTGTTGTCCGTGTACAGAGGTGTGTCCTGCAGAAAGGGCTGGACATCGTCCGGCAACGTAAATTCCTCGTCATCATCCGGCAGGGGCTCTTGCACTTTGGAGTTGGCATTGCGGTGCGATATGGGATTGATGAGCGGGTCAAAGTAAAAGGCGGGCAGATCGGGATCTTCGGTCTTGATGTAGACCACGTTGGGAGTGTGATACCTGTAATTGGACAAGTGTTTTCTTAATGCCAGTCCCCCAAGATATGTTTTAATGTATGCAACTATCAGCAGTCACGATCTAATCTCTTCAATCGCCACGAACATTATCATTGCAGCTCCCATTTATCGCATAATTGGTAGTAAGCTGGGGAGCACGTCGTTTATCTAACATGGCATGAAGCCCTTCCAGCGTTGCTTTTCACTTGGAAACGTTACTACCACGTAAATGATACTTTAGATATAACATTGAAGGGGGAAACTTCTAGGTCTTACCAGCTCAGATGCACAAAGTGTGGCATGTTGTTGTATAGGTAGGGAAAGGCAATTCGATATTCTGTGCGTATAGGTTGCCTTATTATGACCTTATTGATGTCATTGAACTCGTTCCAGTCCTCGTCACTGCAGATAGAATATATATAAAATACTGACCAGATTTCTACCCCTTTATATTTAACTCACCCCACATTGTGGTCTTTAATCAGTGGCTCAAACTTTGGTCCACCTGGTATGGCCATATTCAAGGCCTTGGCGGTGAAGAAACTCTTTGGGTCGAACAGATAAAAGAAGTTATTGTCCACTAGGTCCGTGAGCAATTGATTGGCCAGCCGATACAATGTGGCCAGTTGAGGCAGGGAAAGATTCCACTTGCGGTACGTAGAGCCGTTCACGAAGCTATGAGGGATCGTTTCATTATTAAAAGAAATTAAATATATTTCACATTTTAAACTTACGGCGTATCCACCAGTGGACGATGATCATAAAACCATTTGTACACGGCATTATCTTCATCGTTGTCCAGCTCAATTTGTATGGCCTCCAGGGGCTCCACATCCAGCACGTTGTCGGCGTAATCTAGCGGAGGCTCCTCATCGTCGAAGGGCGGGAAACGCATACGCTTGAAGTGACGACGATCGCGCTTCTCACGACGCATCATAATCCACATGGTTCTGGGAAGAAAAGCATTTACTAGAGCATAACTTTAGAAAGAAAGAATTTAAAAACTCACCCCCACTGAGCTATGTAGACGGGCTCAATGACCCAGGGAATCTCATTCACAAATGTGATGGCTCCCGTGATGTGATACAGCACCTGGACATCCCGGATCTGCTCCCAGGGCATGGGCATGTTCTCTAGCAGCTTGAGCACAGCATGCGGCATGTACTTCAAGGCGCCCAGATACACACGCTTGTCGTGGCGATATTTACGCGAGGTCATGTCACCGTGGTCACGTATAATCTTCCTGATATGCTCCGGCGGCATATCCTCTTTCTGGGTGTCCACGAAGCCGAACTTGCGCTTTTCGGCGAAACGCTTCGACTGCAGATGCTGCCACTTCAGCGCCTTCTCCTGCATCTTCTCCTCGGTGAGGATGTCGGGCTTCGGCGTGGGAATCTGACCCAGCCCGGGTCCCTGGCCCTGTCCTGCCGGGGTGGGAATGCCGTTGGCATGGCCTCCTGGCGGGGGTAGAGGAGCTCCCGGCGGCGGTATCTGCTGTATCTGGTTGGCCATCTGCTGCTGCGCGTGCAACTGCGCCTGCTGAGCGTGGGCCGCCGCGTACGCCTGCTGGGCCATCAGCTGGGCGGCCCAAGCGTTCTGCGGTATCATGTACGGCGGAATGGACATCGTTCCGCTGCACTTTTCCTAATCAATAAATAGAACAATACGCATTAGGATAATGGGGCCTATCCACACACATACACGAGGGAAAGAAAACTAATGCCGCCACCGCCGCCGCCGATGTCGCGACTTTCGCAATATTTTTCACTCTGCTGAAAATGTGCACAATACGCAATTTCCACAAGACATAAGTGGCGCACTTTGTTCTCCAAAAGTTAGTTTGCACTTTGTTTACCTAATTTTCACTTTTACTACGTTTCTTCAGCCGCAATCCACAAAATTTTCCCGGTTTTGCAAATCGAAAACGTTTTTTCATGCGGCAGCCATTTCTAGTGGTGGGCGATACATTAGTGCTGGCACTATCGAAACATCGATGAATCATTACGCCGTCTCTAAAATAATCGGCTTGGAAATGATCGTTATCGTCCGGCTTCGCTCGGAAACCAGTGTGACCAGAGAAATTGAAGAAATGGTGCAAAAACAGTCATACTGCCAAGTGAATCCGCGTGTTATCGATAATTATTTGAGATTTAAAATACAAACATTTGTTATGTCCGCCTTTAAGACCATTAAATTTTATAATATAGCCCCATTTGTGTTAAAAAGTAACTTGAAAGTCACACAGAAAGTAGAATAAGAGAGTATAATGAAAGATGCATTTTTAATTGTATTAATAGATAATGGTAAAAAACAATGTATAATAATTTTTAAAATAATAAAGATTAATTTATACAGTAAGAACTCTAAAATCATGTTGTTTTAAATTCCTTAATTAAATTGTAAAAACAAAAAACATAAACAAAAGCGAAATTACCTCCAAATGCTATTTAATTATTCTAATTAAATCAAATGATTCAGCTGGACAACGCATTTGTTAACCGAATTTGTTATGAACTTATTAAGCAAGTGCGTCAATATTATTCTGTGCTGACTGGTACTGGGGGGAATTTCTCTGTTTTCACAGTAGATATTGTATAAAAGAAACCTTTGAAATGTTATCTATTTACAAATTTACCAAGAAAAGACCAGACTATAAAAAAACTGCTGAAAATCATATTTTGTTACCACAATTTAATGCTTTAATAGATCAAATCAATTTATTAATCTGACCCTGATGTGAGACACCTCATTTCCCATGGGGTAACGAGTTCTCCAGACTCACAGAATGTTTGCCAAATCAATGATCATGTGCGAAATCGATCTCCGGGATGTTTTGCCCCTTATAAATAATGTTGGTCCACCTATGGGGATCACAGTTTACAGACAACAACGCTTCTAACCAGAGCACCGGGAAAAGTTGCTAATTTCAGCGAAATATTGACTGAGTGAACGTGAATTTTTGCAAATAAAATCAACAACAATGGCAAAGGTAAGGAAATACAATAAACAGGTCGAATTTGGCATCATAATCTATTATGTGTTATGTTTGTCAGTTATTTTCCGTACTCTTTGCCCTGGTTATAATTGGCTGTATATCCGCCGGACCTATAGAGGTAGGTTGTGTACTTTCTCTACATTATGTCCCTCCTATTAAGCGGTATTTTTCAGAAAAAGGAGACTGTTGCTGATGGTGATCTTGCCACTGCCGATAGCATTGGCTATGGCTACTATGCGGCACCACTTCCCATTTACTACGGCGGCTATGGCGGCTATGGAGGTGGTGGCTATAAGTATGGCGGTTACTCCGGATATAGCGGCTATGGCGGATATCGGAGCTATGGAGGATCATTCTACCGACCCAGAATTTACCCAGTTTGGGGTTAAATAATCCAAAATCATAAGCATTGCAATAATTTGTTCCTAAACACCAAACACAACATTGCTTAAGTAACCAAAGAAATTATACAAGCTCCTAAAAGCAAGTTAACCCTTTCACTGTCCGACAATGACGTCATTGGAGTTTTTGACCCCTGGCACAATTAACACCGGCTTTAGCGCAATAAAAAAAAAAATTAAACACTTTATGTACAAAGTACGCATGTGCGCGGTTTATTATTTTCAAATTTCAAACCGGATTGCGACGGGGACTTGGCCCGGCGCTTCCAAAGAAATTGAGGCGGCTCCATGGCCCTGCCCTGGCGGCTGCCAACGTAATAGAAGAGCTAACCGTGTGGTTGGCCAAGCGTAATTACACATCTGAACCCAACGCCGAACCTGGACTTGGACCCATCTTTAACGATCCGCACACATGCTTAATTTTCGGGCTATAAACGGGGTCACGAAGAGAGCTGGACTATAACAGTGGATATCGGTTAAGAGATCAGTCATATTTTGGCAATAATATTATTGTTCAGATGGTTCCATAAGTATTTTTCGCAAGAAACATAGTTATGCATAACAACTTTGGCTAAAACTATTATTCCATTTAAAATTTAGAAATCTCGTTTTTTAAACCAAATATTTCCGTTCATTAGAATATTCTACACTTCTCTAATTCCCACGTGTTATGTTTACATCCTTAACTTAGTAAGTTAAGTTAATGAGAGTTTACTGTATTGCAAATTTCTGTGAGCTTGACTTTCAGTGCTCCGCTTTTTTTTATTTTTGGCATACAGATGGGTACAGCTTACATACACATAAGTTAGGATTTAAATAGGAATCATCTCGGCTATACAGCATCTCTAGTGGTGACGCGATCCTGAGTGGCGTTTGTGGTGGTGCTTGGAATTGGATCTGGCCTTCCTGCTGGTGGAGTGATGGCTCTTCAGATGCTGCTGCTTATGCTGATGGTGGCTCTTGCTGTGACCATGCTCAGAATGGGCCTGCCTGCCCTTCCTCTGGGAGGTGGATTTTTCATGGATTTTGTGAGCTCCCAGGTGAGGGAAATTCTTTCCTTGGTTGTGATGCTCCTTAAGCTCATGATGCTGGTCCTTGTGGTGGTGCTGCGACAGTTGACGCTTGTGGTTCAGATGATGATTTCTATTGTTATCCTCATCCAGGGGCTGCATGGCCAAAGCCACGGCCACCAAAAGTATGGCAAAAACAATAATCTGGAATGACCATCAGGGTATATCAGGTAAACATAATTGAAACGGATTGAAAGTAAATTAAATTGAACAACTGCCTTATCTCACTTCCGACGATAAGATAAGTTTCCGCCCCATCGAATTAGACTCACCACCTTCGACATGATAGCACTGGGATGGATAGCGACTTCAGAGCGCTTACAAAGCCTTTGTGGTTCGTGTAAACTCAGCGAACTCGAAAACTCGACTGTTTTTCGGTATCTCTGCCGCTGCTGGTTATATCGTTATCTGGCTAAAGCCCCCTATATGTGTATATGAGTATATATTTTGTTGTCTCTTTCAGAGCGCCAGAGTTTTATCGCCTATAAACTGAATAGACGACAGACACTGAGCAGCAGGGAACGAACAGCTGTTGGCTCAGTTCAAAGCCGAGATTAGAAGATTGTCTAAAAGACCAGCTTTACAGTTCGCTGAAAAATGATCTGACATTTCTCATTATTGCATCATATATTTACCTATGTATATATAGAAGAGATAATTTCTATTAGCTGATAAACATTTAGTCAATGACTATTTTTTAATAAGTATACTCAGCGAAGAAGCGATAGCCAAAAAGCATATAAGTTCTTTTAATTTAAGAACAAATACTTTTACCTTTTTCTAAGTATAAGAAGCAAGTCTAAAAAACCTTAGGATTGTTAATCATCTCCAGTTGGCTAGTTAAAGGGAACATCCTGCACCTTTTCCCTGAAATTATCTTCTTGATTTTATACCCTTGCAGGGTATTATAATTTTAGTCAGAAGCTTGTAACGTGTGAAGGAGTCATTTCCGACCCAATAAATCATATATATTCTTGATCAGCATCATCAGCTGAGTCGATTAAGCCATCTCCAGACAAAATCTATTTTTTTTTTCAAAAAATTGTCGAAAATTCGCAAAAATTGGAATCTCTTCAAATGTTTAACTGAGTGAACAGATGTATTAACCTGATAAAAACTAACATAGGATTGGAATCGGAATTTAAATTAATACTTTTTTGGCTTAGTTATAAGTTTTTTAAACTTTGGTTGGTTGAAAAAATTGTGGTATAAAAATAAAGATAAATATTGACTCAAAGAATGGTATTTTAATTTTAGTCAGAAGCAAAAAAATGTATTTAAATATTTGACATTTATAATTCTAATCAAATTTGTAACATTTAATTTTAATACATTTTCTAGGTATGAAATCAACCTTACAGCCTTTGCATCCCACTTTTCAATGACTAATTGTGTTTGTTATCAAATAAATAATTTTAATGCTGACAATTTAAAAATTTTATAGCCCCTTTCCTTTCTGATAACGCTCTGTTTTCTAGTGTCCATAGAGAATCAAGAATAGACTCATAGACAAACCTATATGTACATATATTGGATTAAACTAATCTATCCATTATCTGTTTATTTATTCACTCAATTTGCCATCGGGTTGAGTCAATTTGTGGAGCACTGGAAATTCGACGTACCTAGAAAGAGAAGGCGATCTTGGCTAGAAATTTAATCAGCAGACTGAGCCACTCGAGATATTGTACTTGCAAACAATAATAATAATGCGCATTGCCCTACGCGTCATAAACATATATATTTGTAAATAATTAAAAGCGACACTTGATACATTTTGTTAAGTCATATGTTTTATTATTGGAATCAAAAAAATAATGCATACAAAAAATATTGGAATAAATAAAATATTTGCTCACGTTTGCTTGCTTGGTGTGGAATCTATTGGTTAATAAGTTTATTTATATTGGATATATCGTACGTAAGTGTATCTGAATTTGCTGGCGTATATAAAGTAGTTCATACGAATATGTGTTTTCCTTCCTTTTCGTCCTTTTTCCATCTTCCACTCTTTTTCTTTCCCTTTCTTATCGCTTTAGATGTACACAAAGTGAATAAAAATATATAGTAAATATTTTCTAGTAAGAAACAAATGGGATTACATATACAAATACAAATATATATACGTTTAAATAAAAAATGTTGAACAAAATTGAATATTAAGTGAATATAACAAAAAGCGAAAACATAAAGACAAAATATTGATTCACGATTAAACTTAGGATTTATACATTTTTTTTAGCATTTTCTCATATTTTAAACTTTTTTTTTACATTTTCTATAGTTTTTTTATGGTTGATTATAGATGTTGTGTATAATAATAATTTACGATCAGGCTCTTAACGTGGCTGGCCAAATACATAATTGAAAAACTACCTCCGTGGACAACTTTAAACGATTTTCGACTACGTAAACACCAAGAGAATGAATTAAGATTGATTTGCCTGTCATTGAACACATTGTGGGGACTCAATATGTCAGTTAGAAGTGGAACTACTAAATAGATTTGCGGAAACTACGGACATTAGATTGTTTTTCTCGGATTAGTGATGTTTTGGTAACTTCTCAGATTTTAACTTGATTGGCTTGCTGTTCTTGTTGTCGCGAAAATCGTCCCCTTTTTGCCGTCGAACTACTCCTCGATGTTGTAGAAGAAATAGTTGTTCTCGTTGTCGTTGATGGCGCCCGGCGGAGCCTGTGGTGCCTTCCTGGACAGAGGCTCAAAGCCCATGAAGAGGAATGCCTCAACCAGGCGAGCACGGTCCGGCTGATCCTTGGCCATGGCCATCACGATGCCGTCCACCTCCAGCTTGTCCTCGGCAAACTCCAGTAGCGAAATGAAGGTCTGCTTGGAGCCGGCCGGCGGAAGGTTTTTCGGCAAGGCGACATACAACAAGTTATTGACTGGGTTCAAAATCGTATTCCAATTGGTGTACTGGTCCTCGGTTACATGCAGCTTGATGGAAATCTGCACCGGCTGGTCGTGCTGCAAGATCTGGCGCAGCACTTCCTGGCAGTCATCTTCCGAGCACAGCGAATGGATGTCGGGCTGTGACCCCGAGTCGGAGCAATCCGACGCGGAGGACGACAACGACGACGACCGGGAGCCGGTCCCGTAAAGGCTGCCACCAGCCGAGTCGACCGAAGACTTACGGCTGTAGCCTGAAAAAAAAAGAGATTTAGGCTCCAGAAATGCCCTATAAAGGAGACACCAGATTCTATACTCACCCGTTAAGAGCGATGCCCTATCGTGATCTGTTCTGTGGTGGACAGGGACATCAGGACCACCACAGAGGCCCTACGCCGAGAGAGATGCGGTAGGACTCAGTTGACATGGTCGTGGCGCAAGAAGAAGTGGAGATGGTGCGGAGCTTGCCATCGGCAATACCGCTGTCATTAAACTCTCTTCTAACGAAGCCACTACTAAACACTGGGTCGCTGTGGAGAGAAGAATTATTAAATAAACTCTGTGGACTTTGGACAATGGACAGCGCTAGCTCGATTTTGTAGAGTCCTCTTAAATTTTGACACTATTGCAAATCTCTGACATGTTCCCCCATTATTTACCACATCATGTTGAAGCGGATGAGTTGTTGGCTGAAAGTCGCAATAGCTACTGGCTAACTGATGGCCACGACGGCGAAGCAGAGATCTTATCAGCAGCCGTAGCGGCCACAGCGGGACAATGAAATAATATCGCTTTTTATGACGCTCATTATTTGTGTTTATTTTTCGAAGCGATAAGATACGCGCGCCTTACTTATCGTCTCTCCGATAGATCGCAACGATAGGCACGCATCCGAATACAACCCCGCGCTCACGAGGCAATTTCACCACAGCGTGGCGGGAAGCCACTTTTGGTCACACTAACTTTCGGGATTTTCGCTCGTGAAAAGAAAAGCCAACCAGTTTAAAACGCCATTTGCAAAAAAAATTAAGGTGGAGGAACAAATCCGGAAAATTTACACAAAGCTCACATAAAAACTAAATAAAATCAGTTAAACATGTCGATTGGAGTGCCCATCAAAGTGCTGCACGAGGCCGAGGGCCACATAATCACTTGCGAGACAATCACCGGCGAGGTGTACCGCGGCAAGCTAATCGAGGCGGAGGACAACATGAACTGCCAGATGACACAGATCACGGTCACCTACCGGGACGGGCGTACGGCCAACCTGGAGAATGTCTACATCCGTGGCTCTAAGATCCGGTTTCTCATCCTGCCGGACATGCTGAAGAATGCCCCGATGTTCAAGAAGCAGACGGGCAAGGGACTGGGAGGGACGGCGGGCAGGGGCAAGGCTGCCATACTACGCGCACAGGGTGAGTCGGGCACTTTTAGTTGTACTTGTATTATTTTCTTGCAAGAGCTGTCGTAATTGAAGGAACCTCATAGTTTTGGCTTTGCTGCTTTAGCTTATCTTTAAATAAGTAAATTAAGGGTAATTCTATTATTGCACATATTTATCTCATAATTTAGAGTGTTAAATAGTGAAATATGTAGGAAATAAACATAAAATTCAAAGAACAAAGTAAATTTAAACAATTATAAGAAATTTTATTATTAGTTCTCAATTACGACAGTCTTGTATTAAGAAATTTGCCTTAACCAACTGCAAGTACTAAGCAAATATATACTTTACAGCTCGTGGCAGAGGAAGAGGCGGGCCACCGGGCGGCGGAAGAGGATCTGGCGGACCTCCGGGAGCTCCGGGCGGCGGTGGTGGACGCGGAGCCTGGCAGGGAGGACCAACAGGCGGACGTGGACGCGGCGGCCTGTAGGAATCTACACACAGCTCATAGCCAAGGCATTTTTAATCTCTAAGTTACGGGCACTATTATATTATTAGCGGGCGGGCTGAGACTTTTCCAGAATTTTTGTAAAGTATTTAATAGGCGAGAAAGTGCCGTGAATACAAATAGAACTTGAATTTGAAAACGCAACATCGCTTTACTGGGACAATTTGAAGCTAGAAGGAGGGAAGATTAGTCACCATCCACCAGAGGACGCTTACAAGGAGCTGATCCTTAAGCACACTAATATTGTCGTCGCCTTTCGAATGTTATACAAAGAGAGCAATTCCATGACAGTATTACAATCTGCGTTAACTTGACTGTCGACGGATAGCTCTCTTCATTTCACTATTCGTGGAGGTAGCACCGAAACAGACAGGACAACAGACGAATTAGGTCAGACAAGAAAACAGAATTTTGGTTAGTGCAGATTAGTTTGATAGAGCAACGTCGAATATTATACAAAGAGAGCAATTCCATGACAGTATTATTGTGGAACTGGACTGTCGACGGACAGCTCTCTTTATTCACTTATTCGCATTTAAATCTGAATACTTTCTAGGTGTTAATCAAACTTACATATAATTGTGGTGTGGACGACACAAAAAAACGGATACGCAACGCTATATATACTATAATATACTCTCGAGTGTGTGTATATTTATTGTTTGCCGGCAGAGTTCGCTCGAAATATGCCAGGCATTTTGTTGTTTTCCCCTATGCCAAGCCAATTAAATCAACAAACTGCGCACTTGGCAGAGGCCTGTGAATTGAGCGAAATAGAGGCCTGAATGGGAACAGAGAAAAGGCTGCACAAATCGCTCTTAATGGATGCAATTTATGGTAATGGATGAACAGTAAATATGCAATGTCTACGACATCGCATCATCGATTGAATCGATGGCACGTGTAATGGTTATTGAAAGCGCATCTGCTCAAGTTGCTCCCATTAATTAATATATGTAAGGTCTTTGGATCTGACGTACCCCTGGATGTTCTGCTGGCTCTCTGGCAGCGGCAGGTCGCTCACTGTCGTCATGGCTAAGTTAAATATTTGTTCGGCTTGAGGATTTATCACAGCTGCAGTTCCACTATCTAATGTACAATTATATGGGCTTGTCTTATGTGTGCCTTGTCTATCACAGTTGCGTTGCTTTCGGTCCTGCGACGGCGCTTAGAATTCACATCGAAAATATCTGTTTCTTCACCCTGCCTCTCTCTCTCTTCTGGGGTTTCTCGCTGATCTGTGAGGTGGTGCTGTGCTTTGGGCGTTTGTCTGGCGACTGACGAGATGCAAACGGTGGCGGAATCATTTATGTGATTAACTCACCGCCACTAGGAGGCCCCTCCGAGATATACATACTAGTCGCCAGATATACGTATACAAAAAGCTGGTACAGTCGGTGGTCGGTCAGATATGGATCTGAATATGAAATGGGGTGAATCTTGTTCCAAGGTCAAATATACTCCCTTCTGCCTCCCCCTCATAGGCGGCGATTGTAGTCATTGTGCTGGCGAATTGCAAACAAATAAGGCGCAAATAATTCGAATTAAAAATGCCGGCAACCAGCCCAACATTTGTATTTGACTGACTAACACGAGGCACAATGGCTAAAAATAGTCAAACAAAAATTACTAAGCAAAACATAAAAAATTGAAGACTTTCAGTCGAGTCCAAATTTAAAGCACGTGTCTGCTGTTTTTGTTGTTTTCTTTGCAAAACAAAAGTATTTGTTAATTAATATATTATTGCCGCTATAAGAATAAGGTCCCAAAACGTGAGAGGTCGGTATACCGAAAGGGTGTGCGGCGAAGAGGTACCAAAAAAAGCAACGTGACGTACTGTCTGTGAGCATTATGAATATATGAATAATTGTATTTAAACAGTAGAGGTCAAAGCAATAGCTCTACAGATAAGGGTATAAATACAACTAATAGCAGGGTTTTGTGATTGGCTGATAAGACGGTCGACATATTGCCAAATTCTTTCAAATTAGCTTATCTTGGCTAAGACTAATAAGTCACTTTTTATAGGGAGCCTCTTAATATAGAAGTTTTAATAATTGAGCTATATTTTTTGTCAGCTTTATGATACGGTTCCCATTTGCATAAATATTTGCTTTAGCTTTCGGGGAAAAATGGCTCCTGGGACTGGTTACAATGTTTATAAAAATAATGTTACAGAAAACCAAGGCAAGCGGTTTATTTTTATGTCCTAAACTGTTTCAATGAAAACGTGTGTGTCTTTGCGTCTTCTTGAAGACTTATGAAAGTATTCACAAAACACATTAATTCAGGCTATAGTCTTTCAGTGCAGATCACGTGTCGCCGGCAAAAAAAACTTAACCTATCTGTAACTTCTTACACAATGGATCTTTAGAGTCGGGAAAACCTTGGCTGTAGTTTCTCATTGTTTCCCGTAAACTCCTCTTGCAGCCAAAATCCACCAAAGAGAACAAGGAACGTCAAGCCATATACATACAAAGATAGTACTCTACCTAGATTGTATTCAGATAAAAAGCAGGTGATAAGCTAATATAAATGGATGGCTTGTGTAACCACATCACAAAGTAACGTACTAACCGGACAAATATTAGGGGATCAAGACACTCACTATCTTTAGACAGGGAAAAACAGCAGTAAAATAAGTGTACATATGCGAGCGAGATTTGAGGCAAAGGCAGGAAAATATGTCATAAAGCAAACACGGGCAGGGGAATATATGGCCGTGCCAGAACAATAGAACCTCCGATAAGAGATACGATCTCTGATAAGATTAATGAAAACAAGGAGAAGTGAGGCAGATGAGAGAGTGCGAACGGAGGGCAAAGCGGATGCGACGAAAGAAGCTGCTAGAAGCGAGCCGATGACCCAATATCTGTCTGTCTATAGTTGTCTCCCTCCCACTTATCTCGCATGCAACATACAAAAACAAAGCAGAATGCATTGGCGAGTGGAATTTTCCCTTGTTTACCACAATTACTCCTCTGAGTGTGAGTCTGTATGTGTATTTGCGAATGTGGTTGTTTATGACATAATGCTGCATGCAGAAATAAAAAGGGAAGCATTTTCTGGGCACTTCCAAACATGGACCAAATGGCTGGAAAACGTAAAACAACGGTAAAGACCTGTTTCTTGCAGCGCACTTAATCCAATTTCATTGCATAAGGTTCGCTTGGGTAAATGCCAAATTCCAATTAGAGGAAAACATGGTAAACAAAGAATAGAGAAACACACACACACACAAACTTTTTTGGTTCTCCAGTTGGATGGGGGGTCAAACTGTAAATAAAAAAAGAGCACAGCGTTGCCAGATTTCACAGCGTGATGTGTCTTCGGCGCTAATTAATTAATTATACAGTGCCTGCAATCAAAGGGATTAATAAAATATCATGCCGAGCAGATGCTCCATCCGTAAGTGTTGTTATTTATTTGTGTTTACAATCAACAAAAGAAATCAGAATCTGCCGACAGGGTGGCAACCACGCTAAGCGCCATCTTGGCCTGGGCACAAAAACAACAAATAAATAAGGCAAAAATAAAGTAAAAAATTAAATTTCACTGTGTCGGTTGAAATCAATTGTTTACTTTACTTACGAACCGTGCCACCGTACAAACAGGGGCAGAGATTTCATTGTTTTCTCCTTTCCTTTTGTTTTTCTTCTGTGTGCGTCACAGATGATGACAGAAAAAAAATTAACGCACACACACGTGTGTGTGTGGATATAGGAGCAAAATAACCATCACCGATTAGCAGGTTACACTTAAATTTAACACTACAAACCACTACAACCAAGACCAAGCCACCAATTGGGAAGGGGTCGTGCACTGCGACTCCCCACACATTTTCGATTTTTTATTTCTCTTTTCTTTGCACTACAAAATCGACTTGCACTTTATTTCGCTTTGTATATGGCGACCAGTAAAGAAGCCACTACTTACAGTTTATTATTCATATTGGATGGCATTTTCACTTTTAATGGTTGCAATTTAACGCACTGAAAATCGAGTAGAACTTTAGTTTTGGGAAAAACTGGCGAAATAGTCTCAAAATAAAACTGAGCAAAATGCCAACCTCGCCTTCGTTTTATAGTGTGGCTGGTATTTTATTTTTAGTATTTTATCTAAAGATTTTTCTAGTGAGGGTATTCCCTATACAACTGAAATACTGAACATATTTGCAACTGAAAACAACTGTTCCCATAAAAACATTACTATAATTTCGGTCATTCAGTTACTTTGAGGCCGCTGAATTTACCTACTGAATTTATTTATTTATTCATATTTTTCACACAGCAACTCTTTTCCCCATGTAATCAAATTCAAAATGATTAGGAACAGCGGATATACGAATTGTATTTCAAAAAAATTCAGCATAATGCTGTAATATTTAAATTTAAATTTAAAACATTATCACCTGTTATAAGGCCAAGACTGTATTGAAAAGTATGGAATGTTTACTACCATAAATTTTCTTGATCTGCATCGAATGTTGGCAGAATTTCAAGGGGTGTTATTACAGAATTCGACAGATGCGAAACGCCATATTTCATCTGATTTATTTTTTAGTGAATAAAATGAAGTTTTTATAATTAGATTAGTGTTCTGTTCCCTTATTGTGGCAACTTAATCTTATATGAAACACGAATTGAACTCTTATTTGTTATACCTATAAAAAAATCAAAATTCCGTACATTCCTCTATACTCGTCAATTATTTTTAAGTAAAGCACTCAGCTGTGCACTTCTTTAAAAAAAACGCTAATAACTAATTTTTCTTGTTTTAAAAAAAAAATTATTCGATTCCTTACACCTTGTCCATTGAAACCTTTGAACCTTTCCCTATCCAGCTGGAAATATCGGATAAGTGTTGCGATACATCGCCGATGTTTTTAGTAATTCAGTTCTCTAAATATACCGACAACACTAAATCGAACTATTCAACACTGTCAGAACGCGTTTGTTGTTTTTTAGGTTCTGCTGTAATTCGTTTTGAATGCTATAAGGAATTCGGGAAAACAAATCTTGGAAAAACGTGCGAATCCTCAATTCTTTCAACTCAAAAACCATGAGCGCCTTTCCCGGAACGTTCGCCTTCGACGAATATGGTCGGCCTTTCATTATCCTGCGCGACCAGGAGCGCCAGAAGCGCATCACAGGAACAGATGCCATAAAGGTAAATGAAAGAGGGACCTTTTGTCTGCAAGCGAGTGGATTTCGTGTCCTGGAGGAGTTTAAGATCTGTGGATGTCTTGAAGGACGGCTTTCCTTTAAGCTCCCACTGCTGTAAGCCCTAATAATGACGCATCGTCTGTAGAATGTTCCAGATGTTCCCCGAAGCCGGCCTAGAATAGGCCGGTGGTTCATAATTATTATGGATATATTGGATATATCCTGTCTGATATGTGAGCTGAGAGCTTAAATATGTTGTTATTCATTAACTGCCCTGGGCAGCATAAAATTAAACAAAACTGACATCACTTGAGCGATTTTGAGGTTAAAATGCCGAACAGATGTTTTTCTGTCTTGCCGGCTGAGTCACGCGCCCTGTGAAAATTGTTGATGTTGAGGGGAAACGGGGAGGAAACTCGCTTGCAGACTTTAACTTCGCTTTAAAAAAGAAAATGAGTTTACTTTACAAGGATTAGATTACCGACTAATAATTACCTTTCCTCTCCCATTCAGACGCACATTATGGCCGCCCGCCAGATCGCCTCTACCCTGAAAACCTCGCTGGGTCCCAAGGGTCTGGACAAGATCATGGTAAGCGCCGATGGCGATGTAACCGTCACCAACGATGGCGCCACCATCATGAAGCTGATGGAGGTGGAGCACGAGATTGCCAAGTTGATGGTGCAGCTGTCGCAGTCGCAGGACGACGAGATCGGTGATGGAACCACCGGCGTTGTGGTTTTGGCCGGAGCTCTGCTGGAACAGGCAGAGGGCCTGATCGATAGAGGAATTCATCCCATTCGTATCGCCGATGGCTTTGAGTTGGCCGCCCAGTGCGCCATAAAGCAGTTGGATGCGATTGCCCAGCCCTTCCCTGTGGATCCCAATAACAAAGAGCCCCTGATTCAGATCGCCATGACCACGCTGGGCAGCAAGATAGTGAACAAGTGCCACCGTCAGATGGCCGAGATGGCTGTGGATGCCGTGTTGAATGTAGCCGACATCGAGAAAAAGGACGTGAACTTCGAGCTCATCAAGATTGAGACCAAGGTTGGCGGTCGCATGGAGGATTCGATGCTGGTGAAGGGCGTTATTGTGGATAAGACCCTCAGCCACTCGCAGATGCCCAAGGAGCTGAAGAACGTCAAGCTGGCCATTCTCACCTGCCCGTTCGAGCCCCCGAAGCCCAAGACCAAGCATAAGCTCGATGTTACTTCCGCTGAGGATTACAGGGCGCTGCGCGAGTACGAGCAGGAGAAGTTCACGCAGATGGTTAAGCAGGTTAAGGACGCCGGCGCAACCCTGGCCATCTGTCAGTGGGGCTTCGACGACGAGGCCAATCATCTGTTGCTGCAGCAGGAGCTGCCAGCTGTGCGCTGGGTCGGTGGCCCGGAGATCGAACTGATTGCCATCGCCACCGGTGGTCGCATTGTGCCGCGCTTCGAGGAGCTTACGCCTGAGAAGCTGGGCACCGCCGGCCTCGTCCGGGAGATGGGTAAGTTTTTGCTTTGTTGACATCAAGGGGAAGAAATTGAATTTGTATTATTTCCTTCCAGCCTTTGGTACTTCCAAGGACAAGATGCTGGTCATCGAGGAGTGCAAGAACTCCAAGGCTGTGACCATCTTCTTGCGTGGTGGCAATGCAATGATTATCGCTGAGGCCAAGCGTTCCATCCATGACGCCATCTGCGTGGTGCGTTCGCTGGTAAAGGATTCGCGTATCGTTTACGGCGGTGGAGCGGCCGAGATCAGCTGCTCCTTGGCGGTGGCCAAGGAGGCCGACCAGCTGTCGACTCTGGAGCAGTACGCATTCCGCGCCTTCTCCGTGGCCCTGGAGAGCATTCCCTTGGCCCTGGCCGAGAACAGCGGCCTCCATCCGGTCGAGACTCTGTCTGAGCTGAAGGCCAGCCAGGTGGCCGAGAAGAAGCCTAGCCTGGGCGTGGACTGCATGCTGACGGGTGATTCGGACATGAAGAGCCACAATGTGGTGGAGTCTCTGCACTCGAAGAAGCAGCAGATCCTGCTCTCCACGCAGCTCGTCAAGATGATACTCAAGATCGACGACGTGCGCTCCAAGAACGAGGGCGGCATGTAGATGCACAGTCCTTGATCCACTAACACCGCACATCAGCCAACACCCGACAGATTTCAGATTCACATCCCCTCGCCTTGCTATCTCTCCTCACGAACAACACCCGCGCAGCGCCTCATCTCTATGTATATCTGTATTACTTGTTTACTTTTATTAATCCACAAGTTCTTTGGAAAAGAAGAAAAATTACATTAATCGAGGGGCTATCCCTGGTCAAATACACTAAAACCAAACTAAGACTCCAGCTAGACCTTCTTGCCATTGATGGTGGCCAGTTGCTTGCGGTTGATCTGGTCGAAGAAGAGCAGCCCCGCGGACCGTTCCACCGTCTCCGGGGGCACCTGGAACACGCTGATGGGGGTATCGTTGCTGATCACTTGGTTTGGCATAACGTAGGCCTCCATGTGGAGTTTGTGGTCGGAGGATTCACCCACAACTACCTTGTAAAAGTGAGTAGGCACGGCCACCGTGTTAGAGCCGATGACCTCGTATTTGACGTACATCTTGCCGTCGTCCTCTTTGCGCGGCAGGTACAGTGGACCCGTGCAGACGTACACGTTGGCATAAATTTTGGTCAGTTTGCGGACGTGCATCTCGAGGGTGTTCCACGCGTCGCGGTTGAAGCCCTGGCCAACCTGGGGCGCCATGTTGGATAAGTAAAAGGTCTCCTCGCAGTGCTTCTGGTGCAACCGGTGATTCCCCGCGGCAGCCATGTGTCCGCGGTCGTATCCGGATCGCCGGTAATCCGTGTTCTGCGACCGAAAGAAGGGGTGTATGCTCTCGTCCTGCTTGAAGTCGCACTTGGAACGGTCCACCGCGTCGTTTTTGGCCACGGATTCGGCGGTGAGGTGCTCGAACACCCAATGGGGCACTCGGTTGCGGCGATCGTAGGACAACACATAGTCGGAATGGGAGCGCACGTGATCCAAACCTGGGAAGCCGTATTTCATGATCTGACCAATCCGGGATGGGGTCGCTGCCAAGCTCACATTTCCCTCCTGGGCGGGAATCAAGCTGGCCGCCGAAACGGTTCCAAATGTGGGCAATCCCGGCAGGCGTGGATGAGTTCTGCCGCAGCCGTCGTTGTGCTTCTGCCGCTCCACCTGGGAGCCGAGGTAGAAGGCACCCGTGGCGGTGGCACTTAGGGCTAACCACATGCCCACTTTACGCACACTCATTCCAGCAGTTTAATTAATAAAAAATAATAAAAAAAGAGTATAAATAACGACCGCTATTGCACAATTCAGGTACGGTGTGTGACCAGAGTCAATGAGTCAAGATAAGACCTGTCGTGTAATTTACTGACAAACAGAAGCTAGCACCTCCGAAATCAGCTGTTTGGATTCAAAAATTTAAATAATTAACTTGTTAAAGATATTAACTGATCAAATCTAAAATAAAAAGTAAGGAATAAGAATGAAAACAAGAAAATAAATATAATTTGGGCACTAACTTTTCTTTAAAATCAAATAAACTGGTTAAAGGAAAAGTCTTGCTTCCAAGATATTTTATTTTTAAATCACTACATAAAAAAACTTAGAAAAACCTTGGGTAAAGTGATTTCGAAATTATGCCTAAATATATTGACATTCATTAAATGTTTACAAAGGAGCTAATAGAATCGATCTAGCTGTCTTAAAAAAAAAAATTAACATTCGCTTAGTTCACAGTTTCTATTAATTCTACTGATTTTAATAATAATTAATATATAAAATAATTACATTATTATTTTCTATGGGTAGGATTTATATTTATTGTATTTAGTTTATATATTTTCCTATTGAACTTCTTGTCCACTCCCCGTCGCCGCCTTACTTGTTCCTCCGTTCTCAGCTTAAAGCTTTGGGATCGGTGACTCGATTCCAAATTGTTTCACTGAAAAGCGGACTTATTTTCGACGAGGTTATCTGGTGGCGGGCTTGTTTACATTGGAACTGCAGCTGATTAAAATAAACCCGGACTAGTGCCACTGGTGGAACGTGATTGTTCGTTCGATTTTCAGTTAAAAGTGAAACCTTAGCGCGAGGATGCTGGACGTGGTGGCTCTCCTACTGATCGCCCTGGCCGTGGCCTTTTGGTTTGTGCGCACGCGCTTTAGTTACTGGACTCGCCGAGGGATTAACAGTGTTCCTGGACACTTTCCCGTAGGTAACATGGAGGGTTTCAGGAAGACGAAGCACTTCATTGATATCGTGACGCCGCTGTACGAGAGATTCAAGGATTGTGGAGCTCCGTTTGCGGGTTTTTTCCTGATGCTGCGCCCAGTGGTGCTGATCCTAGACCTGGAACTGGCCAAGCAGATTCTGATACGAGACTTTGCCAACTTCGAGGATCGTGGAACGTACCACAATGAGCGCGATGACCCACTTACGGGTCACCTGTTCCGTATTGATGGACCCAAGTGGCGGCCGTTGCGCCAGAAGATGTCGCCGACGTTTAGTTCCGCCAAGATGAAGTACATGTTTCCCACGGTGTGTGAGGTGGGCGTGGAGCTGGGCCAGGTGTGCGGCGAGTTGGCGGATAATGCCATGTGCGGCATCCTTGAAATCTCGGACCTGATGGGACGCTACACCTCCGATGTCATTGGACGTTGTGCCTTTGGCGTGGAGTGCAACGGCCTGAGGAATCCGGAAGCCGAGTTTGCAGTTATGGGCAGGAGAGCCTTCACAGAGCGGCGACATGGCAAGCTAATTGATGGGTTCATCGAGAGCTTTCCCGATTTGGCCCGGATGTTGCGCATGTGCCAGATTCATCAGGATATCACCGATTTCTATGTGAGAATCGTCCGAGATACTGTGCATCAAAGGGAGGAGCAGGGCATTATAAGGAATGATTTCATGAATCTGCTGATCGAGATGAAGCAGCGGGGTGAGCTCACCCTCGAGGAGATGGCCGCCCAGGCGTTCATTTTCTTTGCAGCGGGCTTTGACACCTCCGCTAACACCTTGAGCTTTGCCCTCTACGAGTTGGCCAAACAGCCGGAGCTGCAGGAGAAGCTGCGCCGGGAAATCGACGAGGCCTTGCGGCTGCATCAGGGTGAATTCACCTACGACTCGATGCAGGAGCTGCGCTACATGGAGCTGGTCATAGCAGGTGGGTCGATATGGGGTTCTGATTGGGTTAAAGAAATTATTGAATCATCATAAAAACTATTTTCCTTTTAGTGCTTTTAATAAAAATGCACCAAATATAAACTAAACCTTAGTACCTCTACAAACTATAGTTTCTCTACTTTTTAGTTAAACTTCTCGAATTCTATTGTTGGCTTAGCTAATTTGTTTGAATACATAGCATTAGTAAGCAGGTTACCCTTAAAAACGTAAAAACCATAATAGCTCTCAAACTTTGTAGACTTTCTACAAGTTTCGACTAAGCAAAAAGTGGATTAATTTAAATTTTCTGGTTTAAATGTATTCTTTTAATGCTAATTTTTTTGAGGTAAATGTCAGTTTTGAAAACATCATAACTAAGCCAAAAATTAATTTCATTATGTTTCATTTCGATAGTATTTCTGTGTAAGTTTTTATAGGGCTAACAAATCTACATACTGAGTTTTAAAATTTTAAAAATTAAATTTTTTTTGACAATTTTTGACGATTTTAACGATGTAACCCCTTATAAAATTTTGAAAAAATTGACAAAAATTATTCTTTTTCCTACATGCCTAGAATGATTCGCCTGTTGATGCTGATCAAGAATATATATGATTTATGGGGTAGGAAATGACTCCTTCACAGCATTACAAGCTTCTGATTAAAACTATATTACCATTTTTGAGTCGATCTTATTTATATTTTTTATATTTTTATATGACAATTTCTTCCACAAATCAAAATTTTAAAATCGCATAATTTAGCCAAAAACGCATTTATTTTAAATCGGAAACCGTTTCTATGCTAGTTTTTGTCAGGTTAATAAAACTGCATACTTAAATTAAAATTAAGAGAGATTTAATTTTTTTTTTTTCGAATTTTTGACAATTTTAACGATGTAACCCCTTATAAAATTTCGAAAATTTTGAAAAAAATAGATTTTGTCCGGAGATGGCTTAATCGATTCGCCTGTTGATGCTGATCAAGAATATATATGATTTATAGGGTCGGAAATGACTCCTTCACTGCGTTTGTATAAATATACCATATATATTTTTCTTGCAGAAACCCTTCGAAAGTACCCTATTCTCCCGCAACTCACTCGGATCTCTCGTCATCTGTATGCCGCCAAAGGTGATCGTCACTTCTATATAGAACCGGGTCAGATGCTCCTGATTCCTGTGTATGGTATCCATCACGATCCTGCCGTATACCCCGAGCCCCACAAGTTCATCCCGGAGCGGTTTTTGGCCGACCAACTTGCCCAGCGTCCCACCGCCTCCTGGCTACCCTTTGGCGATGGACCACGAAACTGCATCGGGATGAGGTTCGGGAAGATGCAGGCGACCATTGGACTGGTGAACCTGCTCAGGAGCTTTCACTTTAGCGTCTGTCCACGCACCGAGAACAAAATCGAGTTTGTGAAGTCGAATATTCTGCTGTGCCCTGCCAATGGCATTTACCTGAAGGTCCAAGAGCTGAGCCAAGTGAGGAGATAGTGTTCTGTTGTACATTTTTACACGATTTTATAAATAATGTTATTGATTTGCTTATCAATCTACGTATTCGACTTTTCTTTGAGTAATCTAGGTTAGTTATTTGATAATTTCTTGCTCGGTAATGGTGAAATCTACATGTACTTCGGCAAGAACACGAATTGTCTTGGAAAGCATTCGGGAAATTGTAATTATTTATTTCACCAGGTGCAACTTTTATGTACTAATAATAACAAAAGTGCCTACTAATGTTTACTTTCATATATTTTAGCTAACAAAGAGGAGATCTTCGGGTTGACTTGATTTTGTGATCTTATTTTGTCCGAGTGTACATTTTCATGCTTTAGTGAGCGGAAAAATATATATATATTCTAAAATTTTATTTGGATCTATTCTTGTTTGTGTATAAAGACGATTACGTAATTTGTTTTGTTTACCATGAACACCGCCAGCTGGTGCTCTTTTTTGTAAACATTAATTTATTACTCTCTTTATATATGTATACTGGTTACTCTTATATTATATATATTTTATTACTTTGTTCAAACATAAGAATTACACAGAATTTGTTTTGTGAGAGAGCTCAGGCCCGAAAGTTAACCAGCTTATCAACGATAACTCGTATCTGAAATCGCATTTTGCAATTCACAGAGCGAATGAGAGTGGTTTCCCCTTATAAACGTCGTAGTTAACGACTCTGGAACTCAGTTCAGAGCGGAACCTGGAACCTGAAATGTCGCTGGTACTGACGCTGATTGCCATTGTGGTGTCGCTGCTCTTGTTCGCCGCCCGGCGACGTCTGGGTTATTGGCAGCGTCGAGGTATTCCGCACGATGTGCCCCATCCGTTTTTCGGTAATATTAAGGATTGGAACAAGACCCGACACATTGCCAAGATCTTCCGGGACTATTACCTGAAGTACAAGAACTCGAATTACCCCTTCGCCGGATTCTATTTCTTCTTCACTCCCACTGCCGTGATCACCGATCTGGAGCTGGTGAAGCGAGTGATGATCAAGGACTTTAATCACTTTGAGAACCGTGGAGTCTTCTTCAACGAGATCGATGACCCGCTTTCGGCCACACTGTTCAGCATTGAGGGCCAAAAGTGGCGTCACCTGCGGCATAAGCTCACTCCCACCTTCACGTCGGGCAAAATGAAGCACATGTTCCCAATCGTGGTCAAGGTGGGTGAGGAAATGGAGAAGGTCTTCAGCAGCAAGATCAAGTCCGCAGGTCCCAGTGGGGGCCAGGTTCTGGAGGTCGTAGATCTGGTGGCACGCTACACAGCTGACGTAATCGGGAACTGTGCCTTCGGGCTGGATTGCAAAAGTTTGCACAATCCCCGGGCGGATTTCGTAACGGTGGGCAAGCGGGCGATCACGGAACACGCCTACGGAGGATTGCTGGATATATTCCTTTTCGGGTTTCCCAAGTTGTCGCGACGCCTGCGACTGAAGCTGAACGTTCAGGATGTGGAGGACTTCTACACCAAGATTGTGAGGGATACCATCGACTACAGGCTGAAGACCAAGGAGAAGCGCAATGATTTCATGGACAGTCTGATTGAGATGTACCAGAAGGAGCAGGCCGGCAACAAGGAGGACGGTCTCTCCTTTAATGAACTGCTGGCCCAGGCCTTTGTCTTCTTTGTGGCTGGTTTCGAGACGAGTTCCACAACCATGGGATTTGCACTGTACGAGCTGGCCCGGCACCAGGATGTGCAGGATAAGCTTCGAGCCGAGATCAACAGTGTGCTGGGCAAGCACAACAATGAGTTCACCTACGAGGGTATCAAGGAGATGAAGTATCTGGAGCAGATCGTGATGGGTGAGTGCCAGAATAAGTTCTAGTAAAAGAAACTGATTTCGTTAAAATGTTGAGAGAATTCGGGTTTCTCTTTTACCAAAAGTTAACTCACACGAAGATCTCATAATGAAACCAGTTTCTTTTCACTTCTCCAAGAAGAAACCAACACAAAGACCTACTTTTTCTTTCAGAAACCCTTCGCAAATACCCGGTTTTGGCCCATCTTTCGCGTTTGACCGAAACGGACTTCTCGCCCGAGGATCCCAAGAATTTCATTGCCAAGGGCACTATGGTTGTGATCCCGGCTCTTGGCATTCACTATGATCCGGATATTTATCCGGAGCCACAGAAATTTAAGCCGGAACGTTTCACGGAGGAGGCCATCGCCGCCAGGCCCTCGTGCACCTGGTTACCGTTCGGCGAGGGTCCCCGAAACTGCATTGGATTGCGATTTGGACTGATGCAGACCTGCGTGGGCTTGGCCTACCTCATCAGGGGATATAAGATCAGTGTGGCTCCACAAACGGAAATACCCATCCAGATCAATATTAAGAGCATCCTGTTGTCTGCCTTGAATGGCATCCACCTAAATGTGGAGAAGATTTCCAAATAGCAATGTATTTTTAAACTGTGGTGATATATTAAAGAAAATATCTTGAAATATAGTTGTCCAAATAAAAATGGAAATAAATGTCTAATAAATGGACTTGAGTGAATATTGTACGTTGAATATTTGATTAAAAATTGATTACAGACTACAATTATTAACCATTAACGTTGCGACCTTATATAGCATTCCCCTTGGGTGGGTAGTCGAGTCTCGAACAGTTGCTATAGACTTTAGCTTACTTAATTGTTTGATAACCAACATAATTTCATATTTTATATGCAAAGTTTTAAATAAGTACCTTGCCATAGTCACAGTATATAGAGTTTACTGTTAGTTTGTAAAATTAGCCAAATATTTAAAAAATAATCTACAAAGTTCGTAACCAATATATGGAATTAAATTAGGTTATTATTTAACTAATAGCCATAACAAGCATTGTTTGGTTCCATATTTAAGATGACTAACAAAGCTTAAGAGAGTCAAATGCTCCGAGAGTTTTATTCAAGAGAACTTGTTTAAGCGATTACCGGTGGAATCCATTATTTCGCACTGCCTCTCGTCGCTTTCATCATGATTAGTGGGCTCCATGGTTCACTCGGTCCGACCAGAGCGCTGGGCGATAAGAGAGTCCAAAGCTCTCTTGGAGCTCATTCTACATAAGTGATGGCTGCTCAGCTGTTCGCTTCAGTATTCTCAACATGCTGGTTCCAATCGCTCTACTAGTCGGCGTCCTCACCCTTGTCGCTTGGTGGGTGCACCAGACCTTCACCTACTGGAAGCGTCGCGGCATTCCCCACGATCCGCCCAAGATTCCGCTCGGCAACACCAGTGAACTGATGAAGACCATGCAGCTGTCCCACATCCTCAAGCGAACTTACTTCAAGTACAAAAACAAGACCGATGGACCCTTCGTGGGCTTCTACGTTTTCGCCAAGCGGTTTCTCGTGGTCACCGACATTGACTTCGTGAAGACTGTGCTGATCCGGGACTTTGACAAGTTCCACGACCGCGGCATATTCCACAACGAGCGGGACGATCCGCTGACGGCCAACCTGACAACTATCGAGGGGCAGAAGTGGCGGACTCTGCGCCAGAAGCTGACGCCCACCTTCACGTCTGGCAAGATGAAGAACATGTTCCCTACCGTGCTGAACGTGGGCGATGAGCTCATCCGAGTGTTTGACGAGAAGATCTCCTCCAGCTCCCCGCAAACCCTAGAGGTCACCAATCTTCTGGCCCGCTTCACCGCCGACGTGATCGGAGTCTGCGCCTTTGGCCTGGAATGCAACAGTCTGCGGGATCCCAATGCTGAATTCGTCAGAATGGGAGAGTCGGCGATCAACGAGCGTCGTTATGGCAGGCTCGTGGATTTGCTCCTCTTCGGAGCACCCAAGTTGTCAGCCAAACTGGGCATCAAGACCCTGTTGCAGCCGGTCGAGGACTTTTACATGAACATCGTTAAGGATACCATTGAGTATCGCAATAAAAACAAGGTGTCCCGAAACGACTTCATGGACATGCTTATTGATATGAAGCTGAAGTACGACAGTGGCAACAAGGAGGATGGCATTACCTTCAATGAGCTGGCCGCCCAGGCCTTCATATTCTTCCTGGCTGGCTTTGAGACCAGCTCCACCACCATGGGATTCGCCTTGTTCGAGTTGGCCTGCAACCAGGACATTCAGGATAAACTGAGGACAGAAATTGATGGTGTCTTAAAGAAGCACAATGGCAAGCTGGACTATGACAGCATGCGGGAGCTAACCTACCTGGAGAAGGTCATCGATGGTAAGTTAGACAAGAAAACGATAATGTAATCATACAAAGGGATTTTTATTTTTTCCACCAGAAACCCTAAGGAAACATCCTGTGGTGGCCCATTTAGTTCGCATTACCACAAAACCCTATGTTCATAGCAATCCAAAGTATTCAATTGACCGTGACATTGGCGTTCTTGTGCCCACGCTTGGCATTCACCATGATCCGGAATTCTATCCTGAGCCGGAGAAGTTCATCCCGGAGCGCTTTGATGAAGACCAGGTGAAGCAGCGACCTGCCTGTACATTCCTTCCCTTCGGAGACGGTCCCCGAAACTGCATTGGCCTAAGATTTGGAAGGATGCAGGTCATAGTTGGAATGGCCCTGCTTATCCATAACTATAAGTTTGAGCTGCATCCCACCAAGACATCGGTTCCGATTAAGTACAAAGTCAAAAACATTTTGTTGAGCGCCGATGGCGGAATCAACCTGAATGTCAGTAAGATAGCGAGGCAGTAGAGTGATTCACCCTGCCTGAGTAACATATTTAATCCAGTTTGAAATAAATACTAATTGAAATTGAACTTGAATCACGAAAGCACATTTGTTTTTGCCTTGATATTACCCCTAAGAACTCGTTTAATCCATTCATAACTTTGCACTCAAACTTCTAGAAATCGTATTTCTATGTGTTGATAACAATTAGCCGTCTAGATTAATATATTAGTATATGTTATATCAGTTAATTGCAAGTCAACGAGTGATAATTGCTCGTGTATAAATATGCCATTAAGTATAGATAGATGTATTTGTTAGATGTAAGAATATTATATGATTTTGGTTAGTTGCTATACAAAGCCAGTTACACTCGCTCTACCTTCAGGAATATGCCAGTCTCACTCGATATTAGGAAGTGCTTCTTGCTGTAAGTCATGGGAATGGTAGTCTTCTCGCAGACGGAGAACTTGAAGTCCTTCAGCAGGAAAGCTAAGCCAATCCGGGTCTGCATTTGGCCAAAACGCATGCCGATGCAGTTACGTGGACCTTCGCCAAAGGGCAGCCACTCAATGGAATCTCGCTCCTTCACGCGTTCCGGCGAGAAGTTATCCGGGTTGAAGGTGTCCGGATTGGGATACAGTCGCTCGTCACGATGCATGGCACCGGCGGGAATGAGGATGGGCATGCCCTTCTTTATCACATATTTGGGATTATCGGGAACCACAAAGTCCTCCAGGCACTCGCGATTCAGTACCGGAAGCACTGTGTAGAGGCGAAGCGTTTCTGTAAAAATAATTTCAAGGATCAATAGTGAATCAATATTTAGTCAATATTCAGGCATAGTTCACCTGATATAATCTGGTCCAAGTATACCAGATCCTTCATGCCCTCGTAGGACAGCTCGCATTTGTACTTTCCAATCACCTCCTGGCACTCTTCTCGGACCCTGTCCTGAATATCCTGGTGCTGGGCAAGTTCGTAGAGAGCAAAGCCCATTGTGGTCGATGAAGTCTCGAAGCCAGCACCGAAGAATACAAACGCCTGAGCAGCCATCTCTTCGATCGTTAGGTTCACACTCTCCCCGGTCTCGGATTTGGTCAGGGGACTATTTTTAAGGTCGATCAACTGATCCATGAAGTCGTTTCGTCGGATATTATTCTGTTCCCTGAAGGCCACCGTCTCCCTGACGATGCGCAGGAAAAAGTGCTCTGCCTCGTCCAGCGAGATCTTCATGTGCAGCTTGCGGGCCAGATTGGGAAAGCTATTGATGAAGGCGATTCCGAGTGGGCCGTGGCGCTGCTCAAAGACAGCCCGGCGTCCCATGACCCGGAATTCGGCATCCGGATCCTTCAGGCTGCTGCATTCGATGCCAAAGGCACAGGTGCCTATTACATCAGTACCAAATCTAGCCAGGATGTCCTTGACCTCGACAATTGGTGACTTTTCCATCGTCTGGCCAAAGACTTCGGTGAGTTCGTGCCCCACCTTTATCACTGTGGGGAACATGTACTTCATTTTGCCGGAAGTAAATGTCGGTGACAACTTGTTCCTCATGGACCGCCACTTGGTGCCATCCAGCAGGAACAGTTGACCCGACAGCGGATCATCCTCCGTGTTGTGGTAGAATCCTCGGTCTGTGAACTTGTTGAATTCCTTGATCAAGATGGTTTTGGCCAGTGAAGTTTCGAGGACGAATACTCCCGGCTTCTGGAACCAATAGAAGCCGGCAAAGGGGCCAGATCCTCGAAACTTCTTGTAGTAATCCATCCACACGTCAGTGAAGGTTCGCGTGGTCTGCACTCCCGTCAGGCTGCCCAGCAGGATGTGCGGCTTCTCGCAGGGAATGCCCTGGTCGTCCCAGTACTGCAAAGTGCGACGCCATTTCAGCAACAGATACCCCACCAGAACAGCGACAGCTGTCAGAAGGTAAGCCAGAACAGCCATGACATCAGCTAGGGTGCGGCGGAAAACAACCAGCCACCGAAGAAAATATAGAACGTTGCCTTCTCTTCGAGACTCTGGAACCTACTGAGTGTACATTTGAAAGCTTTACTGGCTAGCCCAAACTTAAATTGAGAGAGAAACCATATGTGTATTCTGATAGACGTTTGTATATAGCACATTTAATCTAAACAATTTGTTATTTGTTTAACAACAAACTAGTTTTCTCTTTAGCGCAGAAAGCTCGTTTTCCCTTAAAGAGAAATAAAGCGAAAACAAAGAGTTTTTATTATCAAAACAATATATATGTAGAAGAATACCATGTTTTGGTTGGTAGTTGATACTAATCCAACCTACCTCAATATATTTTAATAAGAGGAAGGTTTATGGTTTAAAGAAACTACGAAAAACTTGACTCTCTTAAATTTGTTACATATTTATCCCAAAAACCGTGTATTCGAGTATCTCTATATTCTATCATTTTATAGTATGAGCGATCTTGAGATATAAAAATAGATTTTTGTTACACACATTGTATCAGTAATAAAAGCAATTCAACCGCAGAATGTGGAAAATTATAAAATGCCATAAAAGTAGCCCCCACAGATAACTGAGAACTGCAATTAAGAGAGCTCAACGCAAAGCTACAAGTTTAAATTGTAGAAAACCATAATAACGATGACATGCAATCCTTTTATATCCACCCATAAAGAAAGAATTGAAATAGAGAGGAAAAGAATGAAATTATATATTGTTAAAAACATAACAATTAATAAATATATTGGAAATTAGAAATATGCACACTGGCGTCTGAAATCATTATAGTATTATTTAATTCATATTTTCTGCCAACCCTAATATATGGGACAAAATATGATTTATTAAAATCAGCATAAGGAAACCCTTCATTTAGTTCTTATTTCTTAAAACCCATGCACAGTTTTTTGAGCTCAAAGTGTTCTTATCAAATCTTAATGTTAGTTATGAACAAAAATGCTTAGAAATAATGACTGGAAAGAAATAAATATAACGTCATGCTCAGAAATTTCACCAGATTTTATACCGTTACCCTAGTAACTATGAACTATGGCACTTGTATTATCTTAGTAGTTCAACTTAATTTACAGTATTTTAATTTAAAAATAAATAAATAAATTCAAATCTTGTGAGTAATGAGGACATAAAAGGAAAATGTTAATTAAATATTAATTTAGTTTGGATGTTTTTTAAATTTGTTTTATCTTCTAATGTATTAAATAAGAATTACGTATTTACGTAACTTCATAATAGAATACCTAAAACTTTGATTAAAAAGCAGAAATTAACGAATTTATTAATTAAGAATATTGAATATACAAAACATTGAAACAAGATAAAAATACGTACCATGTCGAACAAGTTTTCCCCCAAATAATAGATAAAGTTTCGCGATATAACGCTGACTTGGCATTTCACAATCTCGTTTGAACGTTGTTGCTCTTCAATTAAGAGAAGCAACTTATGTCTAAGAGTATGACGGAATCGGGTAAAAAAACAAGTATAAAAGGGAAAACTAGCGGCTCAGATGGCTCAGTATCATAGCAATGGCGGTTCTAATCATATTACTGGTCGGAGTCCTCACCCTCGTCGCGTGGTGGATGCACCAGAACTTCAGCTACTGGAAGCGTCGGGGTATTCCCCACGATGCCCCAAAAATTCCATTTGGAAACACCTCTGAGTTCATGAAAACCATGCAGATATCGGCAATCTTTAAGCAAACGTATTTCAAATTCAAGAACAAGACAGATGGTCCATTCGTTGGATTTTACTTTTATTTGAAAAAGACGGCCATCGTCACTGATATTGATTTCGTGAAAACTGTATTGATTCGCGAGTTCGACAAGTTTCACGACCGCGGCATATTCCACAACGAGCGGGACGATCCTCTTTCCAACAATCTTGTGAACATCGAGGGCCAGAAGTGGCGGACTTTGCGACAGAAGCTGACCCCCACCTTCACCTCCGGCAAGATGAAGAACATGTTTCCCACTGTGCTAACCGTGGGCGATGAGCTCATCCGGGTGTTCGATGAGAAGATTGCCAGCTCTAAGGATACCCTGGAGGTTCACGATCTGGTGGCTCGTTTCACGGCCGACGTTATCGGTAGTTGTGCCTTCGGCCTGGATTGCCACAGCCTGACGGATCCAAAGGCGAAGTTCGTCAAGATGGGAACGGCTGCCATTACCGAGCGGCGTTGGGGCAAGTCCATGGATCTGTTTCTGTTCGGAGCTCCCAAGCTGGCCGCCAAGCTGCGCATGAATAGCATGGTCCAGGAGGTCGAGGACTTCTACATGAACATCATCAGGGACACCATTGACTATCGCATCAAGAACAAAGTTAAGCGGAATGACTTCATGGACATGCTGATCGACCTGAAGGTCAAATACGACAGTGGCAACAAACAGGATGGCCTCACCTTCAACGAGATCGCCGCCCAGGCCTTCATATTCTTCCTGGCGGGCTTTGAGACAAGTTCCACCACCGTGGGATTCGCCTTGTTCGAGCTGGCCTGCAACCAGGACATTCAGGATAAACTGAGGGCCGAAATCGATGGTGTCCTAGAGAAGCGCAATGGCAAGCTGGACTATGACAGCATGCGGGAGCTGACGTATCTGGAGAAGGTCATTGATGGTGAGGTTTATTAATGCGACTTAATTGGTTCGAATTAACTGATGGCATTGTTCTCCGCAGAGTCCCTGAGAAAGCATCCCGTGGTTGGCCATTTGATTCGCATCACCACTCAACGCTATGAGCACAGCAGTCCTAAGTATAATCTGGAGCCAGGCACAGGAGTGGTTGTGCCCACATGGGGCATCCATCATGATCCGGAATTCTATCCGGAACCGGAGAAGTTTATACCGGAGCGCTTCGATGAGGAACAGGTGAAGCAGCGACCCGCCTGCACTTTCCTGCCCTTTGGGGACGGTCCCCGGAACTGCATTGGTCTCAGATTTGGCCGAATGCAGGTTGTGGTTGCAATGAGCCTGCTCATCCATAACTTCAAGTTTGAGCTGCATCCTGCAGGGACACAAGCTCCACTTGAATACCGTAGCGATGACATACTGCTGAGTCCCAAGGGAGGAGTGCGTCTAAAAGTCAGCAGGGTGGGAAAGTAATAAAATTAATTTAAAACTAATTAAGCCTTTGTCTCGGCTAGTTAAGGCGCAGTTAGATAATTGGGGGTGTGTGAGAAACACAATACAATATTCATACTATTGAACAGAAACCGAAAGCTATCAAAAAGCTACTAACTAGTTTAAGCGACTAGTTCAGCCATATTGCAAACGTATTATAATTGTGTAATGAAGCTGTGCGCTTTGTATTCACGCCTTTAATACATTTTATAAATAATACTTGTATATATATTATATACTATATTAAATATAGTATATATTAAGCAATACCCTGCAAGGGTATACAAAATCAAATCACCAAGACTATACAACGAAAAGAAGTTAGCATTGAAAGGCCATATTTCAATTAAGTGGTTGACTTTGCAATTAGCCTGAGATTGAGAACTACACAATTACGACTGTTAGGCGTTGCCTACTTTTAGGCCTTTCTACTACTTGTAACTTTGACTTTTAAATAAAAAATATTTAATGTATAAACTTATTGAACGATTAAAACTATTCTTCCCTCCTTAAGTTCAACTTGACTCTATTTTAGGTTTGCCAAAGCATAATAGCCAAATGTATTTAAGAGCTAGAGCCATGAGCTTTATATGATGCAATCAAAATCGTTTATTACCAGTTAATTCTCAAGTGGCGCTACAAATGTATATACTTATGTACATTTATATGGCTGATTATAAATGAATGACTCAAACGCGTTCAACTTTGAGGTAAATACCAGACTCGCTGCTGACAAGGAACATCTCCTTGTGGTACTTCATGGGAATCGTGGTCTTCTCACAGACGGAAAACTTAAAGTCCTTCATCAGAAGGGCCAGGCCAATGCGGGCTTGCATTTGGCCAAAGCGCATTCCAATGCAGTTGCGAGGACCTTCGCCAAAGGGCAGCCACTCAATGGAATCTCGCTCCTTGACGCGTTCAGGCGAAAAGTTGTCCGGATCGAAGGTGTTCGGATTGGGATAAAATCGCTCGTCACGATGCATAGCTCCAGCGGGAATGAGGATGGGCATGCCCTTCTTGATCACATACTTCGGATTGTCGGGAACCACAAAGTCCTCCAGGCACTCGCGATTCAGTACCGGAAGCACTGTGTAGAGGCGAAGGGTCTCTTTAAGGTAAAAGCAAGGGGTTAGAAGGGTTTATGGTAGGTAGGGTTGCATTGGACACTTACCAGAAATCACCTGATCGACATAGACCAGCTCCTTGACACTTTCATAGGACAACTCTCCGCCATACTTTTCACTGATCCTCAGGACCTCCTCCCTTACACGGCTCTGAATGTCCTGATGTTGAGCCAACTCGTACAGGGCGAATCCCATTGTCGTTGACGAGGTCTCGAACCCGGCGTTGAAGAATACAAACGCCTGAGCAGCGATCTCCTCGATTGTTAGATTAACGCTCTCCCCCTTTTCGGAGGTAATTAGTGGTTTATTTTTCAAATCGATCAACTGATCCATGAAGTCGTTGCGTCGGATATTGTTCTGCTCTCTGAAGCTCACCGTTTCCCTGACGATGCGCATGAAGAACTTTTCGATGGGCTCTGCCGTCATTTTCATGTGCAGGCGACGTGCCAGTTTGGGAAAACTGTTGATGAACATTATACCGAGAATTCCGTGGCGCTGCTCTGTAAGGGATCGTCTGCCCATCACGCGGAACTCAGCCTCGGGATCCTTCAGGCTGCTGCATTCGATGCCAAAGGCACAGGTTCCGATCACATCCGTGGTGAACCTGGCCAAGAGCTCTCGCACCTCTATGGCTGGGGAGCCTTGTCCACCATTTGGCCAAAGACATCGGTGAACTCATGGGCCACCTTTATCACCGTGGGGAACATGTACTTCATTTTGCCGGACGTAAAAGTGGACGACAGTTTGTTCCTCATGGACCGCCACTTGTGGCCATCCAGCAGGAACAGCTGACCCGACAGCGGATCATCGTCTTCGTTGTGAAAGAAGCCGCGGTCAGTGAACTTATTGAACTCCTTGATCAGGATGGTCTTGGCCAGAGAGGGTTCCAGGACGAAGACAGCCGGTCGCCGGAACCAATAGAAACCGGCGAAGGGGCCAGTACCTCTGAATTTCTGGTAGTGTTCCATCCACACCTCACTGAACGATTTCTTGGTGCGCACACCCTTCATATTTCCCATTAGGATATGGGGCTCCTCGCAGGGAATACCCTGGTCCTGCCAGTGTCTCAAGGTGTTGCGCCATTTCACCAGCAGATAGCCAACCAGCGCCAGCAAAGCCGCCAATAAAATACTTCCAACGGCCATGATGATTCAGGCGATATAAACACTGCGATAAGCGAGTACACCTGTTAAGAGTTTGTAGCCTACTGAGAATAGCAAAGCTTTGCGCTCGTATTTAATAGCAAACCTGAAATATCTGTTGTCATTGTGACCAACAAACAACAATCATACCTTACTTATCGGAACTTTTTGCTGGAATTCTGACAAGAGTTTGTAGTTATAATATGTCTAAAAGCACTGTAGTTTCGACCAACAAATACCCATTGGCTATTTTAGAGAAAGAAAAATAATGTAATTGTTAATATTTTTATAATATTTCTACAAGTCTAGGTATACCCTTTGTTTACTCTTTAAAAAGAGAGCGCTCAGGTAAGGGCATAACAATATAAAAAAGCTTTTGGAAGGGTTTAGGTTAAAAGTCTTCTCTTAAAAACCCAACCTGCCCCAACGTAATGCTATGATCGTTTTTGTATCTATAATTCTCGCGAACAAACTTTGGTTAAGATTAAATGGCTTAAAAGAGCTCTTCTCTTCTAAAGTTCCTCCCATCACACTGCTTCCAGCTTCAAGAACAAACCTTCCTTCATTCCCAGAAGAAAAGATTTGGGATCGTAGACCAGAGGATCCGGAGTCTTGGAGCAAATTGAGAATTTGAAGTTTTTTATAAGTAGAGCGAGTCCTATGCGAGCCTGCATCTGTCCAAATCGCAACCCAATGCAGTTCCGGGGACCGTCTCCAAAAGGCAGCCAGGCAACCGAAGGCCGATTGGTGATCTCCTCAGGGGAGAAACGCTCGGGTCGGAACTCATATGGATCTGGATAGATGCTTGGATCATGGTGAATGGCAGATGAGGGAATGATTACTGATTGACCGGCCTCGATGACAAAGTTGGGATGGCCGGGAACCACAAAGCGCTTTCTGGCCATGCGGTCTATCTGAGGTACGATGGTATAGCGGCGAAGAGTTTCTGCAGAGGGAGTTGCGGAATAGTTACAGACATATATTTGGAGGAATGTTCATCCCACTTACCATTGATAACCTGGTCGAGGAACTTCAGATCCTTGGTGAGCTCGTAGGTAAATTTCTGATCGTGCCTCATCAGAATTTCCTCTATTTCAGCCCTGGCTTTTCCTGAATATGGGGATTCTTGGCCAGTTCATACAGCGCGTATCCCATGGTGGAGGAGGATGTCTCGAAGCCAGCGATAAAGAACACAAAGGCTTGGGCCAGAACCTCATTCATGGTGAGTCCATTGACCACATCGCCGTTCTCCAGAGTTATTTGCTTTTGGTTCTTCATCTCGATGAGCATGTCCATAAAGTCATTGCGTTTGATATTTTCCTTTTCCCGCGCCGCCACAGTTTCAGACACAATCCGCTTGTAGAACTCCTGGATGGCGGGGGCAGTTCGCTCGAGTTTTAAGAGCCTGGCCAAAGTGGGATAGCTTTGCATGAGCCCCAGGATCAGGGTTCCATGTCGCTTCTCAACCAGAGCTCGCTTTCCAAATTGCAGAAACTCCGCCTTCTCATCCCGCAGACTGTTGCACTTGATTCCGAAGGCGCAGGTACCGATCACATCCACCGTGAACCTGGCTACCAGATCGCGAATGTCCAAGACAGCGTTTTGGTTCACCTTCTCGTGCATCACCGTGATGAACTCGTTGCCCACGGACACAACAGTTGGAAACATGAACTTCATTTTCCCGGATGTGAAGGTCGAGGATAATTTATTCCGAAGCAAACGCCATTGGGGCCCGTCCAAATGGAAGAGGTGCGCCGATATGGGATCGTTTTTCTCATTATAGTAGTGGCCCTTGTTGGAGAAGTTGGAAAAGTCCTTGATGAGTATGTGCTTGGCAAGGTCCAGATCCATGATGAATGCCGCAGGCTTTTGGAAAAGATAGAACCCGACAAAGGGCGCCTTGCTGTCCCGATACTTATTGTAGTGATCCCGAAGGATATCGTGGAGGTTCTTGGTGTTGGCGAACTCAGCCATGTTTCCCCGGATTGGATGTGGAGTATCGTGGGGAATGCCCCGGCTTTTAAAATAGGTTAAGTTCTTGTGGACGTAATAGGTTATGATCGCCAGCAGGGCGACCGCTATTTGGAAGAGTATGTAAGTCAGCTCCATGCTGCCTCTGGTGCTGTGTAGGAACGACTGGATCGGCAAGCGCAGAGAGATCGGTTTATAAACGCTCAAATCTACCGACTGGGCATGACTATGCAGCATTCGGTCTCCGGCAATTGAAAGTGACAGTTCATCTTATGGTTTGTTTACGTTTATGCAACAATAAAACTTCAACAAATCTACGGTAAGTTCACTCTATAAAGATAACAAGTCAGCAGACCTCTGAAAGACTTGAGCATAAAGTCCAATGGTAAGTGGAATATATGTATATTTACTATGGAAAAGTATTTCAAGAATAGAATTAAAGTAAAATCAACATTTTTAATGATGTTTATTTATATTGTCAATATTCTTTGTACGCAATTCTTACTGTATGAAATTCAAACACGCTTATCAAAATTAATGTGAGATCTAGACTATGAATCATCAATGCCTGCACATGATTGTGGGCTCTCATTATTGTATTTACATTATCTTAGTCACTGTCTTATCTTCACATTTTAGTCTTTGTCTTTCATCCTTCACACGAACCTAACCTTCCCCAAGTCCATGCATTTCGGCTTGACTGATAATAGTTATATGCATTTCGTATGCTAAAAGTATTTCTATCTAGCACCTAAATTCTCATATCACTTCTACTTTCAGTTGGATTCCACCGGAAACAGTGAGCACGAGTGACTTGGGATCGAATACTAGAGGATCTGGCGTCTCGGGGCACGTAGAGAACTTAAAGTTCTTGATCAGCAGAGCCAGTGCGATATGCATCTGCATCTGGCCAAATCTCATTCCTAGGCAGTTGCGAGGACCATCTCCGAATGGCAGCCAGGCAACCGAAGGACGACTGGCCACCATTTCAGGCGAAAATCTTTCTGGCTGGAACTCATTCGGACTGGGGTAGATACTGGGGTCGTGGTGTATTCCAGTTGAGGGGATGAAGACCAACTGACCCGCTTCAATGACAAAGTTTGGAAGTCCCGGGACCACGTATCGCCTGTGGGCCTTTCGAATCAGATGGGATGCAACGGAGTACAAACGAGAGGTTTCTGTAAAGAAATAGAGATATAGAGTTCGTGTAATTCCGATCCCGCTTAATAGCTTACCATCAATAACCATGCTGAGGTATTTGAGATCTTTAATGCTCTCAAAAGAGAGCTCCTGGCTATGGTTCTCCAGGACTTCCTCCACTTCGTTCCTGACCTTGTCTTGGATGTTTGGATTTTTAGCGAGCTCGTACAGGGCGTATGCCATGGTGGAAGAGGAGGTCTCAAAGCCGGCAATAAAAAACACAAAGACTTGGGCCAGCACCTCGTCCATCGTGAGTCCTTTCACCACATCTCCGTTCTCCAAGATAATTTCCTTTTTGTTTTTCATATCGATCAGCAGATCCATAAAGTCATTTCGCCTGATGTTTCCTTTTCCCGCAGCGATACCGTTTCGTACACAATCCTTTTGTAGAACTTTTGGATGTGCTGAGCCGTTCGCACAAATCTCAATTGTCTCGCTAATTTTGGATAGCTGTGCATGAATCCATTCAGCAGTGGACCATGGCGTTTGTCCACTAAGGAGCGCTTCCCGAAGTGCAGGAACTCGGAGTTCTCATCACGGAGACTGTTGCACTTGATGCCGAAGGCGCAGGTACCGATCACATCCACCGTAAACCTTGCCATTATGTCCCGGATATCCAGCACAGAATTATGTTCCACCTTTTCATGCATTACCGCCAGCAGCTCCTCCGCAACTGACATCACTGTGGGAAACATGAGCTTGATTTTTCCGAAACCGAAAGCCGGGGACAATTTGCTGCGAAGCAACCGCCACTGAGATCCGTCGAGAAAGAAGAGATTGGTCGCGAGGGGATCGTCTTTCTCATTACAGTACAGTCCCTTGTTCGAGAAGTTGGAGAAGTCCTTGATCAGTATGTGCTTCACCAGATCCAGATCTATTATGAAGGCGATGGGTTTCTGGAAAAAGTAGAAGCCCACAAAGGGTGCCTTGGTACCCCGGTATTTGTTATAGTAGTCCAGGACGATGTCGTTGGCAGTCCTGTAGCTGTTGTAACCCTTGATGTTTCCCTTTAAGATATGCGGAGGATCGTGGGGGATTCCACGACGCTTGAAGTACGTCAGTTTCCGATAGAGGCCGTAGAAGACGACTGCCAGGAGTAGGACCACCACTTGGAAGAGAACATATGTCAACTCCATGGTGTTGTTCAGAACCGACTGTTTACGTAAAGGCGGACAAGCCGCCTTTTAAATTCCGGACTTTGCAGTGTTGCTATCTTTTATGACGGAAAATTAATTTTTCGACGTGTATTTTTACCGATATACTAAATACCATGCCTTATATATAAAAATAGCTGTTGCGATGCATATCAGGCTGGAGGAAAAAATCTAGAGGTATGGGTATTGAACATTGAAAACCCATATCAGGTATGAGCCCGCGGTATCCAGTAGTCGAGCCCTATCTTGTATGCCCTACTTTCTTGTTTATAAAAATTGTTCACTAAGGCTTATTAAACTGTAATAAAAACATAATTGGTTGTAAGACCGAAAATTCACCGAATTTTATCTACCTTTTATAAACCTTGAAATTTTCTTTATGTCTTATCAAAGGTTAACCCTTGAAGAATTATTAATTGGTTTTAAAAGTTAAGAATATTTAGGCTAAGAAAATATATATTTCTTTCTTTGATCATGAGTTAGTCTAAGGCATATTTAAATTGATCTAGGCAACTAGTTCCATCGATATTGTTTGATACCAGTAAGTAACTACGATAAGTAAGTATCTATGACCAGTAAGATAGGATGATCAGTTACTAACTTTGAACACTAATAAACAATGACTTGCAACTTTTGTAACACAACACTTATCTGAGACTTGGCTGGCAGTACTCACTTCGTTCCGGGGATGTTATAACTAGTTGGGAATCATATGGACAGATGTGCGAGATTTGTTTTGCAGCTAATTAAAGAGCAAGCTATTTGAATGAAACTATGGGGTTATTCTTCTATATAATTTTACTATTATATAAATCGAAGCATGGCGAATCGGTGGACTATATATATACATATATATAGCTGACATAGGAACAATCGCACGATTTAAAGAACTATGATCAGTAATTAAGTATGACCAGTAATTAACTATGAGAAGCAAGTAACTATGAGCAGTGAGTAACTCTGAACAATACGTATCTATGACCAGTAAGTAACTACGATAAGTAAGTATCTATGACCAGTAAGATAGGATGATCAGTTACTTACTTTGAACACTAATAAACAATGACTTGCAACTTTTGTAACACAACACATTTCTGAGACGTGGCCGGCAGAAGGCACTTCGTTCCGGGGATGTTATAACTAGTTGGGAATCATATGCACAGATGTGCGAGAGTTGTTTTGGATCAAATTTAAGAGCAAGCTATTTGAATGAAACTATGGGGTTATTCTTCTATATAATTTTACTATTATATAAATCGAAGCATGGCGAATCGGTGGACTATATATATACATATATATAGCTGACATAGGAACAATCGCACGATTTATAGAACTATGATCAGTAATTAAGTATGACCAGTAATTAACTATGAGAAGCAAGTAACTATGAGCAGTGAGTAACTCTGAACAATACGTATCTATGACCAGTAAGTAACTACGATAAGTAAGTATCTATGACCAGTAAGATAGGATGATCAGTTACTTACTTTGAACACTAATAAACAATGACTTGCAACTTTTGTAACACAACACATTTCTGAGACGTGGCCGGCAGAAGGCACTTCGTTCCGGGGATGTTATAACTAGTTGGGAATCATATGCACAGATGTGCGAGAGTTGTTTTGGATCAAATTTAAGAGCAAGCTATTTGAATGAAACTATGGGGTTATTCTTCTATATAATTTTACTATTATATAAATCGAAGCATGGCGAATCGGTGGACTATATATATACATATATATAGCTGACATAGGAACAATCGCACGATTTATAGAACTATGATCAGTAATTAAGTATGACCAGTAATTAACTATGAGAAGCAAGTAACTATGAGCAGTGAGTAACTCTGAACAATACGTATCTATGACCAGTAAGTAACTACGATAAGTAAGTATCTATGACCAGTAAGATAGAATGATCAGTTACTTACTTTGAACACTAATAAACAATGACTTGCAACTTTTGTAACACAACACATTTCTGAGACGTGGCCGGCAGAAGGCACTTCGTTCCGGGGATGTTATAACTAGTTGGGAATCATATGTACACATGCGCAGTATTTGCTTTTGAACATATTTAAGCTATTTGAATTAAACAATGGAGTAATTCTTCTATATAATTTTACTAGTATATAAGTCGGAGCATGGCGAATCAGTTGACTATATATATGCACATATATAGCTGCCATAGGAACAATCGGACGATTTATAGAACTATGATCAGTAATTAACTATGACCATTAATTATGAGCATCAAGTAACTATGAGTAGTAAGTAACTCTGAACAGTAAGTATCTATGACCAGTAAGTAACTTTGATCAGTAAGTATCTATGACCACTAAGTATCTATGATCAGTTACTAACTTTGAACAAACAATGACTTGCAACTTTTGTAACAACACATTTCTGAGACTTGGTTGGCAGAAGTCACTTCGTTCCGGGGATGTTAGAACCAGTTAGGAATCATATGTACGTTCGAGATTGGTTTTGGCACAAATTTAAATGCAAGATATTTGAATGAAACTATGCAGTTATTGTTTTATATAATGTTACTACTTTATATGTCTAGGAGCATGCCGAATCGGTGGATTATATATGTACATATATATAGCTGCCATAGGAACGATCGGATAATTTTAAGAAAAACAATTACATATCACTTTCTTCTTTAAGGCTGAAATTTTCAGAGAAGGAGATGTTTTTACCACTTTATGTGCGTTATTTTTTATTTCTTGCTATCATTCCTTTACCATTTCCTATCTACTCTATCTCGTTTGTGACTCAGACAGCCTCAACGTTAAGATTTATGCCAACAGCACTGAGGGCAACAGACTTGGGATTATAAATTAATGGGTCCTGGGTCTTGGAGCATATGGAGAACCTAAAGTTTTTGATGAGCAGGGCCAGTCCAATACGAATTTGCATCTGTCCAAATCTCAGACCAATGCAGTTACGAGGACCGTCCCCAAAAGGCAGCCAAGCAACTGAAGGGCGATTGGCCGACTCTTCAGGGGAGAAACGCTCAGGGCGAAACCTATAAGGATCCGGATAGATGCTGGGATCGTGATGTATGGCAGATGAGGGAATAACCACCGACTGGCCAGCTTCTATGACAAAGTTGGGATGGCCAGGAACTACAAATCGCTTGAGAGCTACTCGATCCAGGTTAGGCACAATTGTGTAAAGCCGAGAGGTTTCTTGAAAAAGAAATTGATTATTTCGGATCGTTTAAAGCTTACTGAATGAATTACCCTTAATAACCATGTTTAGATACTTGAGATCTTTGGTGCTCTCAAAGGTAAGTAACTGGTTGTGCCTTTCCAGGAATTCCTCTACTTCGGCCCTGACCTTGTCTTGAATATGTGAATTTTTTGCCAGCTCGTATAGAGCAAATGCCATGGTGGAGGATGATGTCTCAAAGCCGGCGATAAAGAACACAAAGGACTGGGCAAGGACTTCCTCCATGGTCAGGCCCTTGACCACTTGGCCATTTTCAACTGGTGTTTCCTCTTGATTTTTCATATCAATCAGTAGATCCATGAAGTCGTCTCGTCTTATATTTTCTTTCTCACGTTGTGCCACTGTTTCGTAAACAATCCGTTGATAAAACCTCTGGATGTGAGGAGCCGTTCTTATGAGACCCAGGCGTTTCGCCAGTTTGGGGTAGCTAAACATTAGGCTGAAGAGTAAGGGGCCATGGCGCTTATCCACCAAAGACCTCTTGCCAAAGTAGAGAAACTCGGCTTTCTCGTCCCGTAGACTGTTGCACTGGATGCCAAAGGCACAAGTCCCAATTACATCCACCGTAAACCTGGCCGTCAGCTCACCGATATCCAGAACTGAAGTCCGTGACAGCTTTTCGTGCATTACAGCAATGAAATCGTTGCCGATAGAAAGAACTGCCGGAAGCATGGTCCTGATTTTGCTTGACGTGAAAGTGGAGGAGAGCTTGCTTCGAAGGGATCGCCAAGGAGGTCCATCCAGATGGAAGAGATGTGCAGAAATGGGATCGTCTTTCTCATTATAGAACTGACCCTTGTCGGAGAAATTCGAGAAGTCCTTGATAAGTATGTGCTTCACCAGCTCCAGATCCATGATGAAGGCGCAAGGCTTTTGGAAGAAGTAGAACCCCACAAAGGGCGCCTTGCTGTTCCGATATTTGTTGTAATAGTCCTGCATGATCTCCTGAATGGTGCGGGTGCTGTTGAAGCCCTCCATGTTGCCCCTCAGCAGATGCGGAGCATCGTGTGGGACTCCTTGGCGTTTAAAGTAGGTCAGTCTGCGGTGAATAAAGAAGGAGGCACATGCCAGCAGAGCAACAGCTACTTCGAAAAGAATATAGGTGAGTTCCATGGCAAGGTTGCAGATTGACTGCCTTAACAAATACGTTTCGGACTTCTTTAAAGGAATTGGTGACGCCAAAATTGAGAACTAAATGTGAAGTATTTAATATTACGTGGTCAGATTCGGTTGTTATTGCACGTAACGTATAACATTAGGCCGACCTCCCACGTGGGTCGTGTGCATGTGGGTTTTCCACAGTTCTGGACGTGCTCCAACATTTAATTTGTAGTTCAAATATAGTATATAGTAAAAGGGTAATGAATTCATTATTCACAGAGTACAATGCAATGCAATGTAAGTTCAACCATTGAAGAAAATTTCAACATATCATTCCAAGCTAAGCTTAAAATATTCCCATTCTTAACAATTGTAACGATAATTTTATAGGAAATCTTTTATTAATAAATCAAAGTTTAAATACCTCCTTCACAGCGTTTCAGGCTTGTGGTTACAATACACTTGCAGTGTATAAAAATAGCTTCGAGGTTTTGTATAGACCCCTTTGATAAACTTCTTATCAAATTAACAATTGTAAAGACTTAATAAAATGTAATTTTAGGCGTCTACAAGTCTAGCTTGACTTTTGATAAAAATAGTACGAATACGCTCAAAGCCCGATAACATATTAATCTTACAAATCCCATATAAGAGCCCTTAAAAGGCCTCAACTTGAAGATTAATTCCCTCTGGAACACTTAGGGCCACCGATCTGGGATCGTAGACCAGAGGATTCGGTGTCTTGGAGCAAGTGGAGAACTTGAAGTTCTTGATGAGTAAAGCTAGTCCAATGCATGCCTGCATCCGTCCGAACCTTAACCCAATGCAGTTACGAGGACCATCTCCGAAGGGCAGCCAGGCAATCGACGGACGGTTGGCCGATTCTTCAGGGCTAAAGCGTTCTGGACGGAACTCATAAGGCTCGGGATAAATGCTGGGATCATGGTGGATAGCAGATGAGGGGATGACGATCGATTGACCAGCCTCGATGACAAAGTTCGGGTGTCCGGGAACCACAAAGCGCTTGTGAGCCATGCGATCCAGATGAGGAACAATGGTGTAGAGACGAAGGGTTTCTGTAATCATGTAGAAGTAAATATAGATTCAGCTAAGCTGGGAATTTGACCAATTACTTACCATCGATCACCATATTGAGGTACTTTAGATCCTTGGTACTCTCATAGGTTAATTTTTGACCATGGTTCTCCAGAACTTCCTCCACTTCAGCCCTGACCTTGTCCTGGATGTGCGGATGCTTGGCCAGCTCGTACAAAGCGTATCCCATGGTGGAGGAGGATGTCTCGAAGCCAGCGATAAAGAAGACAAAGGCTTGGGCCAGCACCTCGTCCATGGTGAGTCCCTTGACCACATCGCCGTTCTCTAGAGTCATTTCCTTTTGGTTTTTCATATCGATCAGGAGATCCATGAAGTCATTTCGCCTGATATGTTCCTTCTCCCGCAGTGCCACAGTTTCGTTGACAATTCTTTGATAAAACTTCTGGATGTGTGGGGCGGTCTTAACAAGGCGCAAACGCCTCGCCAACTTGGGATAGCTAAACATTAAGCTGAAGAGCAAGGGACCATGGCGCTTTTCCACCAAGGACCTCTTGCCAAAGTGCAGAAACTCGGCCTTCTCGTCCCGTAGACTGTTGCACTGGATGCCAAAGGCACAGGTTCCAATCACATCCACAGTGAACCTGGCCACCAGCTCACGGATCTCCAGAACATTACTCATCTTGACCTTTTCATGCATTACAGCCATAAACTCGTTGGCAACGGACACAACTGTGGGATACATAAACTTCATTTTGCCGGAGGTAAAGGTGGAAGTTAGTTTATTCCGTAGCAAACGCCACTGCGGTCCATCCAGATTGAAGAGATGGGCCGAGATGGGATCGTCCTTCTCATTGTAGTACAGCCCCTTGTCCGAGAAGTTAGAGAAGTCCTTGATCAGTATGTGCTTGACCAAATCCAGATCCATGATGAAGGCGCAGGGCTTTTGGAAGAAGTAGAATCCCACAAAGGGCACTTTGCTGTTACGATATTTGTTGTAATAGTCCTGCATGATCTCCTGAATGGTGCGGGTGCTGTTGAAGCCCTCCATGTTGCCCCTCAGCAGATGCGGAGCATCGTGTGGAACTCCTTGGCGCTTGAAGTAGGTCAGTCTTCGATGTGTATAGTAGGTGGCGATCGCTAGCAGGGCGACTGCCACTTGGAAGAGGAGATACGCTAGCTCCATGACTGCTGGTCTTGACTAAATGCTATAGAAACTGAGAGTCGAACGTCTTTTAAACGGAAGATTTTGCATTTTAAAAGTAGTAGCGTCTATATGACATGGCAGATTCTTATTTAGCAGCATTTGTGCTTAGTTTTATTAGGTTTTCAGATTCGAATTGTTGCTGGTCAGCAATGACAACCCAATTAATGGTGCTGTTAACTCTGATATAGATTTAATACACTTATCTGTTAGCAACAGTATAATACAGTAATTAAGGGATTTCATTCAAGAAAACTTTATAAGTTACTAGAAGGTTTCTGTAGCAGAGTATCGCCATGTATCTTTATCTTGTAAAGCGTGCCAGATACATTTTTAATAAGGAAAAGGGTATCTAATAAAGTTTAAAATTTCCAGCCATCTACTTAATTAAATTGATACATATGTATATAAGTTTCTCTTAAGCACTTACCACTGTAGCAAGACGAGCCTCCGCTTATCATTCTCGCGGACGATCCCCCATTATGAGCGTCACATCGCCGGCGGGGGCTACTTCATCATGGAATATTACGAAGCGTCATTGGAACATGATATGGGTATTAACTGGTTATGTATTATTTGAGGGATCTGGCAACTATATTGTTTACCTTTTCGGTCATAGAAGTGCGCCCCGTTCGACAGTTGATTAGATTTCAAGTGCGGATGTTGGCAGCAACAACAAACAATTAAACCGAACAGCTTTCGGTGCTTAGCTATTTGTTTTGGTTTTGTTTCAGCATTGTGGCTGAGCTTTTCTTTTGTTCTTACTGTTTTTTTTTTTTTACTATTTTCATGCCTTTTAAACGCTAATTGGGCGTAAAATTTATCAGGTTGCGTGCAAAAATACACACCGTTACAGGGATGACTTATTGAATGAAATATGCTTATATAAGGGAAATAAAGGATATTATATTCTATTATGTTTTTATAAGTTCTTTATGGAAAAAAATTTTACGACATTTTAGCCACCAAAAAATACCCGAAATTCACAAAGAATGCTGCCCAAAAAATAAACTGATAACAAGAAATGAACTTCAAAGAACTGAGATATAGATAAGAATAAGTTACTCACCAAGGTGTTCAGCTAAACGTCCTACCAAGAAGGTCAGTAATTAATTAAATGAAGGAAATAAGGTTTTATAAAATTTAATGAAATTGATTTCCAGGGGAGGTCTTAGAATTGTGTAGTAAGAAATAAAATAAAATAATTAAATATTAAATGAATGGCATATAAAATAAAACTAAAAAGGTTTCCTTTTAATAAGGTTTCAATAAATACTTCAATACAAAAATAACTTATTGAACTAAAAACAAAATAATAATAATAAAAAATAAAGAAAGAGGATGCATTTTTAAATCATTGTAACTCGGCTAAAAATGCATTAATTTTAATTTGGTAAGCTTTCCTATGTTAGTTTTTATTAGGCTAATAAAACTGCAAACACAACTTAACATTTAAAGAGTTTCAATTTTTTCCCAATTTTTGACAATTTTAACGATATAACCCCTTATAAAATTTTGAAAATTTTGAAAAAAATAGATTTTGTCCGGAGATGGCTTAATCGATTCGCCTGTTGATGCTGATCAAGAATATATATGATTTATAGGGTCGGAAATGACTCCTTCACAGCGTAACATGCTTCTGACTAAAATTATAATACCTTGCAGGGGTATACAAAATGTATACTTATACAGCAGGGAAACGGGAACCTCTGACTTGTTTATATTTATCTTATTTGTTTAGCTTTTATAAAACTCATTAACCAGACCTCTCTGCCACTCCAACATTGAAACTAAAGTAATAATAGTCATGTCTCCCCGTCTGGCCTCAATGGGACGCCCACCTGGTGAATCTGACGATCCGCAAGCTTTGCTGTAGCGTACTCGAAAAAGCGGTAAGTAAAAAAAAAGTGAAAAAGCTCCCGGGCTCACCTGGTGTGTGTGTGCTCTCACCTGGAGTAAATAGTTACTTTTCTCCGATTCTCAGTCGCACCGCGGGCTTTGCTAATGAACGTAGCTGGTTGAGAACGCCGCGATAGCTCCGGAATCCGGACGATGCATTAGATCATAGTCGGTGACACTCTCAGCCCGTAGACGAGAGTGAAAGGGTGGCAAGATAGCGCGGCGGAAGGAAGCTCGCTCGGGGCGTGATTTTAGCCATACCTACGTGCATGTGATTCAGAGTAAATAGTAGAACAAACTGAGAAGCAAAAACAAAAATAGAGTGCAAAATGAAAAATATGTGGATAATTTTCCTGATCATCGGCCTGCTGGTCTTGGCTTTGCTGGTTCTGCTAATTATGGCAGCGCGATATCAGCGCGATTACTGGCGCTTTCGGGGCATTCCGCACGAGAGGCCGAAAAAGCTGTGGCCCGTCATGAAGCAGATAATGACGCAGACGCTCAGCACGGAGGCGATGAAGGCGTCCCATTACTCGGCCCTCTACAGCAAGTTCAAGGGCAGCGGTCCCTTCTGCGGCTTCTACGCGCTGCTCCAGCCGCGCGCCTTGATCCTGGACCGGGAGCTCATCCGGCAGATTATGATTAAGGACTTTTGGAACTTCAATGATCGGGGCATGTACTGCAATCAGAAATCGGATCCCTTGTCCGGGGATCTGTATGCCTTGAGGGGTGAGAGCTGGAAGGAGATGCGCCAGAAGCTGGATCCCAGCCTGGAGGGGGATCGCATGTCCTGGCTGTATGGCTGCCTGTACGAGGAGGCGGCTCAGCTGCTCCTGGTTGTGAGCACCACGCTGATGAAGCAGCCTCACTCCACGCTGCACATCCAGAAGATCATGCGGCGGTACGTCTTGTCAGCCCTGGCCAAGTGCGTCTTTGGCCTGGACTCGCAGCAGAGGCTTAAGTATCCCTTGGATGACTTTGAGCAGATGACCGAGATGGCTTTGAATAGCCACAAGCATGGCTACCTCATGAACCTGATGATGATACGGTTCCCCAACTTCTGCCGGCTGCTTCGAATGCGTCGCACGCCCAAGCAGGCGGAGACCTACTTCTTGGGTCTCCTCAACGACATTGTGGAGCAGAGGGAGAACTCGGGTGTTCGTCAGCAGGACTATCTGCAGCTCTTGATTGAGGTCAAGGCCCTGGAGCTGATAACGCACCAGTACGAGGCAGACAAGGAGCTGAAAACGCATCTTCAGAACGAGCTGGCTGCCCATGCGGTGGTGTTCCTCAAGGCTGGCTACGAGCAGACAGCCAATACCTTGTCCTATATCCTCTATGAGCTGGCCTCGCACACGGACCTCCAGACACGAGTCAGGGAGGAGGTGAAGAAGGCCATGGAACGTTTCGAGGGTAACCTGAGCTACGAGTGCATCCAGTCGCTGACCTTTATGGGTCAGGTGATAAGCGAAACCCTGCGAATGCATCCCATCACCCCGTACATCCTGCGACGCACCCTCAACGACTATCCCGTGCCGGATCACCCCAAATATGTGCTGGTAAAGGAGCTCTTCCTGATCATACCCACGCATGCCATACACCACGATCCGTACATTTATCCGGATCCGGATCAGTTCAAGCCCGATCGCTGGGGCGGACCAAGGGACTCGCTGCAGGAGCAGGGCACCTGGTTTGGCTTTGGAGTTGGGGCTCGCAGCTGTATTGGCATCCAGTTTGCCCAACTGCAGCTTCGTCTGGCTTTGGCCTTGCTCCTATCAGAGTACGAGTTCACTTTGAACTCGAGGAAGCCGCTGGTTAACCTGGAGGATGGAATAGCGCTAACCCTGACCCCACTGGGAGTCATAGAGCCGGGCACGGAGGAGAGGGCTGTATAGGCTTCAGAACTGACATAAGCTTAGTCTCTGGAATGGTGAAATTTAGGTGCTATCTACTGGATATTCATAAGATACAAAAGTATCTGTGAGAGAGCCATTATAAATCTTTACTGACAAACTTGAATCAAATCTTTCTATTTAAGCCCAAAATAAGTTAAAGAGCAAATAATTATTTGACCAGAAAAGACTTCCGGTAAATTCAATTAAAAGTGCATACCAAATGTGGATAAGGCAGCGCTCGTTTTGGTAATGGAAAAACACCTATCTGGCCAAAGAGATTAAGCTTATGTCAGTATACAGCAGAGCTTTAGCGTAATGACAAAGAATTTACTCCATGAACAAAGTCTAGAAAGCAATATACAACTCAGAGCCAGGCAACTAACCAAATGAAATAAATATGTAAAACAAACTAGAGGTCAGCTTAGAATAGTTAAATTTACAAAACCAAAAATTAACATGTTTTTCTATTTAAGAGTTTATTTATTTTACATACACTTCTCTTTCTAAAATAGCTTTCGATTTAATTTCTATTAAATACATTCCTTTTGATCTGTTAAAATAATTGTCGATTTGATTCATTTTCATTGTTAATTGTGTTGTTAGTTCTATACATATAGTATATATAGCTTGTTGCATTGTCGTTTGCTGATATGGTTGGTTTTGTGTTCACAACTTATATGTGTATATCGGGGTGGCCCTGGCCAGTATTCAGTTAAAAGTTGCAGTGACTGCTGCTGCTGCCTTCGTTGATTGATCGAAAATCGAAATTAGATTTATATTAGAAACGGTTCTACTACAGTTTTAAGCACTAAATTAGATTTAAAAAAATAAATAAAAACGTACGACAAACGAAGTCTAATTATACAATATACAATATACGTAAGTGTTGGTGGCTTCTTGGTGTCTTCCTTGGCCATGGAATGTGTGTGCTCCGGAAACGGAAATGCGGACACTAGCTCTGTTTTGTTCGTTTCGATATGGCTTTTGTGGACTTCCGTTTGTCCTCTACTGCGATGGCTGTCGCTTGTGCCGCTGGGACGATATCAAAGAGGTCCTTGTGGGCTCTCCACGATTTGGCAGCTTGCTTCGCAGCATCTGCTCGTGGACATATAAGAGCAATCCCACGTCCCGGTGCCCGGCCTGCCAGGCAATCTTGAAGGCAGTGCTGCCATCCTGCAACGCAAATGTACATAGTTTGGTTTTTCAGATATTTAAAGATGCAGACATATCATCCCAACTCACCACATCGTTGACCAGGGAATCGCAGTCCGGATGCGATAGCAGATGCTTCACCACATCCACCCGTCCATGCTCGGCGGCACACATCAGCGCCGTGGAGCCATCCTCGTCCTGGATATTGATGTCTGCCCCGGCATCCAGGAGCATGTTGACCATGTCCACATTACCATGCGACACAGCGAGCATCAAGGCGGTCTGGCAGTGCTATCAAGACAAGAGATACAGGGCGGGATGAGAGTTAGTAGGGGAGTACATCCATGGATCAGATTTTTTTTGGCATCTTAAGCGGGAGCGTTGTGGCCCCTTACCTACCTTCTTGGCCCGTATGTTGACATCGGCCATCTTGAACAGTCGCTCGACGACTGTGCGATGGGACGGCTGCTGCAGCTTGGCCAACGATACGAGCATCACGCAGGTGTATCCGGCGTTATTCGTTTGGTTTACGTCGCAAACCTTGGAATCCAGCAGAATGGACACTACGTCAAAGTTGCCATGCGAGACCGCATAGTGCATGGCTGTGTTGCCCTGTAGAAAATGTATTATTTACATTATTATATTATATTTTATTACTCTTAAAAATAAACGTATTCGAATTCCTAACGAAACGTGACTAAGTATAGCTTAGCAAATAATGTAAAGATACGTGTTTTTCCTCTAAGAATTTTGCCTTGAGATTCAAATAAGAATTGTTTATAAATTAGCAAAAAAACAGTGTTATAAACACTTAGACATATATATTATTATATTTATATTATTAATAAGAAAGAAGGATTAATCAAAAAAGGAATAACGCCATATATAACTACAAAGAAATCGTTGTACAGTAGTTTTTAAACTCATGCAAGGTATTATAATTTCAGTTGAAAGCTTGGATCACAGTGAAGGAGTCATTTCCGACCCCATAAGTCATATATATTCTTGATCAGCATTAAAACCCGAGTCGATCTAGCTATATCTGGTCGAAATCTAATTTTTTGAAAAATTTGAAAATTTTATAAGGGGTTAGTTACATCGTTAAAATTGTCAAAAATTCGAAAATAATAGAATCCCTTTAAATGATAACTTAAGTATACAGTTTTATTAACCTAATAAAAACTAACATAACCACGATTTCCGAATTAAAATTAGTGCATTTTTAGCTTAGTTATGAGTTTTTTAATCTTTGATTGGCAAAAAAAAATGTGGTATAAAAATACAGATAAATATTGACTCAAAAGTGGTATTATAGTTTTAATCAGAAGCTTTAAACTCTATGAAGGAGTCATTTCCGACCCTATAAATCATATATATTCTTGATCAGTATGATCAGCCGAGTCGATTGAGCCAGGTCTGGTCAAAATCAAATTTTTTCCAAAATTTTAACTTTTATAAGGGGTTACATCGTTAAAATTGTCAAAAATTCGAAAAAAAAATGGAATCTCTTAAAAAGTTAATTTGAGTATGCAGTTTCATTAACCTGATAAAAACTAACATAGGAATGCATTTCGAATTGAAATTAATAAATTTTTGGCTTAGTTATGAGTTTTTTAAACTTTGATTTGCCCAATAAATTGGTCTTATAAAAATCTCGGCAAATATTGATTTAAAGAATGCGAATATTCAGTTATGATCGATTTCCGATTCAATCCTATAATTCAATTGCAAACTGCAAGGGTGTATAAACTTGAACTTCTCGAAGTTAGTTTCCTTGTTAGTTATATATTGTACTAATCTGATATTATCTAAATCTTAGATCGAATAAGAAAAGCGATAAGAGCACACTCCAATCTAGGATAAAGAAAATACCCTTACATAGTTCTAAAAATAAGGTAAAATAAAACCAAGGACTCACATTATTATCAGACAGATTGACACAATATTCCAGCAGTGGCACCGACAAGGACTCAAAATAGTCGAGGTAATCCTCCACCTGGTGGGGATCCGACTTGCCAGTACTGGAGTTGATGAACCAATTGTCCTGGATGGTCGCCTTGGCCGACTTGAGGCTGTGCGAGGAGATGGGCTTGGCGCCCAGTTTCTTTAGCAGCGAATCGTTGATGATCTTGAGGGCATCCTGGAAACCCTTGGAGAGTTCGGTTCTAAAAAATTTCAAGAATTTCCGGATAAGTTTATATCCTAAGGGAAAAGATTATGCTGAAACTAACTTCTTCCGCGGCTCTGTGTCCGCCTGGGCCAGCTGATGGAGCTGGGCCTTGGTGGCCGGCTTTTCGATCACCGTCACCTGGGAGCCCTCGCTCTGACTAGACTTGACTGGCGTGCTGGACTTCTTCCTAGCGCCCTGGGCTACTTGCACATCCAACGGAGGACTGGAATCGCTGGAGGTGCTCATCGTGGCTGGCTCCTGATCCGGCGACTCGGATTTGGTGGTTCCCGAGGAGGTCATGAGTGGCGCTGGGGAAGCATCCCTTGACCAGCTGATGCTCACTCGTTTCTCCTCGCGCACAATCAGCTCATCATCACCTAGGAGACTGAGGTCCAGGCGATCCTTCTGAGGCTGACGGATGAAGCTCTGGATTTCGCTTGAGGGATCTGGTGTCTGGAAGCTGGACACCGTCGGGGGCTTCTCCTGCAGGGAGCTGCAAAGGAAAACCTGGATTAGTAAGGGAATGGAGATGGAGAGCTCGTAACCCACGTCAGGAGCAATGCTGAGCACCCGCTGACCAGCAGCGGGTAGCAGGTGAAGCTGCTCAGGCTGGAAAACATTGGCAGCACCATGCGAAAAATCAAAATCCAAACAAAAAAGCAAAAAAAGCGTGCGCTGCTATGGTGGCAACGCGAAAACCAAAACTCGACTGAAGGTCAAAACCCGCTCGGCCGTAAGGACTATATGGATTTTATTCCAATTTTTGGATTTTGCGCAAGAGCTGGCCCTGGTTGTGTACTTTACTAAAAGCTTTTCGTGAAACTTGACTAAGGCTACTGCACAGTGGGATAAATCATCAACTTACCTCAATCGCATCTTCCGCTCCACCTGCGGACTGGGCGTGGGCGAGGGCGTGGCCAGCGTGTAGGTGTTCTGCCGCTTGAACTCTTTCCGCACGGGACTGGGACTGGTGAGGTGCTTGGGCCTGGGTATCCGCGAATCCGCCGAGGTGGAGCGACGCCCGGCACCGCCGGCTCTTGGAGACGTGGGACTGGCCTTGCTGAAGCCTCGAGCCAGATCCTGGATGGCCTCCTTGCAGGAATCACAGTAGTTGGCCGCACAGGCAATGGAGATGTGCGGCTTGACAATGTCGCCGCAGCCTACGTCCCGCTTACGGACCTCCTCCGTGTTGCAGGAAGAGTGGGTGGTACGCTTCGGCTTGGGTTCCGGCACCTTCTCCTTGTCCGTATTGCTGGCCATGTGGCGAGTGGCGGGCTTTGCCACCGACTCGGCCACCTGCTCTGCCTTGGTCTCGCTCCGGCTCAGCCGCTGCAGACCCACGGTGTCCGTCTGGCGGGTCACCTGCTTTACTCCACATTGCACTGAGGAGTGCTGCTGCTGGGGATTCACTTGGGCGCCGGTGGAACGCACGTAGGGTGTGGTGGTCTGACTTTCCACACTGTGAACCAAAGTGGTGGGCGTCTGGCAAGCTATGGCCTTGTGTACCACCTTCACTAAGGATTCAGTCTCACCCAGGCTGAAGGTGTTGCTGCGTCCAGGCATCTGCGGCGGCGGCGGCGGCTTCACCTTCTCCGGCGGCGTATCAGGGCCGCAGGACACGCTCCTCTTGCTCACCGCACACTTCTCGCAGAGCACATCGTCCAGTCGATCCTCGGAGCTACCCACATGTCGCACTTCCGGCTTGCAGCTGGTGAAGTTCTCCCGCGTCGTCGGCTTGGCACTGACTCCCACATGGTGCTTCATCTTGGGACGCTCTGGTAGGGTTTGCACTCCCGATTCTCTCTGCTCCCTCTGGGGGACATACATCTGGGTTCCCACCGAAATGAGCTTGCGGAGTCGCTGCCTCTGGGCGTTGTCCAGTGCCTGCTCCACCTTCTGCTCCAGCTCTGCCTTGGAGTAAACTGTCTCCATGGACTGTATGCCGGCATTCCGGGTGCTAGTCTGATGACCAGTGCCCACATCTCGGGTGGATGGTGGCCTTACCACCGCCTGGGTGGACACATCCCGACGAACAATGCTGGGCGAGGAGGGGGAGGCCGAGACGGAACTGCTGCGCATCCGAGAGCCAAGACTCTCCAGCGACACGGGACTGATCCGCTGTGGGGTGAACTGCACAGGCGAGGCAGCAGTCTTCAGGCCGGGACTTGGAGGCGAAGGCGTCTGTCGTTGGCCACGCAGCTGCAGTTCCTCGTTCTTGCGCAGCAATTTCTGCTTCTCGGCACGCAGAGCATTCAGTTCCTGCTCCATGTCGGGTATGACCTTTACCTGCTCCTCCAGATCCTTGAGTCGCTTGAGGCTCAGAGCCATCTGCTCACGTATCTGGCAGAGAGCCTGGGCATCAGCCGTGGCCTGGCCAGCCTCTGAGGTGACCGGTGATTGGAGGGAACTGCCATTTTCCGGTGGCGATTGCTGCTCTTTGGAGACCGGTGTGCTGGCCAATAGATGGTGGCGCCTGGGTGGTGGCGGTGGTGCCACACCCGGTGACTTGAGGGATTCCAGCTGCTCCACGGGAGACTTGGCATTGGCTGCCACAGTGGCTTGGACATAGCTCTCGTACTGCACCTCTGCTGGGCTGGGACGCTGTTGCAGGGGCAGAGTGTTGGAGCGCAGAAAGGGGCGTGGCGTGTCCGTGGGCGATCGATTACCCGCTATGCAGGAGTCTGAAAAATATAGAAAAATCAAAGTTAATTCAGGATTAATTCAAGATTAGTTTAAGAGGTGCATTTACGGATCCCTCAACGTTTACTTGGTCTGCCGCTCCTGGTCAAAACGATCTTAATTTGCAGACTTGCCATGAGCTACTGACGCCCCAAAACATATAGTCAAAAAAAGCTCTGATAAAAGCGATTTGTGGCTACTCAAATCTAATTTTAATAATTGTGCCAGAGTTCGCCGCCTTGCAAATAATTTAATTCACGCAAAATAAAAAACCAAAAGTCACTCGATCAACCTCTATTCCTCTTTTCTTTTGTCTGTGTATATGTCCCAAGATAAGGCAGTCGGGTTATTATTCAATATTAGTTTTTGTTTATCACCCTGGCACACATATGTGCGGCTATATCTGTATATATATTACCTTTTATTTACATGCGAGACAAGGCTGTTGGCATTTTTGCTTTTTTTTTCTTACTTGACACACGCAAATCGTGCATATAACATTTATATACGAGAGAGGAGAGAAATTTATGACCAGCTGATACGAGCTTCTATTTCGGTCGCTGCATTTGTCAAAACATTACCCATACGCACTGTGGCCCCGCCGTCGCCGCCATTCGTTACTCATCTCGGGCGGGAGGGCTGTCATTCCGCCCACTTTTCCTGCTATTACTTAATTTCTGTGTGCAACGAACTTTTTAGCAACAAAGTATTATTTATTTTTGTACAGCTACACTAAGGGAAATTTGACCAAGAGTTTGTTATCATTCATAAAGCAGAGTTGTAATATTAGTAGGAATTACAGGAATAATTGTTCGGCACAATATATAGTTTTAAAAACTTTTCCTTATTTATTTCCTATATTAAATACTTAAAATTTCTTAATTTATATAGCAACATCAATTTTCTCTGAGTGATCTTATGTTTTTTAGTTAGCGGTGCCAAATTGGCTAAGCGTTTTTTGGGCAGATGCTCTGAAAAGGGGGCGAAGCGACGCGTGACGCGAAATAGCATTGACCGCGGCCATAATTAATCAGTTTTTATGGCCCAGCTAATTAGCAAAAGAAGCAAGTCAAAACCGGCAAAAGATAGTTCTGAAAACGATCAGCTCCTTAAGCTAATGAACCTACAGTCGCTCCACCAGCTCTTGGCCATTCCGTTCGTCTTGCTGCTGTCCGGCTTTGGCTTGAGGTTCCTCTTGACCAAACGCCGTCGTCTCTGGGGCAGGGCATCCTCTGAGGTGGAGAACATGGCTGGGCCTCCTCTCTAATACACTTTCTCTTATTGATTTTAGTAGTTTAGTAGTAGTCGGTTAGCAAGGCACACAAACATTCGCAGCACTGCACTTGGCTGCGATTTTATGGGCCAAGGCAGCAGACATTGCACTTGAGAGCGAAGAAGCGTAGCAAATATTTGTTAGATTCTGCGCTTTAATTATATTTTGTTATATTTTGCTGTTTATTTTATCTTATCTTGGCGGGTGCTAATTAAGGCTCTGTGGTTATAAGCAATTATTAAATGATTTAATCGATGACAGATCAAAGCAAAAACTCATCACATGTTATCTCTGCCTCACAGTGGCGGTCACAATAACATGCACGCACTCACTTCGTAGAAGTTCATATTTCAATTTTCGTAGAATCGTAGGCATTATACATGTATTTTTGATTAAGAATATATATAAATTCGAGTTTTTTGTATTATTTATGTGCTGTATTTTTGTGCTGATTTTAGGTTTGTATATTATTTAATGAGATTTATTGTCGCTTAATCACTTAGTTTTGTGTATTATGATTTATAACCTTAATTTAAAAGGCTCGATTTGGTTTTGAATTTAATTTTATATATTTTAGATTTTTGTAAATTTTTATGTTATTTTGTTGTATATTTCATAGCCAAACTGCTTTCGTCTTGGCTGCTCTCGTAAGTTGGTCACATATCTTCATGTACTTTATTCGCAATTAATTACACGTCTAACTACTCGTTTTTTTTTATTTTTATTCGTTTAAGCATTCGTAATGGTAATTATTATTGTAAGTATTTTTTTGCGCAGCCAGACCGACGCATTTTTATGCTATTCGTTCGAAAGTCGTCGACCAACTGCTGCTCTCAGATTTGCTTTTTCGTTTCGTTCATTCAGACGACCATCATCATCATTGTCGGCACCAAAAGCACCCGTGAAGAGCGACAAAAAACCATTTAGCAGTTGAGATTTCTGTGTTATTATTTAACACGGCAAAAGGCGAACAAAAATTATGTCTACCACTAGTACTAACAACGAACAAATAAAATAGAAACCAATTTGCTGAGAGAAAAAGAGCCGGAGCAGAGGCAAGAGCACGGTGGCGATAAGACTCAGCAAATACAAATTAAATAATAAGAGCAAAGGAAGTTGGCAACATTTTCGTGGTATTTGTGAGCTGATAGCTGAATGCACAACTATTAACTGATAGTGATAATTTCGGTGACGTGGGCAAAAAATAAAAGAAAGAGAGAAAGAGAGAAAGAGAATTTCCAGCGCCGAGAGACGCCCATTTGTTTTCTGTTTGTTTACATTCATTCCGTGGGCCATTTGATAGGCAAATAGTATTGATTTTTGATTGTCTATTTGCACATCAATTCGCATATCGCTAAGGTTGCCGAGTCAAGGCCAGGAAAACAAAGAAAAAGAGGCTAAGTCTGAATAAATCATCGTTCATCAAGGGGCAACCCTTGAATTATTATCGCATATATCTTATCTGTCTGGCTAATTAAATTTTGGAAACGAACAAAATAGTTTGATTGATTTTTGAAAACGGAAAAAAATTCCATCAAATTGAAATCTTTAAATAACTCATAGATTTGCTGATTTATGATACATTTCTATACTAAGTAAGGGTTGGGCTCGCTCAAGGTTGCCAATTTCTGTTTTTACACGCATATCTTTTTGGCATTCATCCATTGTTTAAAATGTTTTGTCTGTTCTTTTTTCTGGCAAGCACATGTCTTTTAGCCATGTTTCTTCTTATTTCGAAAGCCTGTACTTAAACAATTACCAACAGAAATCCATACATAAACATTAATCAATGACAACTCTTTGCTTAGAAAAAATGAGAAGGATAAAAAAGCGTTCGAATCACAAGCGAAACGCGACAATTTGATTTGTTTATTTGCCGTGATTTTTTTGTGCACACTTTATGGCAAATTTATGGCATCAACAAATACAAGAAAAACGAGCTGGGAGCTGGAGCAGAATTTGCATGCAAATTGAGCGCCAAATGCGCATTTCAAATTGATTTAAGATACGAACGCCTCGGAGTTGCGGCTGTCTGCCCCATGATGCAAGTGGCAGGCTGGCCCCCAATTGAGTTTCAAATGCCAAAGATGCAAAGTAACCGTATCTGGATTTGCATTTGAATATCTCTCTATTTTTTTGTATCTCTTGGAACTGTAACTAAACTAGTCTAGATTTTAATTTGTTTGCTTTTCTATGCTCATTCCAAACTCCATAAATGACGAAGTGTCCTTTGATCTGAAGGCACAGCTGCAGAGTTGACAATTTCTTGGGGGACAATGGGTGTGCTGAGTCAAATCATTTATCATTTTAAAAATATTAATAAAAATAAATTAAGAATGCAGCAAATATAGGCAAATTTATAGTAATAATACATTAAGAATGCCGTAAAGGTCATTGTTTAAAAAATCAATCTGCAGAGTATTATAATTTTAGTCAGAAGCATTTACAGCTGTGAAGAAGTCGTTTCCGACCCTATAAACCATATATATTCTTGATCAGCATTAACAGCCAAATCGATCTAGCAATGTCCTACTAAAATCTATTTTTTTCAATTTTTTCGAACTTTTAAAAATTTTATAAGGTGTTACATCATTAAAATTGTCAAAAATATGAAAAAATTCGAATCTTTTTAAATGTTAAATAAGGTATGCAGTTTTATAACCCTAATAAAAACTAACATTGGAACGAATTCTGAATTGAAATTAATGCTTTTTTGGCTTAGTTATAAGTCTTTTATCTTGGGCTTGTTGATTTGGCTTCCCGAAGTTACTTTCCATTCTTGTTCTTTATGTAAAAAGTTCTTGAAGCTTGGAATTTTTGCCTATAACTCTAAGCTATTTATAATTCTTTATTAAATTTTATAAATTTATTACTCCAACTTTCACTTTTCATTCCACTGTGTGACTTTTTCAATTGCCTTTCCGTCGAGTCTGGCAAAATTTTTCACACTTTCGTGCGTAAAAATGTCACATGTGCCGCAGCAGCGCTAATTGCTAAGAAAAGAAAGCAAAAGTATCTGCCAAAGGCGTATCTTACTTGGCTCTATGAATCATCTGGCAATACACAGAACAAATAAAAATAATATAAAATGTTTAAAAATATAATAAAAAAATACAAAACAATTATTTACAAAAGCGATTTTTGTAAAACTCCCGATTGGCTTGAAAATAAAAATTCTAATATATTTATTATTTCTATAAAATTGACTGGCATACTAACAAATATTTTCTCTCAGTGCAGAGCAAGAAACTAATAATTTTAGAACTTTTTCGGCATGCTATTTTCGTCATCGGTTTCGACCGCCCACACTCACCTGCCACATCAAAGTACCGATCCCACGTGCTGTTGCCCAGCCGAGGACTCCGATTCTCCTTGAGCACTCCACCATGTCCATTGCTCAGACTAAGGCTCAGACTCAGCTTGTTGTTATTCCGATCCATGGACAAGGAGTGCTGGTAGGGCATGGTCTTTTGTCGCCTCCTCACCGATGTCCTTTCCAGCGTCCTCTCAAAATCACTGCACACCTCGTCGAGGGCATCGTGCAGGAAGGCTCGAGTCTCCGGCGGACTGATTGCCGGAGGACGATGTCGCTGTTGATATACTGCAGCATCGCTCTCGACGCCGCCACGCAGCGAGGAGCAGGTGGAGGAGGCGGTGCCAAAGGGAGACTCCGATCGAGGCGGGATGCTGCCGTAGGTGAAACGCGGCACGGACGAGGAGCGCGGTCGGTAGCAGGGCATGGTGGTGTACACCGCCGCCGCCGTCGACTGTGTCGATCCAATGGGACGTGGCGAATCCGGCTCGCTTTCATGTGCGGCCTGCACGGGAAATGGAAGAGGTGACATATTAATTGCTGGAGGCTGACAGATCAAAAGAGGCCACCCGGGAAAAGCGAGTGATATATGGAGATGCATAAAATAGTTCTAATAATTTTCCCTCTGACATTATTTACTTGAGAAACATTTTAAGAAATGAAAGCATTGCAATAGAAATCTTTAAACTCAGTCAGGAAGAATTAGGCAATTTTAGTTCCTATACAAACTCACCTCTATTAGTTTCCCCTGAACCCTGGACTCGGCTTGCCAGTCGCTGCCAAAGAGACTCTCAAAGCCCAGCATAAATTCCATGGATTTGCGTGACCTTCGGCGGTCCCGGCGTCGCTGCTCCTCCTCGCTGGGCTTGGCCTGGGCCAGGGCCTCGCAGTAGCGCACAAAGTCCAGGTCGATGTGGTAGCCATAGGGACAGCAGTTGCAGCTGCGCACAGAGCGATTTCCACCAGGAGCCACCGAGGGATTCGAGGAGGAACCACCGCCAGAAGACTGACGAGCTGAAAGATACAAAACACAACTAAGAATAAGTATCTTTTTGTGCATCTTGTTGTCACTGCCAAGGTCACGCATCAGCATTCGATTCCCGGTATTAGCCACAACATTGAAACAATAAAAAATATAAAAGGTATGTGTGTATCTTTCTTTTGTATCTTTTTCTTGCCTTGCACCTGCCCTCCATCAAACACGTTTTCGAGACTTGGGATGCGGCTTCGGTAACCTGAGCACAAAAGGCGCAGTTCCCCGAATCCGTGAGATAAATTCGTGCCTTATTTATGCTTAATTGCGTTTCATAATAACTAATTTTGGTTCGTTTAGATAAAACACTTTGGACTTGAGGTGAATCATTTTTTTGTTTTAATGATTTATGCCTTTCCCCAGGCAATTTTTCGATTTATATACGCTGGCATTGGTTGTAAGCTATTTAGTAATCGAGGAAAATAGTAATGAAAATAATGATTCAGGTAATTGCTCTAGTCTCTCTATTGCTTTCCAGGGACACGAGCAACATTTTTTGTTTTGCGGCAAAGTCTAAAGGCAAACATCGCCAGATATATTTATTTGCATTAAACACTCACTTTCTTGCGTATACTTTGCCTGGTACCGGAGCCACAAGATCGCCAGCCAGAATAGAAGCCACAGCATTTTTCTTAAAGTTTACTTAAATTTCCACTTAAACCATTTGAAATTCCTGCACTGCCCGGTGAGGCTGACCTCCGATTTATCGGTGGGTCTGAGTATACATATATGTATATGTCTCAAAAAATCAAGGAAAATACGCCGTCAATTGTTCTGCCTGCCATGCGAACCTTCAACAAACTGAAGAGTATTAAATTCTCGTTTTATTCATCATGCAGCAAATTAGAACCGATAAGATACGTCGCCAGCATTTAGCCACGCTTATCAAATCGTGGAAATTGCTTGGGAATTAAAGCTCCCGACTGTCGCCATCTGTTGGCGAACTGGCTGGCAAAAGATAATGTTTTCCGATTTTCACTTTTCTTTCATAAAAATGTTAAAGTCAAGGCGTGGGTTTGCAACAAAACGCATTGGTTGCCATGTGGGCGTGTCAATGGTTGTGAAAGTGTTGCTAGGCCAACACGGCGTATACGTGTTAAGAGGCCGCGCATATTGATGAGCAAACAGCGAAGAGCATTGGCCGTAATTAGCTGGCGGCTTCAGGGTTACGGCCAAATCTGTTCACCGGCTTAATTATCATCACACACACTCAGACACCACGCCCACCCACCACATGTAGACACATTTAATCGCCGCATCAGACTCCATTCAAATTTGGCTTTGGCTTTTGGTGTTTGGTAAGTATTTATTTGATTATCGTGGGCGTTCCAGGAATGTGGTTTCACATAAATGTCCCCTAATTGAGGGGCACTTACCAGGTGATTATTAATCTGTTTTAGCAAGAGACTAAACGGCGTTGTATCAATTCATTTGAAATGAAGCATTATATGCAATCTTTAAATATAGTAATAGTTCTATAATCCCAAGAACTACTTCTTTAAGATACAACCAGTCTAATTATCATATATAAATATTATACAAATTAAAAGCAACCCCTTAAGTGATGTCCCACTTTCACAGTCAATTTGCAAAAACTAAATACAATCTGTTTTCGCTGAATTTACAACTTCATTTACACGATGACAATCTGCAGGGCCTTATAAGGGCGCCTACATAAAGTCACATAAATCGTATTCTCTCGCACCCGACTCACATAAAAATTAAGAAATTAACCCAGCTCGATCACAGTCTCTGAATTACGATCATGCTCAATGTATCCGTGTGTTCCAGTCTCCCGGTTCCACCGATCATCATCGTGATCATTATCATTATATCGTGAGCGTTTCCATGTTGATCAGTCCCCGCTTGTAATGACTACATTTTCGGCGTAGGCGTATGAGTGAATGATGCCGATGCTGCCCAGCATACAAAATGAGATCGAGTTGTGAATGAAATTGAAAGAAAATGAAGTCTGTGGAAGTCTGTATACACTTTGGGAGGTTGTTACTCCTTCAATATAAATATTACAAATATTTGCAATACAATAAAATGAATGTTAAAGCTTATTCTTTAAAGCAAGCCCCAAATTCAAAAGAATTTTATTTATCCAAATACCTTTAACAAGTATTTTAAAAGCCTGTGCCACTTCTGCTTGGTATTTCAAATACTTCATGAGCCTTAAGTGACTAAAGAAATACTTTTTAGTTGAGAATTTCACTTTGAATATTTGGGATTCTTTTTGCAAAATCCAAGAGTGAATGTCTTTGAATGTACCCCTCCAACCAACCAAGGGTATTTTGTACACCAAATCCAAACTGGTTGGTTGGCCGAAGCGACTGGGACATGTGCACAATTTGCTCATACGGGGGCTTTATCCGGGAGGTAGGCGGAATTCGCAGTTGCAGCTGCTCTGGCTAATGAAGCTAACGGTGCAACAGCCAGAGCTGCAACAGTCGCAAATTATCGGAAAGGCGAAAAAATTTAATTATGCAAAACACGTGCAACGCTGTTCGATCTAATTGCATGCCCCAAACTCACTTGACAGCTGACTAAAAACGAATTAAAAATAAAAAATAACAGAAAATGTTAAAGCCAAATATAAAATAAGTGAATAATGGGTATATTAGCCATAATCAAGATACTCTACTCGATGCCAAATGGCTATAATTTTCAATCAATGCATTGCAATGTATGGAGTTTGTGAGGAAATGTGGTTTCCTCTAACCATATTTTGTTATACGATATTTCGGTTGGACTTTGTTAATTTGTATCTATATAAGGATCTTTTAAAATATTCTGGAAATATTTTTAATAGATTTTATAATATTTAATGTAAGATAAAAATAAAACAATTAAAGGAGCTTTTTTCTACTCTCTCAAAAATCACACATATTATTTAAAACATTAAAAGACTTTAATGCTTTGCCCAATATTTATAATTAAATATGCTATTACTCTAGTATTTTATGAATTAATAATACTTATATTGTTCTTCCTGAAACACATTTTAAATAACTACATACTTTTCCATAGGATATCTTTCGTAAATAAAAGCAAAAGAGTAATTATTAAACAAATATCTATATTACTTTCCCAAGAAAAGAATTTCTGGCTGTACAAAAATATTAATATTTCCAATCCAATTCCTTTTATTTCCTTCCATATTTTTCGTTTTCATTTTAATTATTTTTTTTTAGTGCTCCCCAGACGAAATTCACCCTATTCGTGGCTTCTCATTTTAATTACCCAATTAAAGTTGTCCCTTTGGGGCGGCTACTTGAGGTTGCCTGTTGCAGTGGTTTTTTATGGCTTTTGTATTTTGTTTTTAATGATTTTTCAACGTGTCATAAACTCTGGTTGTTTTTAGGCTTTTCACTAAAAATTGTGGCAAACACTTCGTGTGTGGCTAATGAGCTGAAATGGCTGCCCATTTTAATTGCTTCAATTAGCGGAGGCCGAAAAAGTGAGCAAGACATGACCTATCAAAGTCTGCCACGCCCACTGTCAACTCACATCCGCTTGTCATAAATTGGTAACAAACTAAGCTATTTTTGATATCAATGAAAATATTTGCCTTTAAGCCAAGAAACCAGTTTGTAGCTCAGCATTTGGCTTAATTAAAAGCTGCATTTTTGCGGAAAGCTGAGAGTGTGGGTCTTGCCAAAAGTGATTTCCATAAAGGAGTCGAGTCCGATTGAACGATATATCTTTCTGATTCAGCGTGGGCCGGTCTTGGACGCTGGAAAAGTGCGTTGCCACGGCGCCGCAGTGACAAATTTGCCTTTTCGGCCTTAAGCTAAGTGTATTGTGTTAACACGACGGTGGGTGTTGGTGTTTGTGGTGTTGGCCCGGCTTTGCGGATTTCTGTGCGGGCGTTAGGTTGACCCACATCCCATCTGGTGGCTGCAGAATACCAGAATGCCAGCGCCATGTGGGTCTGAGACACGTTTTTATACTTTATACTCGGTTTTTATGGCCCGGGCCCACGCAGCTTTTTGTTCAACTTACCATTTTCCTCAATGAAGGCGCGTTGACTTCGCAAAACCAGCGACCTGGAAACAAAAGGAAATTCTTGTTAGGAAATTGGCAAATAAAGAAAACAATATCTTAAGACATATAGTACAAGATTACAGGGCCTGAGTAAACAATAACAGAACAGAGGCAGGCGCTTGCGAAATGCTAGAAGAAGCGACCGACACTATTTACTTTTGCTATCATCGAGTTTAAAAATAAATCAATGCAAGGCACACTCGGCACGGAATGTGACAAATGCAGAGATGCACAGGGAAAAATTGGGATATACATAGAATATGAAAGAAAGTTTAATAAATTCAAGTTTAAAAAACGCATAGCTAAGCCAAAAATGCATTAAATTCAATTCGGAAAGCTTTTCTGTGCTAGTTTTTATCAGGTTAATAAAACTGCATACGCAGCTTAACATTTAAAGAGATCCAATTTTTTTCGAATTTTTGACAATTTTAATGACAATTTATAAAATTTTCAAAATTTTGAAAAAAATTGATTTCGTCCAAACGAAGCTAGATCGATTCAGCTGTTAATGCTGATCAAGAATATATATGGTTTATAGGGTCGGAAATGACCTCTTCACTGCTTTACAAGCTTCTGAAATAAATTATAATACCCTTGCAAGGCTTAAAAAATATACAACACATTTTTTCTGACTACCCAGTTTTACTTTATATTAAATCTCAAAATAATTGAGCTCAAAATCTTTTTCAAAAATTATTTCATTATTATCTAATCCTAATATACATTAAGTATAATCAAATTTTTCCTGTGCACTTGGGGAAACTCTCAAAAAGAGGAGCAGATAAAGATAGAAATCACACTTGCCAGAGGGAAGAAATTATAATAAAATATATCAAGCTGTCAGCATTTTGAGTTCTTGTTGTCGCCCCCTGTGTTCGGTATTTGGAAACATCTTTGGAAATATGCAAGAGCGTGCGCCACAAAATCCCCAATAATCTGTGGAGGAATGGTTCTCGTCCAGCCTCAGTCCCCCGCATCCATTCCCACTCCCAATCCCAATTCCATTCCCGATCCCTGCCGGCAGAACTCATTAGTGAACTTTGCCGCCGCCGTGATCCCTACTCCAATTTTCATTCGGTTTTCCTGGAAAACGTAACATGCGTGCAGCATTTTTCATTTTTCCACTTTGCTGGAAGCGGAAACTGCAATTATTTATAATTTGTTTTTCGTTTCCCAGGAGGAGGGACTGGGGAATAGAGGAGATCCCACCAAATTGTCCTAATGCAATTAGCCAACTCACCGGGACTTACCTGAGCCAGCAGGCTCCTCCGTTAACTAACCAATTAATTACCTGTCATGTTTTTGCCAAAAAAAAAACAAGCTTTTGCTGATTTGAAAAATATTATAAAATATAAATAAATTATAGATGTATATTTTATATAAATATATGTTGCATCGGAGTCAAATTGAAAGCCGTCTGACAATTTGCTGCCATATTTCTCGACTCATTTTTCACGTTTCCATCTTTTTGGCCGATTTGAAAATTTATGTAAAATGAAAATTTATGCGTCAACTGATTTATGCTGCTGCCTGCGTTCGTGTGCATGTTACATGAATGGAAAAGGCCTGTCATGGACATGGACATGGACATGGGGACATGGACGCACTGCCTCCGCCTCCTACTCCGACTCTGACTACGAAAAAAAAGTAGCATTCATGTGGAACGGTTGCGGCATCGCGTATTTTTGGATTGCAGACCAAATTAATATGCGTGTTTATGATTATGATACACGAAACTTGTTGTTTTTATGTTCTGCCTTCTACATTTGTCTAGCCGCAATTTGTTGCGCCTTTTCCTAGTGTTTATGCGATCGCTGTCATAATTAGAAATTATTATAATTGGATGAGGTTATCGAGCTGAGCTGACAAAGTTTCACTAGGTTCTAGAACATTTTGTATACTTTGTATTAATTTTTTGTATTAAAAAACAAACCAATCTTCAACAATTTAATGATATTTTAAAGTGATATTAGTTAAATTCACGCTCAATAGTAAATATTATCAACAGGTAAACAAATTGCAAAATGGAAAAGTAATCATTGAAAAATATTTACAAGTGTTGGTATATTCAAAATTTACAATTTATATAAAGTAAATTTACTGAGAATTATATATTTCAACAGACTCTTTGAATAAAAATTTAATTACACTTCATTCAACAGCTTTCTTTTTTCTTGATTCTGTAGAAAACAATATTTAAATGATTTCTATTGAATTGATGATTAAATTTCTTATAAAAACAAGTTCCTTAAAATTGTATAATCCAATAAAAAGTTTTTTAAACCCAATTTTGAAAAATGCCAGAAAACAAAGCACTCAAATTTAGGGTTTCCTGTTCCCATCAGATTTGTTATTAAATAACCATTTATTTGTTGACATTAGCTCATTGCCACACAAAACTCGCACTTAAGATCACACCTTTTAACACCTCCACACAACAAAAAGCATACACACACACACCACACTCATCCGATAAACTGTTGATCTTTTATGTTTTAAAAATTTGCTTTTAATTTTTCGCCACCGCAATTTATACTCCGTTCCATATGGGATCTGTGATATCGATCGGGAGACTTGGGCCCCATTATCTCTCCTTACCTCCAGAAGCGCCTGACTGCTTCCTGCTCGGTGGGCGTCAGGTGGGTTATCTTCTCGTTAAACTTTGACTCATCGTAGCCACCGATTAGTATGGAATCGGAATCGGGAAGCACCATCATCATATCGCCGGCGTGACGACCAAGACGAGTCATTGCTCACCGCGTACGCGATTTCTTTATGGGACTTTAGTGGTCGGCTTTTTGCGATGGCATTTAATTAGCATTTGGCTTTGGCATTAGCTCACTGATAGATAGACTGGCAATTATTTTTAGGCTAATGGAAATTCTATGCCAAAATTAATGAACTCCGATGGCGACACAGGGCCATGGCAACGAATCTCACTCACTGATGCACTTTGGTAACTGACTCACAAGCTTTTCAGATTTAGTTTCGTGTGGTTATATTTTATTTTGTATTTTTTTCTGTGCGAGTTAAACGCTCCGCGCTCGAAAATCGCCGGAATCGAACTGAATGCGCTGCCGGGAGAAAAACTTCACGAGTTCGACGCCGCCTGAACTTTATGCTCTGTAACTGTGTGTGCCGCCGAGTATCTGTGTGTCTGTTGGCTTGCTCTTGTATGCGTTTTGTATATCTTTTGTGTTTGTTTTGGTTGTCGCTTGTTTTTTCATTTTGTTTTTGTTTGCTGACGATCGTTAAAGAACAAACCAATCCGAGAACTAACCCACAGAATAAAAAAGAGCTAAAAATCACAATGCCAAGTGTATCTTTGTTGTTAGTAGTTTTTTTTGGGGGGTTTAGGTTTGGCTTTTAGCCCCCGGGGCCGAGCTCAAACGAGAGAGCTATCGATACGATAATTAATAAATATAAGTAAGTGACTGCTTAGTCGAAAACCAGTTCGTAACGAGTCCGCCGCTCCAACACCCAAACAGACCGATTCCGAATCCAATTCCAATTCCGAAACTGTGTGGACGCCCGATAAGCGAACTTTGAGATTACACAAAGGGAAATTTAGATACGAAACTGTATTTTAAATTTCATTTAATCTAGGTATTGCATTATGGATACTGCATCACCATTTGAGCCAAAAGTCAATCAGATCTATATTTCAACTTTGCGATTTGTGTACATTATACATACTTTAAGGTATATATCTATTACGAGGTTTTCTTTCCATAATATATTTTAATAGATCCTCAATTTGATCGTTAAATACATTATTTTTCTTATATTTTACTTAACTTGAAAGTGGTAATTAGGACGTTATTTATACCCTTTCAGAGGGTTTTTATAATTTTAATCAGTGAAGGAGTCATTTCCGACCCCATAAATCATATATATTCTTAATCAGCATCAACAGACGAATCGATCTAGCCATCTCTGACAAAAATCTATTTTTTTCAAAAATTTGAAAATTTTATAAGGGGTTATCATCATCATCATCATTAAAATTGTCAACAAATCGACAAAATTTGAATCTCTTTAAATGTTAAATTGAGTATGCAGTTTTTTTAAACTGATAAAAACTAACATAAGAACGCTTTCCGAAAATTAAAGCATTTTTGGCTTAGTTATGAACAATCAATCATTATCCAAATACCAACTTCAGGTTCCTGTAATTTCTTCCTTTCTTGTTTTTTAATGTAATATCTTAATTCCGTTCAGTGTAACCTATGCCTCCTCTGGTATCTGTATTTGTATCTCAGTATCTGAGGGGTCTCGGCAAAGTGCTAGAAGCGGAAGCATTTCCCATGATTGATGATTTTAGAAAGGTGTCGCCCTATCCTGGCTTTTTGATCTTCCAACCGGAGCCGGAGCCAAAGGCATCATTAAATCACACACAGAAGCTGCGTTGGGAAAATAAAGTTGCTACATGCCAAAGTGAGATATCTTGAGGACAGAGGACCAGGTCATTAAGAAAGATATTCTGGTAAACTAATTTGACTTGACAAGTTTAATGAGTGTTACACGGCTGGCCATTCAAAAATCTTGAATTCTGGATTAATTAAGCTTACAAGCCATAAAACTAGGCTCACCAAAAAAGCCAGAAAAGACAGCCGAAACCAGTAGTTAGTCCAAAGAATTGAAGATAAATCTGTTGATCATTTTTCAATAAATTCCATTGTGGGAATAGTGGGAAGAGAAGAGCCTCCGGCAAAACTAAAATCGATTGGGTGTGACGCATAAATAATTGCCGCAATTTATAACCACATTTAAGCAATGAGGGAGTCCACTAACGCATAATTAAAAGCCGTGAAATCCACTGGCTAAAATACAAAACTTGTTTATGAATAGCAAAAAAAAAATTACTAACAGTTCAACAGAAACGGAAACCGGCTCACTTAGCTCTGAGGGTTTAAAAATATATATATATTATATACAAACAACGCCGTGACATTTTTGTAGAAATTCTATCGGCCAGCTCATAGAGCATGAAATTTCATTC